TATAGTCTAGAAACAAAATGTTTTTGCTTAAAAGTTTCCACAACTATAATAGACTTTCTAGCCATGCAAAAACTTGCAAGTGAAGATATGTTGTTTTTAAACCTTATGTAAAGCACTGTAAAACAACATATTGTAAACAATAAATCTGAAGGATAATAACTGCAAAAAAGTATATTATATACAGTGGTAGGCTGGGAAAATCAAAGTTTGCATCCAACATCATGTACCTGTAGATACATTTTGTATGAAAGCCCATAGTTTCCAATATTGTCGAGATACATGTCCCCTATTTGTATATTTTATATTTTGCATAATCTCATTCACTGATGTATGGCCTCTTTAAAAAAGTTTACATGAGAAATCCTCACTTCAGCAAATCCATGACTTATTATTTATGGCCCAAACTGTACACCCAAAGAGGTGTTATATAAGGCTACAGGTCGTTATGGGCAATTTTGAATAGATATGAAGATGCTTTCAAAACAGATGCCTTTAATGCCAAATAATGTAGATGCAGCAATGGCAGAATGGAAGTCTGTAATGTCTAAATAATACTGGTGAGAATAAGGAAAGAAATGGCAAGATAATATCTGTAAGGTCTAAAATTCAAACATATGTTTTCTGTGAGGCGTGATGATCACGTTTTGATATGCCCCTACTACTAGAGTTGAACGCATGTGGTAAGATAAAAATCAAAAAGTACTACAGGGCGTTCAGTAAGTAAAGCTAATTTTGCTATCAGACTTTTATTTTTTGTCATTTATCTTTTAAATTTTCAATGAAGAAGAATTAGACATTTTTTTAACTACCCTGAAAAATTAAATAAGATATGATGAATAATAGCAAAACAATGGTTGTCATAGTAACGTGAGTACGGGTTCTGCGGAGCAATTTCTTACTTTAATAAAAATGTTATAATGCAATGAAATTGATTAAGATTAATGCTGCATATGTCTTTGTTTGCTATGGCTGAAAGTCACGACAAACATAACAACAACATACACAAATATGATACCATGGCAACAGTAGTCTATGACATCACAGATAGATGATACAACAGATGGAATGATCCAGAATGATTCATCAGACACTGCTCCATGACATCATCAAAATCATGACTGCCAGGATTGCCAATGGAAGCAAAATGAACAATGAAATGAAACAAGATAATGCGTTATCGCATAGGTCGCAAATGGTGCAGGATACTATCCAGAAAACGCTGGAGATGGAGGTTCAAGGCCAGTCAGCGTATTCTCCTGACAAGGCACCGTGCGATTTTGGGGTATTTTCATGTTTGAAAAATGATCTGCGTGGTAAGATCCACGCAAATATCCATGAGCTTCAGAATGCCGTTCAACGTTCGGTGACAAAGAACTTTCCAGATGGCTTCCACAGGATATATCAGAAGTGGATAGAACGACATCAGCTGTGTGTGAAAGCTAAGGGGAACTACTTTGAACATGAAATAGAATGCTAACTTGAAAGTAGAAATGTTGAGTAGCCACAGAACTATGGTTGAAATATAGACAGGACAGAAACTAACGTTAACAAAATCTACTATGCTGTGAACTTATAAAATTGCTCCGCAGAACCCGTATTCGCGTTTCTATGACAACCACCATTTTGCTGTTATTCATTATATCTTGATCATTTTTTTCAGGATAGTTAGAAAAGTGTCTGATGCTTCTCCACTGAAAATTTGAACGATGATAGACAAGAAATAAAAGTTTGAGAGCAAAATTAGCTTTACTTACTGAACGCCCTGTATTGACACATGATGTAAATTTATTGGTCATTACATGGGGAAAGCACAGAGTTAATAGATAGCAGGAATTTACAATGAGGACTTTCTAGGGAATTAGATCATCTATTTCATATCACAGGTGCTCCCTAGGTAATAAAAGAGTGTGGGGTTATCTTGCACAGAAAGATGACCCCAGATGTTTTTATCAAGGGAACACCTGTGTAGAATATATAATAGACCACATTGTTATGAAATCTATAAATTCTTGAAGTACTTCATACATGATGTACACTATTTCACTTAGACCTCGAGACCAACAGGCATCATTGCAGATTATAGTAGAGTTGTCCCAAAATATTAAACCTGTAGCCTCTCACACTCTATATGTATTCTCTCATAGGGGCATTCTCTGCCATGGGGCATTCACAGACAAACCCTTGGCATTAGGTGAAAATCTGGGGCATTGTCAATAATAGTCTCTTTACAATGTATATCACAGTATCACCAGTGGCGGATCCAGGAATCAACAGGGGGGGAACAAAAAAAAAAACCTTGGGCCTTTTTCAAATTTTGGGCCCAAAATTACACAATTTCAAATTTTTGGGCCCAAGAATGCCCCTATGTACAAATTAAGAGTTCTTGGTTCGACTACAATGGAATATTTTTCTCTGGTACGTAGGGGTTAGAAATTGTGATAAGCTTTATACTTTTTTCACCAAAGATTTACTGCAAATAACTTTGGAATGGTCATTTTTCTACTTGTTCCCACAGATGCCAGCACAATCCTATATATAGTAGAAGGCTAGGCTCAATAACTAAAACTGAAGATAAGGCACTGATTTATTTTTCCATTTTTAATTTCATGATTGTGCAGTCATTCATAAGTATTTGTGACTAATCATACCTCGTTCGAAGCGTCTTGTTATTCTGTATCTTCAAAATCACAAACAAAGGTTATTCAAACATTCCTGCATTAAAAAGAGTCAAAATTAAGATAATTTCATCCTCCGAGTATGCCAAATTTCCATTTGACGCCATGGATTTCCAGGACCTCCTGGAATGTCACGTAGTGATTACAGTCGGAAGCGTGCCAAATCTGAAGATGTTTACATTGTTTTGATCATTTCTTGGAATTGTGACGTCAGAGGAACGATGAGGTTTGTGGGAATTTTTCAAATTTGTGCAAGAAATTTAGTACTTGTACTGAACGAAAAGCATAACAGTTGTCAATGGCCCGATTGATCTCTTGCATTTTTAATGATTACGCTATTTTTTCATGGGGAAATAAGACCAAAAATCTCAATTCAAATGTTGAAGTGAACAAAATTAATGGCGGCTGGTTGAATTCGAATTTTGTATCACGACATGCCCATATATGGGACAGAATATCGATGTTGCAGTCTGGGAGCCAATCATTGGCCTCCTAAAGCTTACTTGAGTTCCGGATTTGAGTGTTGCTGTGTTAGCATGGTCATGTCCATTATTTATAATAGGGGTGTACTGATTCGTAATAATTTTCATTTTATCTTCTGGCGATGAATACTTGAGGCATATAAAACCATTCTAAGCATCATCTAATTCATTTGATATATTCAACATATTCTTTTGTTTGTTCATCTGCCTCTCTAGAGCATATTCCACTTTATTTAAGAAATATAGACCGAAAAGCAGGGGTTACATCGTCGAATACACCCCGCAGGGCTAGGCACAAACGTTTTCTGTACCTCGAACGACCGAAGGGAGTGAGGGGTTCGAAAGCTTTTGTGCCTAGCCCCAAGGGGTGTATTCGACGATATTACCTCTGCTCTGAGGTCTATATTACGATTCGAACATGAAAACTCACCAAATTGTTTCGAATATTCATCATGGTCCGCCATTACTACGACCCACCGTTATGACGTCACACATTATACGTATTAACTGGGTTATTGATCTCGAATATAACCCAGCTGAAGCATTGACTTTGTTTACAGTTTATAGAAGGCGTGAATACAGTCATGTTCGAATACATATTAACTCTCTGCCCTGTACCTCATGTGAAAGACTGAGGTCCATGCATTTTTATTACATGTGATATTCCCAGGATTTACCTCTTTCAAGGGCTTAGTAAGTACATGTTAAGCAAGCCATCAGCTTTTGAAAGAGGTATATTTGGGCTCAAAAATTTGGGAAAAGGGCTCAATTTGTTGGACTTTGGGGCATTACCGAACTCCTATGCAGTGTCTCGGTATAGACACTGCGGCGGGCAGATTATGGAATCCCCAAAATTTGGGGAAGATAGTCCCCCTTTTTGTCACAGATGTACTTGTTTTTCACACAACTTATAAAATATATGTTCTTTTATGTTCACCAATAATTATTTTGTCAAAATATTCCAAAATCAATGAAATATAAGAGGAAATCCTCGCGGAAGGAATTCTGAGTAAAAGTTGAGTTGATAAAAGTTTACCGCACGTGTTGTTTATTAGTTAATACGCGCAATTCAACCAATGAAATTGTCTAAATTTTACAATCACGCGACCTGAGCATGTGACTAGAACCAATCACGTCAGTTGTTTATTCGATGTTACCATGCTTACGGTGAGATACCTGCACGCCGCAGTGATATATCACTGCACGGGACTTCGGGGCATTACTTGACCTTTTTTGGCCTTATTTATTCATTTTAGTTCAAATTATCGAAATATGGATGGCATCATGGGCTTTAAACTTTCAAATGTGGGCCCAATTTGGGTTTGAGGGGATCAAAACGTTTTGCCACTCAAGCGCAGAATTTTTTCTGACTTGAAATGTGACCCTTGCCCGTGATATGTGTAAGACTAGTTAATTATCTCACTGACATGCTTTGCCCTCCTGGCCCTTTCAATCTTTTGCCTCATTCACCCCCCCCCCCCCTTGAGAAAATCCTAGCTACGCCACTGGCTTGCCCCAGTTCATCATCATTTGAATTCACGATTTTGATGTTGATGTTGATCATTATATCATTATATATAAACTTACACTACAGCTTTCATACCTAATCTTCTAGAACCAAACAAATTGCAATAGAAAGATGAGGATACACGTATAGGCTATACAACACTTGTAACAGCACTGCAGAAAAGAAAGTTGAGGGAGGTTCTGAAGTGTGGTCAATTTTTTCCAGTGATTTTTCAATCCGGTCACTCATCTTGAGTGTTTCTTATTGAGCCTAGACTATATACTACATACGATCTCGCTGGCATCACATGTGCTGGCATCTGTGCGAGTTGCTTACCACTTGGAATTCTGCCTGTTCCCCGACATGTTGGGCAAGGAACACTTCCTTGCATCAGCTCCTCATATGTCTGCTCAATAGACCCAATGTTCGATGCATTTCCATTTCCAAGATCACCAGATGTATTCGCTAGTGATTTATACGACATAATGCCGACACCTGGCTGCGTTACAATCAGTCTTTAGTCTATAATTCCCAATTTTTCATTTTCTTAAATTTTGATCCTTTCCCAAAATGTGGTTTTCGGAGTCGAACGGAATGACCTAGTTTCGATATCCGTTTCCGGTTAAAAAATTTATTCCAACGCAAAGAACGCAAAGTTTAGTTTCATGTCATTTTCTAAGTTTTTAACATCCAAATTTGTCATCGGAATTACTGCTACAGTTGGCTTGGGTTTTGTTATTAATGAGATCATAGTGAAACCGTATTCAAGAGCAAAGCAATTGGAATTGGAAAAGACGGTAAGTAATTTTAGACTATTTTTGGAAATTTTTAGGCTAGACTCAAGGAGGATTGGAAGCCAGGGTTCCAACTCGATATTCTTTAATCTCCACGCATGCGTCATTTGCTATTCGTGTCTGTATAATTTGTACGACTGCATGGAGAATGACCCGATACTCTCCAACAAAGCTATCGCTAGGTGATTGTTTTGCAGAATATCGGTGTTGCATTCTGGGAGCCAATCCTCCTTGGGCTAGACTAGCTAGATCTAGATTATTATAAATGGGCGTAAGGATCACAGTCAGAGAGAATGTTTCTGGCGAAAGGAAATTCTGGGATTTCAAACACTTGAAGTTGGGAAACCGGAATGGCTTACCTTTTTTAATTCCCGAATCTCTCCGAAATTAGCTCATCTTGGTGACTGTAAATTGCACAGCTGTATTCAATGGAGTCTTGTCATATTCAATCAGCCTCAATTTTAAAGTGTATATTTTATTTTTAACGTGATTTCATCGTTTTTTGTCGACTGGTAAGAATACGCGGGGCAAATGGCAAGATGGATGACGTTTGACCTGACCTACACCGATACCCCCATAAATGTTAGACTATATCCTATTTAGTCTGAATTATATTCAGACTATAAGGCACCTATGTTAAAGTTTGGTGATGTAAAATATTTGTTTACATAGGAAGTGCTATTCAAAATGGCCGATTGGGTAAAATTAATTTGCACTTTTGTTCCTTCAACTAGCTTTATTTCCACTTGACAATATGCTGTGTTACTTTTTATTGCATTTAATTGTACCTTACTATTTACTTGAAATTTTGTAATGTTTATTTTATTGAAGAAATGGTTCCTCTAATTGATAATTTTGTGCAAAAAATTTCACTGCAATTTCCACAGGAAAGTTGTACATCATAACACACTGACTTCTAGTCAGTCTGTTGGATACATACTACCATAAATGTGGGGTTATTTTGAGGTTCTTTGATATTTTGGACATTTGTTTCTCAAAATAACCCCACAACTTGAAGGCTTTGATTCTTTGCGGTTTTTTTCACATGATTTGAAGATTCAAGTTCTGACAATATCGGCAGTTTCCTTACCTTTTTTCTTGTCTTCTGTGAAGAAGATTCTTTTTCCAATGTAATGAGCGATCGATCAGTCGAAACAATGCTTTATAACTGGAACAATTTGCTGTAATATTTGACTCTCGAAATCTGTTCAAATTTTGGCCATTTTCGCGCGTTGCATTTTGGGAGGAATTATGTGGTAGATGGGAAACTTAACAGTGCCAAACGAAATCACCTGTCAAATTAATAACAAAATTATTGCTTATGCCTAAGTTCAGGAAAACAAAGGCTGTAGATGGTACAGCGGCCAAACTTAAAGTTGAAAGTCCTTTTAATAAGGTGAAAATCATTTTTCAAAATTTCCCTCCATTTTTACTTTTGGATTTCGTATTTACGCGAAGTTTGTTATTTAGATGAAAAATATCGACTGCGCATGAAATTTGAAAAACTTTTTTAGAAATATCTGTTATCCGTATTAAATCGTCATTACAAGAATGAATACAACACTTAGAGGGCTATATTTGGTAGCATATGTTGAAGATTAATGTCTTGTCGATACGAAAAACATAAAAAGGTGAGTAAATTCTAATAATATTAGTACAAATTCTATGTGTATGCTATTGTTTAGCAAATCCCCAAAGAATCAAAGCCTAAACTTTGTGGGGTTATTTTGAGTAACAAATGTCCTAAATATCAAAAATCCTCAAAATAACCCCACATTTATGGGGGTATACACCGATGGCGGTGACGTCATCAATTTTATCCATACAAATTCTATTTGGTCACATGACCTTGTGCCAGAAGTCTGACTTTTTGGTCAGTCGACCTGTTCAAAGTACATTTAGTAATAATTATCGCTTTTCAGAACAATTTAGGAAACAATATTTTCTATCTACGTCGATTACAAAGCATCTAAGGTACGTAAATTTATATGAACAACTGAGTCAATAGGGATAAATAGCCCAAAGAGATTCGGCGGTCTTGAAAAATACTTGGATCTGGATGCCAGTCCTGTTATTGATAAAATTCCAGGGCAGTTCGAAGAACGTATTAGATGTCCGTGGTAAGGATAGACTTTTTTGTTTAGGCTGCCTAGGTCTAGATTGAAGAGTCCATGTGAGCCACAGACAGTAGTTAGAGGACGAAGAAGTAGGGTGATGTTATCCCGTGGCAGGACTATAGTCCTGGACCGAGCGCACTCTTTTGCCTTTACGATTACAACTTGGGAGAATTATCTACACCCCTTACACTTAAGATACCTACTTCAATAGATTTCTTGGAATTTTAGCATTCTTTTCGTGTAGTTGAATCCACAATTGTCTGGGTTTATCGGCAGAATGAAGAAATTTTCGTTTTTGATTGAGAGAGATTCCATCACTTTTCAAGATGGCGGTTGGATTTTAAAGGGGATTCCCCGTTTGACTGGCCCAGAAGTGGCTCGGAAATACCAATAAATGGAGGAATTTGACGGTTGATGTAAGTTAAATATTACACGCAAATATTGCGATCAAAAATGAAATTTCTTCGTTCTGCCGATAAACCCAGACAATTGTGGATTCAACTACACGAAAAGAATGCTTAAACTATGGTGGTTTGAAAGCCCATGCAATATTAGAGAGTTTAAGCTTTTTGAACCCAGATCTTTCATAATTTGATGGATTGGCGGATTCAGAAAATCTGCCAAATTAAAAATTTTTGTCCAATGCACTTCATAAATTAAACTCCTGGGGCCCCTTTTCCTGTCAACATGTCATCAATTCTACATTTTTCCAAAAGAAATACAGAAAATATCTTAGTAAACATCTGTCCTAATGACACAGTTGCCAACTCCCGATTTAAATCGGGAGATTCCTGTTTTTTTAACCCATCTCCTGCGCAATTTTGCCATCTCCTGATTTTCTAATTTTTCATCATCTCCCGATTTTTTCTCCCGATTTCCCCCGATTTCTAAAAAAACTTCGCATGTTTAAGGTAAAAATCCCCCGATTTTGTCTGTGTCCTCCGTTTTTTCCTCCTACCTCCCGATTTTTAACTTGAATCCGAGTACTCATCGATCGTCTCCAGTATCTTACATATAAGTCAATTAACTCCAGCGACATCTAATCATGAAAAACAAAGTTAATCTAATATAAATGTCCAATCAACAACAAGGAAATTAGCGCACGCGCAACAATTTTAATCAGTTAGAGCGAATCCATCCTTTATTACGATCCTAGCGCATGCGTATTACGTAGATAATCTCCTGAGTGGAGGCGATAAGAATCTGCGCAAGTATGTCCGTGAAACGGGGTAAGAATAATTTTGTCTATTTATGCACGATTGGGTAAGCCTACCAAGATTAAGCATGTATATATTAAGAGAAATCATGTTAAATAAGTTTGAATGATTTTACCATTGAAGTCAAGGATTGAGATTTATCAGTCACATTTACGGTAAGCTTTTTGGTTTTTCCATCCTGGACCAAGGAGAATTGGCTCCCAGGATGCAACATCGATACCGATACTCCCTATGTCGTGACTACAAAATTCGAATTCAAACTGCATTTTCGTTTGAAAATAAGACCAAAATTAACGATACAAATGTTGAAGTGAATAAACTAGCGGCTGTTTGAATTCGAATTTTGCAATCATGACATCAAGAATATCGACAGAGTATCAATGTTGCATTCTGGGAGCCAATCCTCCTTGATCCTGGACCTAGACGGTCTCCTGCTTTTAAAGAAAATCTCCTGTTTTGACAGAAGATCTCCTGTTTTTACTTGGTATCTTTACCAAGAGAAACTTCCTGTTTTATGAAGAAGTCTCCTGTTTTCTCCTGTTTTTAAAGAAAATATCCTGTTTTCTCTTGTTTTTAAGGAAAATATCCTGGTTTCTCCTGTTTTAAAAGAAAATACCCTGTTTTCTCCTGTTTTTAAAGATAATCTGTTTCTCATGCATTTAAAATAAATTGTTTACTCCTGTTTTTAAAGAAAATCTCCTGTTTAGACTGAAAATCTCCTGTTTTCTCCTGTTTTTTAGATGGTAACTTGTTTTCTAAAAGAAACCTCCTGTTTTCTCCTGTTTTTTAAAAGAAGTCTCCTGTTTTCTCCTGTTTTTTTCAGTAAAAGTCTCCTGTTTTTCTCCTGTTTTTTGCAAAATATCTCCTGGATTCTCCTGTTTTTTTTTTAAAAAACTCCTGTTTTTTTTCTCTGAGAGGTTGGCAGGTATGTAATGACATCTACAAAAAATTAAGCTTCAGTCCTGAATCCGCCAAATTAAATAGCCACCAATATTTGAAATTGAGCAAATACGTCAATTTAAGTAGCGTCAAAATTAGTTTTTCTACAGTATCTGCCAATTTAATATACATTTTGACACATAGATTCAGGAATATAGTGTTCGTTGGGATTTGCTACCCCATGGAATTGCCGATTTTTGGTTACCGGGATAGAATCCTATGGTATATTGCATCTTTAATTATGTTGTGTATATTTGTTTTGATTCAAGAATAAAAAATAAGCAGCATGTAATCATTGCGGAAAATAAAATGAAAAAGCTTCGTACAGCATTATAATTTAATTAGCAAAAGATAACCCCTATTTTCTTCTTATTGCTCGCGATGTCAGCGGGAACTTGCTCGTGATTTTGAGAATTAATGCGGAGCTTGGATAGTCACCGTGATACTGCAATTGACATTTGGGAATATACTTTTGTATTAATGTCAATTACCTCAGTAATTTCATGAAGAAAGGTGATAATACTGAACATAAATATCTATTCAAGTCTATTCTGTTATACAGAGTCCCTACTTTCAGCGGCATTTGAGTCCCCAGCTGTGAGAAGGGCTTATAGCTGGGGACCATAACACTGCTAAAATGAGGGACTCTGAACAATAAAGCAATGAACCAGCAAAAAATCATCTAACAGCTGCTGTATTTCATGTATTTCCCTTTGAACAAGTTTTACTCGGTATTGAATTAGAAATTTTCACAAAATAACACCTGACAGCATAAAAATATGTTTAAATTAAAATACTGTTTATGACAATTTCTGATTCATGATATCAATCTGACAATATAAAATTGGAATAATATGAGGGGAATAGTAGAATTTTGCTCAATAAAGTTTAAAAAATGCGATAATAAAAAACAAAGTCAATGACCTTTGATTTTGAATTTCTTAAAATTTCCACTGTGCAAAAATTGAAATATCCTGACATTTAGTTTTTAGAATAGTAAACCTACTGTCTCTCAATCCCCTACTCTCCTATTCTCTAATAAGGGGGTCAAAAGGTTATAGTAAAAGAAGTCAGTGAAATCAACTTTTCCCTTGGCCTATGCTTGAAATTTTATTGTTGTGTCTCAAGCAACATTGAATTTTACTACATTCTTGTTTTGATAAATTTTGGCTTGTTTAGGAAATCTTCAAATCATGACCCTTATTTCACATTAAGGTAGTTGTTTACTGGCAATAGTGTTCAGCTTTAGGACATATTTTCGTGATATCACACTTGAAGTTTTTTTCACTTAATATCGATACAAAATTTTGATGGATTAATGAATTATATAAAAAATGGCTTTTTAATATATATTTTTGTTAGATGAGATTGCAACACATGAGGCAAAAACATATGAAAAATTCACCTTTGATTTTGATTTTCTTAGAATTAACTAAGAATTGAAAATTTCCAGTAAGAAAAAATTGAAATATCCTGACATTCAGTATTGTGAATCGTAGCCTACTATCTCTTAATCCCCTACTCTGACTCCCATTCCCTAATATGGGGGTCAAAATGTTTGAATTAAAAAATGTGGTAGGTAGCATCAACATTTTTTGTTTGATTACGAAGTTTAATTATGTCATTTTCATATCTGAATATATACACTTTATCATAAAGTAATTTTTAAGCCTACGTGTTAACAACTACCTTAGTTTCAGTATTGGCAAATTGACATTTAACATAAATTACCCATATAATTTAATATTTTCCATGACTATGTTTTAAAATTGAGTGATATCAATGAGACATATTTTATGTGAGGGGATGGAAAATTAAAATTGAATGTATTTATTCATTCATGTTACATTAGTGGAGAAGATTACAATTAACTGTAAGTACAGAATATAACTGGGTTTAAATTTCTCAGGCTTGGTAAATGTGGAAAAGTACACATGGAGGTTTCTTGGATTAAATCATAAGGATGCAGAAATTAATTTTTATTCAAATCAATAAAAGTTATGCAAAGAGTACAGCATGACAAAAACAACAAGTTACAAAAGTACAAACTAATTTATTTTTAAATACATCAACAACAATGCCAAAGAACCAAAGATACAGAATGGTTTACAAGTACATGTACAATGTATTATGACGATAACAATAAATTATTATGTAATGTGAAGAAACCAACAATTTAGATTACTTTACGAAGCGTGCCATTCATCATTGATATTTTAAAAGTTAATGTGCTAGATTTGATTTTCTAGTTTGATGATAAGTTACACTTTTTTCCCCAAACCGAAGACATATGACTGTTTGATTATCCCAAGATATTATTTAGGAAAGGAACATAACTAATGATTGTATTTACAGATGGAGGCCTTATTAACCAAGCAGGGTGTCTACATGAGAGATCCAGCATATGTTGAACAACTGGTGAAGGAAATTGTCTCAGCAGGAAAAGACAAGTTACAGGTACTGCATTTGTATATTTTACATAGTGTTCCCTGGCCTACCAGTATCAATGTGTATGTATTCTTCATCAGCACTTATGAACAAATCTAATTAAATATTTTGACTGTGGTACCTGTATTAGTAAATGTGAATGTTGAATATGTACATTTTGAACTTATCAAAACAAAATAAAATACAAATAAGCACCTTTCCTGTTTTACTGTAATCGTATTATTATTATATTTTACAGGTGATTGCAGACTTTGATATGACCCTATCACGTTTCTCAATCAATGGGAAGAGATGCCCCACGTGTCACAGTAAGTACTTGTATATCCCTTGGATAATACAATGTTAACTCATGCTTAAAGGCCCACCTTAGTTGTAAATCTGATTTTTAATCCATATTGAACCGCAGCAACTTACTCCATCATTTGATATGAACCTTCTTATCTGTAAAGTAGTGATCTCCCCAGCATTAAAGCAAGTGGGCGCAGCACCCAATTGAGATTTGAAAAAAGGCTTGCACCCACCTGAAAATCCATTTGCATGAGAAAAAGCATGAAAAATTGGCATATATTGACCAATTTTGGTCTAGATTGTGAATTTGAGAATTAGAATTTTGCACCCACCTGAGAAAAATACAGGGGAGATCACTGTAAAGGTTGAAAAATCACTCAAACAGAAAGCAATTAGTTGTCTTTTAAAAGTGAAAAGGCTGGAATTAATAAAATTCAGTTTGCTTTATTAGGTGAACAGTTTTTTCAAGCCTTGATGATTGTTTGTACCAAAATTTATAGTTGTGCAATTTACAGACCATCTGAAACAATACATTTTAGTTGTTTAGGATCAGAGTTATATAATTCAAAGATGTAAGCAACTTGGAGATTACACCAATGCCTTTCAGAAAAAAATCTCTTTTGAAATGGCTGCCTTTTATCTTTTGTTTCTTGCTATATCTTGAAAATTATTTTAAAATGCCATAAATTTTTTCTGCTCGTGTTATTTCACATGTTTTACTATAATTGGCAGAATAGCAATTGTGGTTGATCTTTCATATGTAATACATGCAGGCATGACACATATTCTTTGGTAATTCATTCATACATACAATATTGGTGGTTATTTTGAGGCTTATAATGGCCTAGTCACATAGCCCGGCCGATGAGGTTACGATGAGCCAGCGATGCAATTTTCACCGAACTCGGCCGAACACCGGCCGGACATCCGTGGCGTTTGTTGCTTAAAACCGCATCGGTGGTAGCTCGGTGAAATTTTAACTTCGGAGTTAAATTTCACCAGGCTCGCACCGAGCTCCCTCATCATGTCATCGCAGCCCCATCGTAACCACATCGGAAAACACGTCGGCCGCTGCACGGCCGAGTATCGGCCGGTGTCCCGTGCATCTGAGACAACCAGAGGACGAGGTTTTTTAACGGACAGCGGCCGAGCTCCGACCGAGCTCCGGCCGATGTGGGACAGAGCATCAGCCGGTCACTGTTCAAAGCCCGTTAACAACCCGGCCGGCGATCGCACGGTGTCCTGTTACCTGCTCGGGTACCGGCCGTATTCCTTCCGATGTCCGGCCGACCTCCGGCTGGTAGTTGCTGCCACATCGGCAGAAAAAAACTACCATTTTGAGACAGACTCCGTACGGTCACCGGCCGGTGTTCAGTCGGTCGCCTGAAGATGTCCGGACGGAGTCCGTTCACGTCACCGAGCTCTGCTTCCGATGAAGAGAGCTCGGTGGCACCAAAAAAATCCACCGAGCTCTACCGATGCCGGACATCGGCCGGGCTATGTGACTAGGCCATAAGATGGGATTTATTTCACGTCAGAGTTGCCTTATAAAGTAAGTATTTGATGACGTTGAATGGAATTTTGTTTGTGTATTTTGCTTACAGATGTTCTTATGGATAGTCCAGAAATGCCAAGTCATTTTAACTCCATTGTAAGTTAGATCACAACCTTGAAGAAAGGTTTTTGGCTTTACCTTGTGCCTTTGAAACTGAAGCTTGCAGTCTCCTGAAGACATTCTAAAAGAACAGTTGCTTGCCAATTAATTATATTTTGATTTTAGGAACAAGTTCTATTTGAGTACATGGGGGAAACCTTTTCAACCCAATTAGCCCTCTCTGCCATTCTTAAAAAAGTATTCTGTGGTAGAAATGGGTAAAAAATTTGAGGTGGAGTGGCAGGGAAATGTTTTGAAATCATTTGACATGGTTCCCCCATATGCAAAGTCCTCATATGAACACATATTAACAAAACGCTCCTTGCATTTAGAATACCAAATATGCACTCATGGCTACTCCCCCAATGCTGAACAAGGCCCTAGTTAAATGGAATCAAATGAATGTTTTAGAATATGTACATTGTCCATGATATTGTCTTGAATTCAAATCTACAGGATGGAGATTGAATTCCCATATGAGACTTTTGAATGAAGTGTTAGCAAAAATAGTTAATATTATAATGTACGATGGTGTTCAGTTTCTCACATGTTTTCACATTTAAAATGCTCACACAAGACATGTGGATAAGTATAAATTGATACCATTACATTCTGAGAATACTTATTCATTAATTGTGGAATGCTGGACTTCCAGTACATTGAAATGGCTGCATAGGTCAATACTGCAAGAGACTGTATTCAATTTGAATCTGGCAGATCTGTATTTAGGATATTGAAATTCAGGAAAAAATTCAAAAGATTTCATGATTGTGTCATTTCCATCTTTCTTGAAAATATTGCAATTTATAAACAAGTCCGATGCTCTATGTGATGTTAAGCAAGGCCCACACACTGTGTAGTTTCAAACAAAGCCCAAATTCTATCTAGGTGGTGTTACAAAAAGCCTACACAGTATGTAAATTGTAAAAACAAGGCTGATACACTTAGTGTTAAACAAATCCCACACACTATACTAAGTAGTGTAAAAGACCTATAATAATTTGAACAGTAAGCAAGCCCCAAGCACAACATAATGTTTAAAAAGCCATATACAGGGTGTTCCAAAAGTAACAGGACTGGTACAGCAGGTGCTGGTATGTTGTTAAATATGAACTAATTGTCTTCAAAATTTTACATAATGTACTTTCATGTATTGTTACTTGAACTGCAAAGTTTCTACAAAAATTATGAAACTCGGGTTATGGGCACTATGGTGACATGACATTACAATACTTGGGACAACATTCCATGCAGAAAGTTACAGAGAATTTAAGCATTTTGTACATCCTATATATCAAAGTTGAAATGCAACACCTGGTGGCATTTGCTTTAGATCATTTGATATCCCTATGTAACTACTTTGAAAAGCAGGCTGCTCTTTGATCAGTACAAGTGTAGAATGCTAGGTCCATGACTCAACATATCAGTGAACCCATTTGAGGAAATGTCACGCAGTGTCGATTGGACAACTTGAAGAAGATCATTCTCATCTATAAAGGTCCTATGGCGCTGATTAGCATTCCGTTTTCCACATGCGTAAGATATTCCAGGAAATTGAAAATTATTATGAAATCAAATTTAAATCTCTGAGTTGTATAACAACAATATAACAACAAAGCAACTAATAAAACAAACATTAGATAATGGTATTGAAATTGATGAATTAGATACTTTCTTTAGTAATTCAAAAATGTTAGATATCACATTTTCTTGGAAAAGTTGCCCCAGGTATTGTGATGTCATGTTACTATAGTAACTATAACTCTACCCACATTTTATCATTTGTTCTGAAACTTAAGTTCAATTTGTGATAATTTGAATACCCGGTGCAGAATTGACAAAATGTCAGCACCAGTCCTGTTACTTTTGGAACACAGTCCGCAAACTATACTGATAAACAAGGCCCCCACACTGTAGTGTTAAACAGGCCCACATACTTGTAGTTAAACTACATAGTAGTACACTATAGTGTAATCAAAGGCCCACACAATGTACTTTTAGGTGTGCTAGATGACAGTTCTGAACTCCCAGAGTCTTATAAGACCACAGTAAGTTATAATAAGCTGCACAGGGCTGAAAAGCTCTTAAAGGAATGTTTCACACCAACATAAAGCAAGGATGGTGTCTTATTTAAATTTTTGCATTTTTATGTCACCACCAAAAAGTGATGACATATTGTTATGGTCTTCATTTTTGGGACGGCTGTTGGCAATCATTGATTGGTGTCTGTAGCAAATGGTGGTGACATTTTCCATGTTAATGTCTTGGTAGTGTATATTCTCCTCTGACACTATGTCTACTTTTATTGATAGATGTTCTTTGTTATAATTTTGTGTGTTTTTTGGTTGTTCTCAAAACAATGCACCAGTTTAAAGTTGCAGCAAAGAATAGAAATCAGAAAAAGGAAGATTTGTCAAATATGGAAGTTATTGAAAATTTATGCAAAAAATTTCAAATTCATTAGAAATGTAGAATTGAACAAGGATCTTGTGCTACTGCCAGCTATCCTTGAAATCAAGATCATCATTTATTAAGTCAGAACTGTTAGTCTTTTGGAAAATTGGCATACAATGACACTTTAGTTTGTTAATAACATTTACATACAGGTAATTGCAATGAGAAAAAAATAAAGTATGATTTTTACAATTTTTAGACTATCTTTTTTTTGTTGCAGCTTTAGTAAAATGTTTAAATTGCATAATTTAATTTGCTAGATTTGTTTTACGTTTGATTTTAGTCTGTGCAATATGTTGTGGTATAGTGTGTGTTTTACTTGCAGTCATCTCTTAATCACAATATATTTCATTTTCTTATTTCATAGTTTTCAACTTTTCTAACTATCGAAGTGTTGTTCCATTGTGATGGTGATGATCATGAATGATTCCAGAAACTGCATGATTCTCGCTTTTATATGACCTTTGCTTATGCTCTGCCTCTGTAGTATACTGTGCTCCTCGTATCTAGTTGACACTTGGTTGGATTACTACCTGGGGATTACTAACACCATTTCAACACTTTCATATTATTTCATTTGTTGTATTAACTATTCTACCCCAAGAATCTATATTGCATTGCTATAACAATTATTTTGCCAGTTTTGTTTTTTGGCTGTTAAAGGCCCATTATTTGCATGTAAATTAACATAAACATAGACTGCAAAAATTCAATTTTCATGTTTTTGCAAGTTTGTATTCATAACATGTATCAATGTATTTATTTCACCTTTAAGTAATATAATGAAGCAATCTATATTGTAGTAATATTCACCTCACGATAAAGACTGGCATAACCATTAAGAATACAATATTTAAATCCAAATAAAAATAGATAGAATAGTTTATAATGTTACAACATGTAACTCAGATAACATTGATTAAAATGCTAATTCCAGGCCCATGGGTTAAGAGCTAAATACTATCCTATAGAGATTTCCACAGAGAAAACTACTGAAGAAAAGATACCATATATGGTGGATTGGTAAGCAATCAATTGTAGACATTTTGTATGTCACAACCAAAATTGGTGAACTAATACTGTTATGGTCTCCAATTTTGTGATGGCAGTTTGCATCTGTAGTAGTGGTTGGCGTCCGGCATCTTACAACTTCCAATAACTTAACAAATACTCTTTAGACTGACCTAATTTTTTTTTCAAAGTCATCTACAACTCCTCAGAAATTCAAATCTGACTTTAGATTTGACATTTGATCTTCAACGACCTTCTCAATTGTAACAAAGCAAATATGTATTTTTTCAACTTGCCTCAAATTGACCAATATGTTTTTCAAAATCATCTACAGGTTCTCAGAAGTTCAAATCTGACTTAAGATTGAACTCATAATATTATAAGCAACTAGGTGGTGACATTTTGTTACGTTAATGCCTTGTTATATTTGCTTGTACATCTTTCATGATCAATTCTAGAAATCTAGAATCAATATTTGAAGTGCAAGTATATAGTACTATGTATTCAAATCATACTTTATAGAAATGCTCCCCTGATATAAGTACAGTATGTAACATAGTACTGTTTGTATTTTATGGTACATTTGAGAGTTGCCCCCAGTGGAATTTGTATGTATTTAGAATGTTTTAATTACAGGTGGACCCAAGCTCACGACCTCCTGGTCACATGTAATCTTACAAAGTCAAAGCTCAGAGATATTGTGAGGGATTCTGAAATAGTCTTAAGGTAACACTTACTTATAAATGATACACATAACACACCAATTTGTGTGCCACTTCTGTAATTTGTGTGCAACTTCTGTAAAAGTATAGTTTCCAGATGAATAAATAACAATAGACCTAGCTCATTCTTAATTCTTTTGACAATCAACAAACTTCTTTGATGTGATCGTACTTCTTTATACTTGTATTTGTGTGGTTGAAACAAGGGTATTATATGGTTGTCTGCCCAACCTTATTGCTCAAATAAACATGGCCAATATATATGTATTTTATGCTGCATTAACCATCCATCAATATGCCTGGTGCTCCATAGACCCAAACACTGTTGAATTATGACATGAATAAACCACTTTTCACAGGGATGGCTGCAACTGGTTCTTAGATGAATTGCACAAACACAAGCTTCCTCTGCTGATTTTCTCGGCTGGTGTTGGGGACATCATCATAGAAGTTCTACTACATCAGCATGAAATGTATGAAAACATTAAGATTGTCTCAAACTTCATGAACTTCAATAACCAAGTAAGTTCCATTTATTTTATTTTATTAAAAGGTCACTTCAGATTAGAATATTGATCATATTCAAGTAATACATGGTGTCCCAACTATACCTTTGCTTATTTTTGGCACATGAATGTTATAGACCAATAAGAGAGTGGGGGATATGACCGTGATATAATAAACTGTGATATGACATGATATTTGATTCATACTTACAATAATGCCCATGCTTTGCAGGGTGTCTTAAGTGGCTTTAAAGGAGAACTAAGAACTGATTCATACTTACAACAATGTTCATGTTTTTCAGGGTGTCTGAAATGGCTTTAAAGGAGAACATCGAACTGATTCATACTGATAACAATGTTCACATTTTGCAGAGTGTCTTAACTGGCTTCAAAGGAGAACTGATTCATACTTACAACAATGTTCATGTTTTGCAGGGTGTCTTAACTGGCTTCAAAGGAGAACTCAGAACTGATTCATACTTACAACAATGTTCATGTTTTTCAGGGTGTTTTAACTGGCTTTAAAGGAGAACTCAGAACTGATTCATACTTACAACAATGTTCATGTTTTGCAGGGTGTTTTAACTGGCTTTAAAGGAGAACTCAGAACTGAATCATACTTACAACAATGTTCATGTTTTGCAGGGTGTTTTAACTGGCTTTAAAGGAGAACTCAGAAATGATTCATACTTACAACAATGTTCATGTTTTGCAGGGTGTCTTAATTGGTTTTAAAGGAAAACTCAGAACTGGATCATACTTACAACAATGTTCATGTTTTGCAGGGTGTCTTAACTGGCTTTAAAGGAGAACTGATTCATACTTACAACAAGAACAAAAGTGCTATACATAAATCAGACTATTTTGAAAAACTTGCAAAAAGAGAGAATGTGATTTTACTTGGAGACTCTGTAGGAGATCTAAGGATGGCTGATGGATGTAAATATTCCAAGAATGTGCTCAAAATAGGATTCCTCAATGATAAGGTATTTTCCTATATGTCCTAATGTCTTGAATGACAATGACAATTAGGTTGCTGGATTATGATCAACTTTATTCTGATTTAGTTATTAAGGCTATTATGTGTAGGATTATCCCTAAATCAGTTTTGATTAAACTTTCTTAATCAAAATCAAATGGGTGGAAAGGCTACTGATCTGTATTTCAGTATATGTAATATGCATTATCTTAAGCTAATCTGTGTCTTGAAATTTTCAGGTTGAGGAGCGAATGGATACATACAAGAACTTGTACGATATAGTGCTGGTCGCTGATGAAACCATGGATGTTCCTAACAGTATACTACGAGAAGTATTCAGAATGTAGTCTCCATACTGTAGTCTACAAGTGATATATAAATATGATAGTCTACTCACAAAACCATATATTGTGTCCATATCTCCCAATACTCACCAAATTTGGCCCCTATACATTAATTGTCTGTTTAACAGATTTTAGGGGAAATAAGGCCCTATGACCAAGCTTTTTTATTCTTCATTTTACTCTAGATTTCAAAAATACAGAGGCTTGTTGAAATCATAAAAATGTGAGGTTTGACAACTTGACAGAATAAAGGGAAAAAGTCTGTCAAACAGACATTTAATTTGTAATGGGCCAACTGAGGACAATCATCAAAACATTTTTAATGTCTCATCTTAAGTTTTTAGTTATTCTTTAGCTAGTAACTATCATTATGGCAAAATGGCCAACCTAACCTTAGTAAAACTTTAATAACAGACGCAAAAGGGGCTAAATAGTGGTTATTATAGTATACATAAAAATGGTATGTGAATAGTGTGCATAAAACTTTAGTTCAGTATGAACTTTTTAATGATTGAATTGATACTCTGACAGATAATTTTAGCAAGAAGCCCGGTGACTCATAGTCTAAAGATGGCAGGCACAGCATTGTTCTTTTGCAGTTCCTCTTGTATGGGTTAACATACAAATATTGCTCAGCTTAATCTACCTTGCAATATTCAAAATGAAACAATTATCTGTGCATGCCCTATATGAGTCCAAACAACAGATACTTGTTGTTCTAGTATTATTGCTGTAACAGCAACATAGTCGATATTTATAGGATATCCTATGATTTTGAGGAATATCATTTTTATCTACGAGGTGATATTGATATCTGCACGAGAGAGCGAAGCGAACGAGTGCATATATCAATATCACCGAGTAGATTAAAATGATATTCTGAAAAAAATCATAGGATGTTCTTATTATCCTACACTTACAAGGAGTGTACTAAATGTATAATATCATTGCAAAATGAATTTCATGCCAAATAGAGTCAATTTGGCGGGAAATCAACAAGCAGAGTATATCGTCACAATATCCTCCGCATATTGGGTTTTCCGGAGTATATCGTCACGATATCCTCCGCCCGGAGTATATCGTGACGATATCCTCCGGATATTCATTTTGCCCATAAATATCAAATTTATTTTTTAATGTTATTATACATTTAGTACACTAAGTGTAGGATAATTTGATATATCACACTCTCCGCCATGTAATAATGCAATCCATCATTATAGCCTGAGATGTGATAATTGGTATTATCAGTTGTAATGTAGATTCTTGAGGAAATATTCATATATTATAAAAGACAAATTAACCAAGTTTATTATCTCCATCTATTGAGTATCTCTGTCATAAGAGCTTGTAAGAATGAATCTATAAAGTTTAGGACTGTCAATAGATGGCACAGTATTCAGTGGTTCATTTAATTATACAGGGTGTTTATGTGTCTGATCAATTGATCAATCTTAATTCCTTTCACTGTCCCCTCTTCCCTCAAATGTTTCCATTAAACATATTTTAGTAGGGAAGGGAAGAATCCATGTACAGTTAAGTTATTTAATATTTTAATATTGGTTTTATTTGGAAGTTTCATGTAGTATCCAATCCTACATACTCATGCAACATATGTAGATATGAATCAAATATGTTTTAGTACAAATAGATAACCTGCGAAAACAGTGTGAATTGTGCCTATGACATTATATTTATTGGGGATCGCACAACTCTTGCGAGATTTTCCTCGCAAAAACTCTTTTTGGTAAAAATGGATTCTGTAAGAATTACAATCATTTCCAAAGTGCAAAAAACATCATATGTACAATTTTTAAATTGAGAACATTGTTTGATGGACTCTTCTAGCATGGTTTTATTTCCCCACAGGTATTCATTAATATGTAGGGCAATGACAGTGATGTTTTTGCACAATTATTATAACAGAATAATGTACATTTACGCATAACATATTTTGTACTAAAATGCATCATACTATCTAGTATCTACCTACTGGTTTTAGTGATATTCTGTTTATTGCAATGACTTTTATTAACGCACATCATATGAAACCTTTTACTATATGTATACATTGCAGTATAGCATACCAGCTTAAAATGTATAAGTGTATAAAATGGATACTACTGTATATGTGATTGTTGAAAGTTGATTTTTGCAATAAACCTAATAATGAAAAAAATATATCTTTGATCATTCTGTTTGTCTAGAATAATACGAGTCTATGGTCAATTTTGGATTGTAACTTACGAATTCTGAAAAAGCTGTTAGATGAGCATTGACCACCATGGCTCCAGAACAGACCGCTCTCTAATGTATTGAACATATAGGTTGTAATGAGCGTAGTTTAAGTGGTCGAATGTATATATACTCGTGTATGGAAAATTGGAAAAACATGCAAATAATTACAACCATACCATTAAATCAAACTGTACATTACAATCATTAAACTGACAAAACGGTACTAGTATCAGAATAAATAATTTTTAATTAAACTTTCTAGCATTTTATTAACAAAATCTGAGAGTTTTAGATTGTCAAATACTCCACTAGTGTATCCATAATAAAATGAAATGCAATGTTTTCCCAAGACCTGTACTTGAAAGACAACTGTTGAATGGATGTTTTGCTATTTCAGCCGCCTCAAACTTATCGTTTCGCAATGGTTTACAAGCATGGGATTTTTTTTTGAAAATTCATCGAATTGTCCTCAGTTTCTGGTCAGTTGTAATCGAGGAAATATTAGAAAAACAGAGTGTACTGTAAATTATGTTGATTCTTATTTTTCCTGCCTTAGAATTACTACTGAAAATATCAAACATTCATGTATATACATGTAGGAAAAAGGGTTGCTAAAACTTTGGATTTGCTTTTTATTAAACAATTCCTTAATATTTCGACTAGGCGTCCCTCCGTCCGTCAACATCAGTCGCACAAATTAAATATGCTATAGGTCAGCAGCTATTGGTATGAACTCATATCAACATTCATTTTCTGTATATCCATATGGCCTAGTGCCTATTTGACCTGTCATCGCCATTTCGCAGGTTTCCGAGAAATTGTCCGATTTTGACGCAAAAGTATCAGGCCCTTGTTAGTTAAGGTAGAACTTTCAAATAAGTGTCAGTTGTTGCTGTATGTGCAACATGTGTCCTCTGCAGATTTCAAAGCTCTTTGAATTAGTTTTCGGTGTGAATAACATTTGACAAAAAGTAGGACTGTCATTTTCAGAGAACTTTCTCAAGTATAAGGTCAATGGCATTTTGTGATAGTAAATTCTTTGTAGCTGTCATAACTTATTCAATAACTAAGTATCTACCAAAGTACAAGTCTGAATAACTTAACGACTTAGCAAAAAACTCATGTAATTTGGACAAAAATAGTTTTTTCTGTACAAAATAATGCTTTCCAAACATATAATGTGGTTACAATTCACTGTGTGAGTACAGGTCCATTGGCCCTTTATTATCCCTACAGTGGTGGATAAAAGCCTTCAATATCTCAGAAAAATATAACAAAATGGTTTTATAAGAGAATGATGGGGCTTTATTCGTCGAATCTCCGTTGGTGTATTGCTAAATGCTTTTAACCTGCTGTTTAGGGTTTTTTCATGTCTTCTGCAGGAATAAACGTTTTTTGTCGATATTTACGGAAAGGAAATATATTAGAAACGTAAAGGCTGGTAATATAAATAACTTCATGCCTTCATAAAGATTTTCCTCATTTAATAGTTCAGAATTTTAATTGCCTACATGGGTCTATATGAAATGATTAGTATTACATATCAGAATACACTGATCTTGTGTAACGTACAGCAAACTCACCATTTCCCATTGGTGACTTTCAGAAGTATGGTGCGATTACAATTAAGTATGAGCAAATGGTAACATTTACGAGTGCATGACCACACGTACTGGTGTATGATTAAAACCACTCGTGTGACATCACAAATACGTCTAGGTTCATGTACGTGACTACAGGTAAGAGTGTATGAATGCAAGTATGAATTATAATCACAACTACGAGTGTATGCTTACAAATACGAGTAAATAATCTCAATTATAAGTATTTGATCATAGCTACGAGTATATGTTCTGAACTATGAGTGTATGATCACAACTACAAGTGTATGATCTAAACTATGAATATATAATCACAACGAGCGTATGGTTTTAACGATTAGTGCAATGTCACAACTACGAGTGTATGATCCTAACGGTGAGTGTATAGTCAAAATTGTGAATTATATGGCCCCTTAATTTAAATTTTGTTTGGTAAGATTCGCAAAATGAGATCATATATAAGTCCCCTCAAGCCTATATACCATACTTCCCGGGACAATGACCTGCATCAAACAAGTAAATATATTTCCCTTTTCTTTCTTGATTGATCATAAATATATTTTCCTTTCTTTTAAATAATAATTGCAATTACAGGTTATTGTAACATGATATTACTTTTGCCCGTGGCCAGAAAATTATCAATAGAGAGTAATTTATGGATAATGTTAAAGTAAGTTTGTATGCGAGAATAATGAAGCACTCATCTCGTTATTGTGCTGACATTTCTTGCTAATTCTAATTGATTCTGAGAGGGAAGGTAATGGCATTACCAAGGTAATGGGCTAAAAGTGTGAGAAAATACAAGAGTGTCGCTTTTTGTATTTGTTCAACTATGCTTTGTTGTGTATTGTTGAATGGATTTTGATCTGAGAAAAAACTTAAAAATCTATAATTTGGATGAAGAGAATTAACAAGTACGTATATCCATGACTAAATCGAATTAAAAAATTATACAGTTCATGACAATTCTTTTCAATGAAAGCCTCGTATCAATACTCATCAATATAGGTGTGCCTGATTTGATACTAAAATGTTTCGTGTTTCAAGTCGCAATCGGTGTATTATAACATCTTTCTCTTGCAACCAGAATAAAAACTGATAAATGGCCCTGATGTTTTACACTGACGTTTTCCTAGAGATATAGAAAATTCGTTACACGGATAGCTTGTGGTTGCAGAAAGTACTTGTCCCTTGGAATAATTGTCTACTCGTTAGGTCGTTGAATAACTTCCGCAAAGAATGCACCATTGGAAACATTGATTAAGAAACTAGAAGCAATATGTAGTTGATGTCATCAATAAACTAAAAGAAAACAAACTATCATCTATCTAATTATGGTAATGATCGGCGGTTCTAATCGTAAATAGCAAACTTTTATTTGTTTTGTATCTCCTGCCTTTCATTCAAGTGTTCGATTCTCCACCCCCGAACTATCGATATATCAATAATATGAATGCCATTTCATTGCAAAGTATGTTTGCCTTTTCTTCCTCATGTACCAAAAATACACCCAGAGGCATTCGAATGTTTTCTTATTGTTTCACATAAAGAATGTGATGACGCTTTGGTTATGCAAACACAAAATAAAAATTCGTCATCTTTAAAGATCTTTGTTTCTTGGAGGCTTTAGATCAATTATACAACGCCGATGACTGTTAGATTTGATATCGGAACTGAACAGTCAATAATGTTAGGTTCAAGGAGAATTGTTTCAGCTCACGATGATCACCCAACTATTGGGTCAATATTTCCGTATTTTTTCAGGTTATAAATTGTTCTTAGTTTTAGTGTTGTCGTGTTGCAAACGTATCTACAGGGTGGGCTAAAAATGTGGGTGGTATCCGCGGGCTGTTTCGGGATTACATATCAGGTGGATTAAGAGCAGGTGTTTTCTGTTTAAGATTGTCAATTGTTGATTTCGCTCGGTGCGATGGTGCTCCATCTGTTGGAAAATAAAGTCTCTGGATGTGCGCCTAATTTATGGTAAAAGACCTTTATATAATACACGGATTAATCTACTATTATATGACCAACTCATTATGAATAGAATAGTGGCAGGTACTGTTCATATTTAAATGAGTTGCTCGTAAAATAGTAGGTTAATCCAGTAGCCGATAGCCGAAAGTTACGAATGCACGAATACAAGCTACTGTAAGTTCATACAAAATATTGAATGGATTGTTTAAATTTATTCGTGTGATGTGACACCTAGGTTACACCTGGCACGACACACGATCGCTTTCTTCACTTGAAATCATTATAGATCGTGTAACAATTGATTCAATAATTGATTACATGATTAATAACAGATTACATAATCATCCATACAAATAACGCAGATGCGAGTAGGTAGTAACCAGTTTCACCACCAGGTGGCTCGCTCGGGTCAGATAGCATGGCGGGTATAGTAGAAAGTTCCCTTTAACTTAAATTACATCTGTTTTAGTGGTTCAATTTTCATATAACCCTTATGTATCTAATAGTTATGCAAATCAAAATTTGTCCAGTAAATGAAAATGTTATCTGACCAATACAAGAAAAGGTATTTTACTTTTTGTGATTTTGTAACATGGGCTCTATGGAGAATCAACCCGAACTAGAAGTCACACTTTCAAAAATAATTAAATTTTCAAACTTGATAAACAATTTTCGAAACCATATTTCTAGACGTAATTTTACATGTAGATTTTAAATATAACATCGCTTTGACTGGATTTTGAATATTTAATGGCGTAAATCAAGATTTTTTCTACTCGCATCTAGTCAATTAAGAACGCCAGAAATCCTGACCAGTTGCAATGGATATGAAGCAATGAAAATCGTGGAGAGTGGGTAAGGTGTTAAAGATAGTCTCCGGGCAATGTAAGGAGTGGGTGGTGACGGTATGTGAAATATGGATGAATTATCATCTTAGTTATTGACTCATAATCTGTGATAACACCCCGACACGGCACCAATAAATCAGTAGTTACAAAAATGAGTATTCCGTAACGCTATAAAACGGGGACGGATAGGGGAGCACTGCTTTAACTGAAGTGCCACCAGCGTGGATTTATTTGATCGGAAAACAGGAACAAACTAATGTTATTTGCGATTTCTTCATTAGGCATAGGGATTTAGTTATCACGTGAATTATCTCGACCACACTTAATTTGATATGAATCGGCACTGATGACGCCTCTATACCACTCAATGAAAAGATAATAGATTTAATTTCTGAGTTTGTATATAATACCTGTTTGATGCTGACGATACGGAACTTGATATAACTACACACTGAAACTGTTCTGTTTTATTAGGAAAAAAGAAAAATTGTAAAAATGAAAATGCACCTGTATTTTTCCAAACTTAATATTTGAAGATACCTTGTAGCCTACTATTACTACTATTGTAGTAAGGATAGAAAGACGCAATTTGTTGACTGTGAAACGGAAGAATTCTTCTTTTGGGGTAAAAGGGATTCAACTGTATTCCAGGAGTAAGCAGAAAGATACTGTTAACAAGCCATTGGACTTTTAAGAACGTGCGTTTCTCAGGGACATCGAAAACATAATTACTAAAGGTAGGTCTCAAAATCCGCTGCCATTCATTTTGATTGTCGTCGTTGATAAAATTGATATATACATTGATTCATAACATGTTAATTTTTTCGTTATGATTTTTGATTACTGTATTCACCTGTTACAATACGTGCTAGTGTATATCTGATGAAGCACTAGGGCGGTTTGTATTTTACTTATGTTGAATTGCCACATTGCCATACAGCCATGCTTTGTCAGTTACAACGTTGGGTCGGGATGTTGACCAATTGTATAACTTTATCAGAGCTCCTCTTTGCCTGGCGCTATCCCAGATAGTAAAGGCTGCGGATTCCACAATGGTAAACTAGGGGATGTTATTTTCAAAATCATACGATATTTTCTTCACAATCCCAATTCTATTTTTGAAATGAAAATTGAGATATCTGATCAGATATAGATTTTGAAGATTTAAAGGATGTATCAGATCCAGCAAGATGGCACCACTGGCACTGGCAAAAAGAGTTTCAATTTTGAAATGGCCTCATATCATTCCTTGTCATGTCTATTTTCCCAAAAAAATACCCAAAGTGTATGCTTTATTTGAGGAAAACTAAAATAAGATTTTTCCAATAACATATCAATTTGGTTACCATGTTGATTATTTGGTAGAATTGAAACATTTTTCCCCATTTTTGCACTTTGAAACTTACACAACTTCACCATTATAAGATATCGTGGATCTTTTGGGGGATATTGTATTCGAGATTGTAGAATAGATTGGTAGGCCAATTGTACATGTTGCTTGCAATTTTGTCATTGCCCAGGGATCTGATTCTGATTTTAAGATGCAGAAATCGCAAAATTCATTAAAATTGAAAAGGGGATGTCTTCTTTTTCCCGGAACCCTTAAAATCGAAGGATGATCCTAAAATAACGTCTGAACTGTTGGCATAACATGGAATAATGAGAGCAAAAATGAGTGTAAAATGTAAAACTTTCTCTCAACTCTAGGCTCAATCCCTTCTCGTCCTTTTAACTTGGCGTCACGTGTGGCTGTTAAAAGTATTAGGTACAGCTACTACTTGTTTTTTCATTTTGAATGGAAGTCTTAATAAGAGTACAATAAAAAGACGTTTAACTTAAATTGTGAAGTATATCAACTGCAAGTAAATTTTGTTTTGAAAAACAACAAAAATTAATCGCAAAACAACGATTATTTCATAAATTAGAACGTAAATCAATATGGGTATCAATAGTAAAAGCTAGCAATGACTGTGAATCCGGTGTCTTTTGAGATTCTTTTACCGGAATGCGTCAATGGGCCTCCTCCTTTAACTCACGCATTGTTTAAAATATCTTGAGAAAATGTAAAGCTGTTGATTGAGTATCATATGCAATTTAGACAAACCTGGAACATCATATAGTGATCATGACTTTCTGTTAGTTTTCTTTCTAGAAACGTATTACTAGGTTCAAAATGGAAAGGTGGACATCGCACTGGATCCATATAATATGCACTTAGAAGGTTTATCGGGATTTTGCTGAAGAGAAACTAGATAAAAGTAATCATCAATTATGGCTTTAACCAATGCTGTTTGTAACTGAAATTGAGAATTCTGCTCGCGCACCCTGGAATGTCAAAATACTTAAAGGACCTTGTAACGAGTTTCTTTCTCGAGGACCATAAAATATAAATCCAATCTTTTTTTTAAATCATAATTCAGTCAACAAAGCACGCAACGTGACATCCACGATTACGTAACAACATAAACGATGTTTTATACTTACTGCCTATCCCCCACATTGATAAGTCCAGAATTGAATCACGGTGCCCATGTCAAGCTGCGCGCCTACTTAGGCGCGCAGTTTGTTTCGATCACAAACTGCGTGCCTAAGAACATTGGATCATTTAAGTTGGAGTCTGTATTTTGAAACGTTATTTAAAGACATTTATCCTGCATTGTTTTCTTGTTCAATGCGTTCATTCTGTGGCGAATATACGAATCTTGCAAATACTAGCAAAAACTGTGTGCAAATGAATCTTAGTTTTAAAACATAAGCAGATTAATGGCATTTTCGTCACTGATTCAATGGGAATTTATACGTAAATCGATCTAGCACTTTAAACATAAATGACAAATACTTTAGACTCGTTTTATATTTAATTCCTTACACATTTATCATGTTTAATTTAAAATATTTCGAAATAAAACAGATAATCAGGAGATTAAAAAGAAATAAACCACAAACTGCGCGCCTATTTTAGCCAGAAATTACAATCTGTGCGCATACACTATTAAAACTACATATTATCATTGGAATTTCTACAGAGGTACGTGTAGGTGTTTTCGATGTAGCTTTGGAAATTTTGCTCTATCGTCAGATTTTATGAGATTTTCATATTGAAAGTCAAAATGTATATAATAGAAGTGACAATTAAGTTGGGAACGAAAAAAACATTTATTTTCAGATCACCATCTTGGTGGATGGACTCTCATAGTGTTTCAATTGTGGGGTTCTACTATTAGACACATATGTGCCTTGTATGGCGCTTATGTTTTCTAATAATACAAAACAAGCTTGTTTTGAAATATTAGGCACGCAGTTTGGGAAATACATGTGAATATAGGCGCGCAGTTTGACAAGAAAAATGTTTAAATCACGTTTATGGCGTATTATCGTTTTGAACACAAACTTTGCTGTTTTAATCAGATGGAGTGATCCTATATATTCTAGCATACACAGACACAATGGCTGAATAAACGGCAAATGACGGTAAAAAGACATAGATATAACTTTACACTGTAAATTTTGAACACAGAAGTTACTTAAGACCCTTATATTGAAATAACTAGGTTAACATCGGGAAAAACATTGAGTACTATGAGTAAATTAAGTTCATCTACACAGAATGGTACTATCTTTAGAACGAGACTAACCTTGTATTTTTCGTATTTTGGCTCTTTTTGGGAGTCGTGTCCTCCCCGTCTCACATTTTGAAATATGCGCGCAGTTTGTCAGAGTTTCAAACTGCGTGCCTAGTAGGCACGCTGCTTGACATGGGCATCGTGTGAATTTGAAGCTAAATATTTTGGTATATTTAGTAGATTATGAGTGCTTGTGATCTATGATTTCCTTTGGATGGGGGAACAGTAATTATGAATGAGTAGTGAGTATTACTGCAGGAATAGTCTCACTATTTAATTATCTAATTATTCACTTAACATTAATGAAGCAGAAATACCATCAGCAAATATTCATTAGATGCGACAGCAAACACATTGGTAAAGTATAGAAGTATAGTATTACAAATTCGAATTGCAATTCAATACATGATGCATTCTTAGGAGAATTTAGATAAACGTTCAATATATACTAGGACAATAGATTTATTTCTTCTGTTCCAATAAAACAATACTATTCTATTTCATAGTCCTTCCAAATCCTTCTTTATTGCTAAATTATTTGCTTAGCTAAAGACAATGGTAAAATTATGGATGTCTGACGCCGTTTTGGAATTGGCGTTACGAGACTACAATTATACTTATTCATTAGTTCGAATTGTGATGGGCAAACAACTGATATTCAAAGATTGTTTTTTGTCTCCTATTGACTATTCACCTTATAATTAAATCATCGTTTATATATCGATCTTGGTAGCTTATGTAAACTATTGTCTTACCAAGTCTTTTGTTCAACGTGCCAGCCCCTGTTGTCAGCCACTTGTAGTTTGGAAAGGATAATATTATCGGTGTTGAAATATTAATAAGAAAAGACTGAAAGGAACTAATTGACTAACGATGCGTTTTTCTGTTACATAAATCCTCCTACTGCTATCATAGAAACAAAGGAGATAATACACTTACTTCTGAGGACTTGATCGAACAATTTTAATAAAAAAAATCCGTGTCGCACAACCTCATAAATGATGAATTCTTTTTTGAATCCAATCTGTGATGTTACGCATTGTTCCCTCGGGGAGTGTTATTCGCTCGTCCATTTTAGAAAATCTAATTGTTCATGACAAGTACTCATTCGGTACATTGGGTATCAAATAAATGTTTCTGTTGAACCCTACGCTGAGTTATTGTTTCTGGTTTATCTTAACAACTGTCAGCAGGAACATTTGATTTTAAAGTCAAAACTGTGATTCGTCATCGGCTGAACACAGGTTTCAGACCCCGAATCGATTCAAGAATGTTGATTCCTCTGTTCGTTCATACTGTAGGAAGTATCTATAGGTGGTTATAGTCAACAAGTGGTGGCTGAAATGTGATAGTTTTAGAAAATGATTTAACGTTATATAAAAAAGAGTAATTGTAATTGGCTGTTTATGATATGACCACTCTATCAATCGTCGTCCAGATCATTGTTTGGATTGGTTTTGATTTGTTTCTCAAACAACACTAGTATTGATTATGAAAGAGTGGTAACCCCGATCAAATTTTATTTAACCATATGTTCAGGTAAAGCTTTCGCGATGAAATATGTATAGGCCTAGCCTTCTGCGACCTTGTCATGTCCTCCGCCGTCTTCTTTTAGGGCTATCAAAAGAGAAGAGATGTGGCACATGGCAATAGTGACCAATATTTTAAACATTAACTTACTATCAATTGCGCAACTTAACTTGTATTTTTGATAGAACTCGGATGGATGGATGAATATAATATGACTTGCGACAAACCAAGAATTCATCAAATTTGTCAAACGATTTCGACTTATTGTAAGCTAATTAAGGGGGAAAATAGTAAAGGAGTGGTATCGATAAGAAGAACTTTTTGAACACACGTTTCTCTTTAAAAAAATCTAGAAATTTAACACATCGTCAATTTAATGGTCATCTTTTGAATGGTAACACTATAATTTGAAATATGTATATATACTTTCATCTACATTGTTTTAGAAAACACATCAAACATTTGTTTTGTTCTTGGTATCATGTTTCCAGAGTGAAATGAAACATCTTTCCGAACCTCATTGGAACAAAACGACATAAACACAACACGTTTAGGTCTCTCACAATATTTTAATTGTACAAAGGAAATTTTGGTTGATTTTAAAAAAGTATCTTGTTAATGAAATAAAAGGTTTATCTTGATTTCTATCTATTTTGGGGGGATTTTGTTTTAATTTTTTGAATACTTTTTTAAAATCAACCAAAAATTCCTTTCTATAAGTATAATATTGAGAGGTCTAAAAACATATTGTATATGCTATTTTGTTCCAACATGGTTTGGAAAGACATTTTATTTCATTCTCAAAGATTGGTAGAAAGGAACAAAAACAATTACACTAAAAAAAATAATGTTAACAAAAACAGTTATATAAAATATTTCTAAATAATTTTCGCACTAAATTGTTGTCAATCAGTCAACATTACGTAAAATACCATGTTTTTACAGAATGTTTTCAATGCTTGGTTTAAGAGAAAAACATTGTTGAATTCAGTTCTCCATATCGATACCAATCCTTTGGAATTATAGAAAATAAAGTCAAGTTACATCTCCTGCATTTTTTCGATTATGAAAAAAGGTTTCCACACTTATGGAGAGGGGAGTTGTAAATGCAACTATATTTAGCAAAGTTAAGATATCTGATCGAATTATGATCAAGTAAAATACTAAAGATGCAAAAATGTCCAAATTCAACAAAATCATCCAAATAGAAAAATGGGACGTTCACGTTTTAACAATTACCAGTAATCATAAAAACCTATCACACTCGGAAAATTGCATTATAGAAGTTCCCTATAAATGGATATGATCTGTTCAACCCCAGCAGAAATGATTCATTGAAAACATAATTAAGATATGAAATATTTAACACCGTGTCATCTTCCACAAATGTTGCATCGTGGCGGTTGTAAAATCCTCATTTGAAACATGAACTGCAAAAATGTACCGAGAAAATTAGTTAAGGGATAATCAAATTAAACGAAAATGTATTTCGTATCTGATATAATAAATATCGCTATTAGGTTATCAGTTATCACTACATTGTTATTAGATTATTAAAGCGTTGTCCAGAATGAAAATATTTACAAGGACTAGGGGAATGGAGATGAATTGCAAGAGTCAATAGGGAGGTTAAGATACACGGTTTTTAACTTGTACGTGAACGTGTAGAATTATGGTCCTCTGTGGATTAGTTCTCCCCTTTGTACTGTTTACTTGGCCGATTGAGTATAACGGTATATGGAAATAATTGTAATTAAGTCCCTGGAAAAGTGAACTGAGAGCGGGACAGTACTCCCCGGCGATTGAAGCAATACACGCTCGCGCACAGGTTCTCTTAAAAACGTGTAACTTACCCCCCCCCCCCTAATCTCGAAAATCCTGCTCTTCACAATTTTACAATATCGCTCTCATCGTTTTGTTCTAAAATGTTCAACAGTTATGATTTATTTCTTATGATTATCTGGCAAAAGTATAAGAAAATAAAGCTATTGAATATTGCAAAAAAATTCAGACTTTAATGCATTTTTATTCATCAATAACTTCTATATTTAATCAGATATCTCAATTATTTTTTTCAGAAATAATATAAGGAATATAAGGGAAACCTTTGCAATGAGTTTTAAAAGGATTGCCTCCAACACTTTACAGTCTCTGTCCCTTTAAATTATATTAACGACTTCGTGTTATTGGCGTCGTACGGTTGTCGGGTTGGTGATATATGATTAAGTACCTGTCTATATGTTGGGTTAGGTTGACATAAAGCAAGTGGAACATTATAATCAACATCATATCATTAGCCAAATTCAAGACCGAAGAGCTACAATTTCACCAATTTGCAACATTAACACCAGAATTCAGGCGATCGAACGGTATATCCGTGATTATTTTCACGTTTCTCATCTAGAAATAGAGTTCCGTAAATTACGATTGGGCCTCTTGGTGTCTAAACCTGCCTGAGTTCTATGAGGAATAATTGAAATTAGGGTCACATTGCGACACATTTGCACCTTATATGTGATGACTTTGGGATAGGTCCTAAGGATATATTGATTCCATGAACGGTATCACACAAGTTGATTGATCGGGGACCTCAGCGTTCTAGAGCTGGAGATGTTGGGATCATGATGGCTAAATCACTGTATAAATTAAAATTTTTGATGTATTGGCACGAATATTGTCATCTCTTGGATAATCAAAATCCTTTTCAACTAGTATGGTCCAGAGAGATTATATGTCTCTGTATGGTTGAAGTGAATAGTGGAAGACTAATGTGTATCTCGACTGTTGGTTCACTAGATGCTTGAATACTGACCGACGTTGGCCATAAAATATCCATCTGGGACCTTTACTTTTCATCAACTGCCTATGAATGTAAAACTAGAAACCAGGTCTATTAAAATGCATTTAAAAGATGAAACTGCTCGGCGTATTGGTTAGAATGGCTTAGTATAGTGTCTATTACCCTTTGTGTTCATTCGACTTCGTATTTTGAAGAGAGATTCGTCTTCATAGTTTATAACTAAACTCTGGGCTCAGGGGTAAGCACTCGCTGTCTACATATGAGATGAATGGTGATTAAACACAAAGGGCAATATATTAATTTATAGTGCAAACAAACCAATATAAACTATAAAACACGAGAAACCAAACCATATGCCAGAATTGTTTGAAAAATTAAAAGACCAATAGTACGCTAAATCAAGCAAGTCACAATAGTTCAAATGCGTGAGAGATGTAATCAGCTAGCTGGGACAGTTTTTAACTTAACTCGGATAATCCTGTATTTATGTATCAACTCAGAAAAATGCCATGTTGAAAATAATTTAACTTTTATCATTGTTTTTATATTTCAGCCAGTATGGTCATCACTCAATACATTTACATGGGCATGTGTCTGATCTACATGACGTACACAGTTGCGGCGGCCCCTGTGCAATCCGGCCGTCACATGGCCTTTGTAAAGCTACTTAACAACTTGAAAGAGCGTTTGGAGAGGGGGTCTGGTAACAGGAACATTGATGACATGATACAACAGTATACATTGAGTGACAAATGGACTAATGACAACAGAAACTGGTTTGATAAGATACACCAGGCGATTATTAAATTTGGTGATTTGAACTATGGGCTTCAGGGCAATCAAGTCAACGAGGTTGTATCAAAGCGACAATGGGACGACTACGGCCTGTCCGGAGCTCGATTTGGGAAACGAGATGATATGTACGGGTTCGCAGGGGGCAGATTTGGACGGGACACCGATCACGTGGACCCTGAACGCGAGGAATAAATCAGTAGTCTCGCAGTTGGAAAATTGCCGACAATCAACCACATATATTTCCTCCATCTTCAATGATGACGCAATCTCCTTAACGACTACTTAATTTTGCGACAATAAATTACAAAATTGCGAAATTAGACGTTTGATAAAGTAATAAAACTATCGGTACATTACAACTGTCAATCTCTCAAAATAAGTTCTAAAACCCGCCATACTTTCCATGCATCTAGAAAGGTTACCCACTCCACTACGATCCACTTAGAAAACGTAAGAGCACCCGAGCCTGATGAAAAACTTCAAAGGAGTCCAATCTCAAATGAATTGAATAGATACAGCAAAATGTACTAACTGTTAGCTCTTCAACAATACAATAACAATTTTTCAATTGTGATTCTAGCGAACACTTGCATCTCCAGCATCCTTTCATGTCTCGTATGCAATTAATAAAACACCTATTCAAAACTCATTTGTTTTTGATTTTGTATTTTCATTAAAGTAGCTAGGCAGTAGGCAACCGTTATTTTGACTGGCTAAAAATGCATTTCAAAATCAATCCATGAAAATGGTTCAGAAACAAGACACCTAGCCTTGCCCAAGTCGGTATTTTTTTACTAATCTGGTCTTGAATTATTACCGGCGGTCATAATAGAAATCAAGATAAGTAAAAGAGACCGACTTGGGCAAGGTTACAAGACACCATGCATTTCAAAATTTTAGTTCTCATAGAAACCAATGGTACAATAATATATTTTTAAGTTTAGCATATTTAGAAAAGATTGACATACAAAAAGAATTTTCATTTTTTCAAAAAATCGTTTGCCACCTGAGTGAGTCATCGATGACATCACTCAGGTTGCAAAATATTTTTGATTTGCTAAAACATTGAAGTCAGTGGTACCCTGCGTGTAGAGTCTAGTTAAACTACAAGACGGAGACGGAGCTCTCTTTTTAAGAAGTGAAGTCGAACGAATGCAAAGGGTATTGAAGTGGCACATGGCATTTTATTATTGAAATAGTACATGTCCTTTGTTCAATCTTTGCATAGGTGTTAAAAAGATAATCTTTTATGAAATGTACATGGTGGAATATTTGATGATTAAAAAATTCAACTCTTTTTGGGAAATGGCGAGAAATTAGAATATTTGAGGAATTAAAAGCTGGCAACTTTTTTCAAAGTTTTTTTCTAAATATCTCTAAAATAATTTTAAAGTCATGACAAATAGTTTAGTGAATGATAAAAACATATTTTCAAACATTACACGGGGACTTTAAGTACAGCAAATAACCAGATTAAAATAGGACCTAGATTTTGGCATTTGACATAAATGCGAACTTTACCTAGTTTTCGACCAAAAAGGTCACATACCCTATCTTTAATATTATGTAGCCCAAGCAGCAATTAGTCATGGTTGTCTGGAAACCTTCGCACGATTGCATGACAAATCGAATCGATAAGCAATTGACTTGTAGTGTTGGTTGATACATTTTCTCTAAATTAAAGTATGTATGATTTGTGCTAGAGTGCGTCAAATTTAAGGTTCGGATTGCGTACAAAACTAAAATTAGGAATGTAGGATTTTTTCACAGAAGAGAGTGATCCATCACATCATCACATCGTTACATATCTCAAGATAAATGATGGTAATATTCTTTGCATTTCATTCTCGTAAAGACATATATATTAAGAGCTGATTGATGATCTTGATTTAACAAGAGAAAGGGTCAACAAAAAAAACAGTTTTTCTGCACCCACGCAATAACTACGCCTCTTCCCCATTACAACTCGCCATCGGAAAGTTTGATGCATGATTGTGAAAGATCAAAGAAGGCAAATTACAAGATGCAGTAGCATCAGAATGTGTTACACAAGTTTTCTCTTCCCGCACTGTCTCGGCATTTGAACTTTTAGCCCAATACAACAAGAGTAGGCTAACCATACCACCCTATGCTTAGTGAGCGGACCTAATTTCAAGGGTGATGGTAAAGACGAGGCATGGCGCCCAAACCTGGCCTGTAACTAGGTGCACTGATGCTTTCTTCGCAAATTACATCGCCATTGCTCGTCATCGAAATTCTGATCGCCGAATAGACACTCTAGTAAACATTCATTTTGCATTGGATGTACATAACTAGAGACCGCCTTATTTCGCATATATGAAAAAATAAAACATATCTAGGTACATATATCTTTATATGTGACATCGATCAGGAATTATTGACATATTGACAATATTAGGTTGTAATTTCTTGCGGTAAATTCAAATTGTATCTTTAAACGACTGTTTCATCTTAACTATTCGTTTTATTGGATATAAAACAAACGGTATGCATAGTTTAACATCTTTCACTTCTAAAACAGCATAAAATATCACAATATCATCACCTTATGCTGCAATAATACGACTTAAAAGATTATGGTACTAATATTTTTTGGTTTTTGGGCGCCCTGCCTCGTCTTTACCACCACCCTTGAAATTAGCTCCGCTCACTAAGCATAGGGTGCATACTTTCAAATCCATTTGACCCTTTCGTGCTAATGTTTCTTTGTGAGAACTGCATCGCTCGATCTTTTTTGTTGGACCTCGCCCATTTCCTTTTACAATTTTCAGTCTTCCCTATAACATCTCAGTCAGCCCTCTGTATATTTAAGTTCTAAAGTAACTTCTAGGCTCTTGCTATATTGTTGCTAACTTATGCCCAAAATATTTTCCTCTTTAATTCCGTACTGATTAATTTCGTTTCATCCTGATTATAATCATGAGGTTATGATGACTTCATGACAGAACTAGTTTGAGTGGACCAACGTCTAAGTGGATATCAGTATCAAGAACAAAACATGAAATGTGACACACTTTTAATAATTATACACCTTTAATTTAATACGTACCGATCTATTTCATGAGACACGAAGAGTGGTATCGGAAAAGTGAAAGTCAGTGGAGACTGCGATGTTGCTCATCAGCTTACGATGACAATAATGATAATCCTGAGACTAATGAAAATGAGGGAGCGGAACCATACCAGGCCAGCAAGATAGGTAAAGGCAAGGGGTACACCTGTGACTACTTTACTTTCCCGTGACCTCACCCGACCCAATCAACGAGCAAGTGTACCTCAATTGTGTTATAGCAACTGATACTCTGCATTCTCTGAACACAAGGCTCCAGACACCATCCACCATCCACTATGTCCCCTCCTTCTGAGGGTTGGTAACAGATCCGTTAGGATCTACTGAATATCACACCAGGCCAGGGGGGCTCGTGCGACCCCCCCCCCAGATATCTCTTAAAAATGTGGACCTACCTTTTTTGCTTTCTTGAAGAATTTTCTTACATTTCGAGGTAGAAGGTAACATTTGGTGACATATGTACGGTGTACTTTGATGTGATTGCCAATTTCTTTTTATAAAATTCCAAATAGACTAGAATAGCGAGGCAACCCCCCCCCCCAAAAAAAAAAAAATTGGGGCCTACAACAAAGGTCAAACTTTAAAATTGGCATAGCTATATATACGCAGAATATGGCGTCGCGTTCTATTGAGTCGAGTAAGTGTAAATTGAAATTAATCACATACTTTCATCCTTTAACCGCTCAGAACGCGCCAAATAAGACTAAAAATTGAATTTTTTAAATACGTAAATCATATATTTTGATCCTCGAATCACTCAGAACGCACTAAATCATCAGCCCAAACATCTTTTCAGGGGAGCATGCCCCTGATTTTTTTAATAAATCATACAAGGTTGATCTTAGAATCGCTCAGAAAGTGTCAAATAAGCCTAGAAATTTGATTTTTTAAAATACATATAAATCATATATTATGATCCCTAGAATCATCTAAACGCACCAGAATCGCCCAGAACGCGCCAAATAAGCCTGAAAATTCAACTTTTTGAAATAAGTAAATCATATATTTTGATCCTAGAGTCGGTCATAACGCACTAAATCAGCCCGAAACTCTTAAATTTTCCGGGGGAGCGTGCCCTCTGACTACGTCCCTCACAAGCTACAGGGTGTTCAAAAAAACGCAACCCAAAGAAATCGCTATATTTTGGAAAATACTAATTCAATTATATTCATTTTTTTTCAGGAGAAAAACTGTGTATGTATAGCTCCTGTAGTTGGTTAATTGTAAAACATGATGCATTGGACACCTGTTAAAAAGACATTTGTACTAGGAAGATACGAAAACGCAGTCAGGGGTGACTGCAGCCACAGAAAATAACTTCCTTTACCATAGTGTTTTGGCTCTTCAAATCTGGCGCAAATCATCTTCATTCAAAGTATGGTACATCTGTAGAGTGAAATCAAAATCACTCGAGGGACTTAACAGTTATGGTCGAAATTTTTTTATGAAACTCCACAAAATCACCACACATTTAATGAAGATAATTTGTGCCAAATCTGAAGTACTAAAACACTATGGTTAGAAAGTTATTCTGTTTTATTGCTGTGGCAGTCACCCCTGACTGCGTTTTTCGTATGTTTCTAATACTAATGTCTTTTGAGCGGGTGTCCAAGGCATCATGTTTTACGACTAACTAACAAAACAGGGGCTATACATACACAGTCTCTTCTTTCTTTCCTGGTATAAATGAACAGAATTGGAGTAGTATTTTTAAGATATAGCGATTTCTTTGGGTTGCGTTTTTTTAACACCCTGTATTATTTTACAGGCCATGATACTTCGAATTTGACATAGAAAGATTTTGAATTTTGTTCCGTCTAAATCAACTAACGAGTCATTTTTAACAACATAAGGTCATTACTGGGCATTTTTTAAAATTTGGGCCCTAATTCTCTTCTGCGCAAGCGCGGAAATTTTTGTTTTGGGTCCCCTCCTTTGTTTTCACAATGCGAAGTTGGTTAAGCTTGAACACATTTTTGTGTGTGGATAACCCCCTACCTACCTAACTACCTTAAGTTACATAAATGGTATGGGTTAAAAGTGCAGATCTTAACTGTTTTTCGAAATACCGTTTATGTAATTAAGGAATTAAATCGACGATTCTGTTGGTTTCTGAACTATTTGTTCGCAAATATGTACATTTTCTTAAACATGTGATACTGATACACGTTTGTGATAAAAAAAATGTGAGAATTCTGCCTAAAACGCGTAAAATAAGGAAAAAAGAAAAATCGTACCTTCGACGTTCCGACATTTTGTTACCGAAACGGTTCGTTTCGGTAACCAGCGTAATCGAGTGATCACCAGTGAACATGCATGAAAACTGGGAACGTATTTCTTGAATTCTTCCGAATTCCAAAATAAAATACTTCATTTGAATTTCAGTTATGCGTAATAATTCCTGAGACTAACATAAATTTTTTTAACATAAAATTTTATGTTAGTCTCAGATACATACTAATAAAATTACGGACTTTTTTCGCGAGTGCAGAAATATGTTCGGGTTGTTGGAAGTCTAGAAGGTCTGCGTTTTTGCTTGTATGAAACATTCACGATGCATAGCGTAATTCACGGTTTGTATTGGAAACGTGTCAAACATACATGAGTTGAATTCTTATTTGGATTTAATCTTTTATTTCTGATATTTGTCATGTTATTGTTTTACTTTTTTACCTTTTTCTCTTTATTGTCTTTGAGAGGTTTTGATTGAAGCATGTGTGCAATAAAACCTCATTGACAGATGCTTTGTAGTTGAGAGTTAATGTATTATAACATTTGTTACAGCATCATGCTCTTCTTCTTGTGGTTCATTATGTAAATATTGGTAATTGCTTACCATTGTTTGGTGTCCTTGCTACCATTGTTTCATGTAACCATCCGGATTATTCCTATTTCGTGCAGTTGGGTAATAATGATTTAATTTCTGAAAATTATTTGCAAGTAGCAAAAACGCCCTTAGCTGACGTCAATGTATATCGAAATATAATCTCATAAAATATATTTTCAAGTAGATTATGATTTTATGTATTGTTCGTTTTACTGTTGTAGGTATGGGATAGGTATGTTCCAGGGGCGGATCTGGGAACCAACAAGGGGGTCCCAAATTTCAGGTCAGAGAACAAAACGTTTGGCCCTAAAACCAAAAAATGGGCCCAAATTTTGAGGCCCATTTACTTCAAAACTTAAAGCCTGAAATTAAAAAATAAGGTCTTAAAGGCCAGTAATGACCAAAAAGGCCCACTTTTTGGAGTCTTAAGCCCTTTTTTGGCTCAACATTTTTTGGTACCATTTTTTTTCTGGGCCCACCCAAGGAGGGGGGGCCGGGCATCCAGCCCCCCCCCCCCCCCGAATCCGCCAGTGTGTTCTATCAGTATCAAATGATACAATGAACACGCAAAATTACTTTCAAAATCTATGAAAGAATGGCAATCTCTCAAGTGGGATGTTTGATTTCATTATCACTTTCTGTATCTATAATCCAATTATATGTTCAATATTTGAAACAATAGTTGATTTGAAACAATAGTATTTCTATTCACTATTGTTTCATGATTTGATTGTGCGCAAGTCTCACTGTATTGTTCCTTACAATTGACAAATAATCATCCTCGACGATTGTATATGTAATGTTTATCATTAATGCCAATCCGAGAGGATTTCGTTTGTCATAACAAAGTACTACTGAAATTTTCTTCTACCTTGTATCAATAACAAGGGAAATTGTGTTCAAATCTTACATCATCAGTATACAAATAGTGACTGCCATTGAGGGCAATAGTGTAAATTATTTCCCCGAGGGAATATCCTCTACAATGTACTATTCCCGAAGCCGCAGGCTGAGGGAATAGTACATTGTAGAGGATATTCCCAAGGGGAAATCATTTACACTATTGCTCGAAATTAGGCAGTCACTATTTGTTTTATTATATACCCTATACTGACTCTTGTCCCGTTTCCTCTGCGAAGGCCAAAAAGGCTTAGAAAGCCCCCTCCCCGGGTCCATTGTTAGCATTATAAGCTGTGACGTCATCAGATGCTCAACAGAAATTTTTGCCTCTGAGACTCTCACTTGACAAATTCAATCGCGTTTAACACGCGGAATAGATTATCATAACACTTGAAATTACACAGACGTATTGAGCTTAGGGAACTTTATACACGTTGCTTATATTGTATCGTTCACGCACGTCTGTCATGGTGAACGGAGTTGATTTGTGTTTGTGCTCATCCTCCATTTTTCTGTTTTTCGTCTGCGCAGTGATGATGCGCAGACGTTTCCAAGGGTAATAGAACTTGCAATTGTGACGTCAGCGGGCAATAGTTCAAATGTATATTCCCGCTGACGTCACATTTGAGGGAATATAACTTTCCGAGGGAAATAGTAAATCTATTTCGGAACACGTGACTAGGTATTGACCAATCAGGATTAGTGTTACATATTGGGTATATAATAATATGTAATATTTGAACCAAATCTGTCCACTGATATTTCAGTTATCAGAGATTACATTTTTACGAAAAATGGCAGCCATTTTTAAATCCAGTTGACATCTTGAAAATTTCTCCTTGGAGTAAACATTTTTCCCCCTGTCAAGTGGTATTTCAGTTTTCAAAGACTACATTTTTGCGAAAATGGTAGACATTTTGAATTGAGTGGCCATCTTGAAGTGTACTTCACAACAGAGTTTCTATTACACAAGGGCATCAGCATTTACTATTTAAACCAAAACAGTCCAATGGTATATGAGTTGTCAAAAAACTGGTGGCCATCTTGAAATTCAGCGGCCATATTGAAAATCCTTACTTGAGCAGAGTTCCATTGTCCCAACTACTAGCATATAAAATCCAAATCCGTCTACTTATTTGAATCATCATAGATTACATATTTTTGGAAAATGGCGGCCATTTTGAATTGAGAGGCTATATTGAAAATTCCTTCTCAAGCAGAGGTTCTACACTCATAGGCATAAGCCTTTAAAATTTGAACTTAATCCACCAACAAGTAAAAACGTGTTATATTATGACCCCCTCCCCCGGGAATTGTTGTCCACCTCTCCATTGGTTTTAACAGAAACGTTATTACAACTATTGCCCTCAAAGAAATAAAGGACGATGAGGTGAAAATAGTCCATAGGGTGCCATAACTTTATGTTTCACGTACACATTCTTCAAAACAGAGCTTACACCCCAAATAAGAAATTCATTTTTCTGGAGGTTCTTTTTATCTCATTTCTCAGAAACATTCCCACAAGGTGTTTAATCTAACAAAGCTTTTCCTCATAAAGCCAACATTAATGCCATTTTTCATGTTGTTTGATTAAAGCAAATTGAATGTCCTAATGTTGTCAATTACTGTACCTATATTGGGTACAAAGCCATATCATGTTTGGTTAATATTATAAGAACTAATTAACTCATATTTACATTGAGAATTAAAATGTAACATACACTGTAGCTTCAAGCAGGGAGCTCAATAAATCTTAGGGGACATGATCATGAATATCACATTTTCAATTATTGATGATGGAGGTTTGACCAAGATGGATAAAAGTAGATATGAATTATTCAAAAGGTCACTACTTGTTAATAAGAGCAATTTAAGCATCAAAACAATGTACACAGATGTGACATTCAATTTTTGGGGATTCAATTTTGAAACAGTGAATCGAAACAAACACTTCTATTTTCTGATATGCTCATATCAAAGTCTTATGGCAAATTGACATCAATTATAAGCAACCTAAATTCATCACTGGGGAATTCATCCAGTAGGTTACATACACACATAATGCCAGGATGTATTCAATGTATTCACATTAACTAATATGAGTTAAAACTAAATAGGGATCCTATTATCTAACCCAGGCTATAAATAATCTTAACTGAACGTATAGATCCCTCACATTAACCACAAGACCAGCTGATGGATTTAAAAAACTAATTTTTACCTATTTCATTGTAAAATTCAAAATCTGAATAACAATATATATTACATTTGTACATGTAATGCATACACAAGTGTTTCTGAATTATAACATTTTTCACTCATTAGATTTTCAAAATAGAAATAACAATCTGTGAATCAATGCTTCAAATATACAAGCAAAACACAAACATACATATACATGCACAGTACATGCCTATATGTACATGTACAGTGCTAGCCTATTCAAACATGTAGATACAAGCATACATGTACATATACAATACATGCCTATACGTACATGTACAGTACATGCCTATGTGAACATGTGCAGTGACAGTCTATACAAACATGTACTTTAACCTATATACTGTATGTATACATATGTACAGTAGCAGCCTATACGTACATATCCAGTACATGTCTATACGTATATGTACAGTACCAGCATATATGTACATGTACATGTATATTACATGCCTATATGTACATGTACAGTGCTAGCCTATTCAAACATGTACATTCACAAGCCTATGTATACACTATACATGTACATGTCCAGTAGCAGCCTATACATACATATCAATTACATGCCTATACATACATGTACAGTACCAGCATATAAGTACATGTATATTACATGCCTATATATACATGTACAGTGCTAGCCTATTCAAACATGTACATTCACAAACCTATGTTTACACTATACATGTACATGTCCAGTAGCAGCCTATACATACATATAAATTACATGCCTATACATACATGTACAGTACCAGCATATAAGTACATGTATATTACATGCCTATATGTACATGTACAGTGCTAGCCTATTCAAACATGTACATTCACAAACCTATGTACACAAAGCCACACTATACATGTACATGTCCAGTAGCAGCCTACAGTATACATACATGTACAGTACAAGCATATGCAAACATGTACAGTAGCAGCCTTATGCATATATGTGTACATTAACAAACCTTTACATACAGTCATGTACAGTAACAGCATATATGTACATCTATATAACATGCCTATATGTACATGTACAGTCCAATGTACAGTACAAGCCAATACATACATGAACAATTCCAGACTATCCATATACAACAGTATGTACAGTACCAATTTAAGAAACATGTACATTAACAAGCCTAAAATTGAACATTAACATCACATGCACAGTTTAAACCTATACAGACACAGATAGTACCAGCAATAAATTATGTACTGCCATCTTTTGTATTTCCAATTTCATATTGACAGGTCCCCAAATAACTTTAGTTAAAAACAGCCACCACTTCATGTCTTTGAGAACAATACAGAAAAATCCTGCACAAAATCTGGATTGTATTTTATAAGATACTCCTTTTTATCATATCACAAACATGTACATATGTGTATAAAAATATAAAATATAGGTCTACATAAATAAAAGGGCTGTACATGAGATTTGAATATATATTATCTTGCAAACTTTCTTCACAATATCATGATATGTTACAAACATGTGTTAAAATATGGAACTTTAGAATAATTCATGGCTGTCTATGATTCCATGATTGGTATACTTTAAAGCTGATAAATTTTATAAGTGGAAATAATTTGTATATCTTGCACCGTTTGTTTTAGATCATTTATTTATACTGTCCGCTATAATCCAAAAGGATTTTTCTGAGTGTAGGCCTGATATTCCTCAAATCCTGGCATTTTCAACAAATTATCCATTTGTCTCAGTTTGTGTAAGAAAAACAAAGACATTTTCTGGTCTTCCCTTGTCATACTGAGATTAGAGCACATTTGACGCAGACTTGTAAATTCAACACTAGATGTCTCTTGGGTAGCTGATGCAATGGCTCTGGACTTTATCAACTCAGCCTGCGCTGAAGCATTTGCTGTAATCTCATTGGCTGGAATTATATACAAATTAATATTGAATAGATAATAAGGCAGCAACCTAAAAGAAAAAAATAATATACTAGTATTCATTATACAGTTTGGACTTATTATCTCTCTGCTCCCTGACCACTGGTATCAAAATGTCTTTAATATATCTGTAGCTTGAGCGTTTAAAAAAGTGGAAAACTACCACATTCACCTCCCCCTGGTTAAGTTTTAAAATGCAATTGATCAAAGGATAGGTATCTATATAGTGAACTGAATTCAACAATGTTTTTCTCTTAAACCAATTACTGAAACATTCTGTAAAAAAACACAGTCCTTAATGTAATGTTGACTGATTGGCAAAAATTTAATGCAAAAATTATTTATATATATTAGTGCAATTGTTTTTTGTTCCTTTCAACCAATTCTTGAGAATGAAAAAAATGTCTTTCCGAACCTTGTTGGAACAAAATAGCATATAAAACATTTTCTTAGACCTCTCAATATTACAGTTATATAAAGGAAATTTTGGTTGCTTTTGCAAAAAGTATGCAAAAACTTAAAACAAACCCCCCCCCCCAAAAAAATAGATAAAAATAAAGATAAACCTTTTATTTCATTAACAAGATACTTTTTTAAAATCAACCAAACTTTCCTTTGTACAATTACAATATTGAGAGACCTAAACACGTTGTGTTTATGTCGTTTTGTACCAATGAGGTTCTGATAGATGTTTCATTTCATTCCAAACATATGATACCAAGAACAAAAGAAGTGTCTGATTATTGTTCAAAAAGTTCACCATATCAATACCACTCCTTTTACAATTTAGGATCACAAAAACAGTCTATTAAGTTATAACGTATAATCCTTCTTTATTAATATTTTTAAATAAATCAATATACATTTCTATTTCTTTTATGGTGGGTATGGTAAAAACAGAAACAGTATATTTTTAGTGGGATATTTATTAGCATAATCCAGAAAAACTTACTGTTATCATACCTCTCAATTGTATATTTCTGGCAGCTCTCACAAATGAATTAATTGATCCCACACTATGTTCATATACACCCCCTCATATCATAATCCTTTCAGTTCCACAAAAATTAATTTCTTCTGATCACTTTTGTCTATAGTTCGATACATGTACGAGGGTTGATAAAAAAGTTATATTCCGAGTTTCACCTAAATATTCCATGTAAGGCAAAGAGATTAGAGATGAAATTTCCTTTAAAATTGACAGCACCTGTAGGTTAAATTTGGACTGCAAAATTAATTCTTTCATTGAAAGTCTGTAGAAAGAATTTCAAGATAGAAAGCTCCATTAAATCAATAAAAAATTGATGCTCATCAAATGTGATGAATATACACAGCCCACCCTCAGATATGGCATATATCCTTGTATGTTATCTACCCCAAACCCATGTCAATAGAATATGAGCTACACAGCCCACCCTCAGATATGGCATATATCCCTGTATGTTATCTACCCCAAACCTATGTCAATAGAATATGAGCTACACAGCCCACCCTCAGATATGGCATATATAGGGGTTATGCACTGGGAGGTTTTGGATACAGGGAATATCCTGAGGGATATACAATATATCTTCCCGAGGGACCGAAGGAACCGAGGGAAGATGTATTGTATATCCCAAGGGATATTCCATGTATCCAAACCGACCGTGCATAACTGGTGTATCTCATACTTGAGTGGGTTTAGGGTAGATATAACCTTTTCTACCTTTTTCATATGACAAGATATTTATATTTAACATTTTCGTACTATTCTTTTTGTTCAATACGATGAAATTGTAACATAACTTAAAAAAATTAAATTTTAAAATTAAAAAATTAAAACTTCTGATATTTAAACTTTTGAAAAATTCTCGGGAGTGGGATGGATATATTATATCTGCCCGCATTTGGCCTGGAGCGGGACATATACAAAATATCCTGCCCGCTCCTCAGATACGATATATATTCCCGGGTGATATCTACCCCAAACCCACTCAAGAATGAGATACATCCCTGTATGTTATCTACCCCAAACCTGTGTCAATAGAATATGAGCTACACAGCCCACCCTCAGATATGGCATATATCCCCGAATGTTATCTACCCCAAACCTATGACAATAGAATATGAGCTACACAAGTATATCATTTCTTACCTTCATTCAGAATATCTTGTACAAGTCCTGCAGTTACCTTGCGCTCTATTGCTGCCTGCTGTTTGAAAAGCTCAGTGCCAGCCTCAACCTAGAGAAAAGAATGTTACTTGGATTAGCATGTCATCTACAAATATAATTCCTGTTTTTTATAGAAACACTTGTAACATACTTTCAATGAACACTTTTGATAATGCACTTATAGGTATCTAGTGCCAATTGTATTAATATCATGTTTGACAATTACTGTATACTAAATGAATAAAAATTACATAATAAATAATAAAAATAAAACTTTGAATAGAATAGAATATACTAGTATGGTACATGCTATAAGCAAAATATGAGTCTTTAATATGTTTCTAATATTATTTATTACTTATTTGCATATGTAACTAAACAGTTTTAGGGAGGAATCAAAATCACAGATGAGATTAATCTTGATTTCTCCTTAAAATTGATAACTTGAGGGTATTATATTTCATCTGCAGTGTTTTTATGAAATATTTTTGAGTCAGAATGGTACTTTGGCGAGAACAATATGAAGGTCATTCAGAATGGCACTTTGGCGAGAACAATATGGAGGTCTTTCAGAATGGTACTTTGGCAAGATCAATATGGAGGTCATTCAGAGTCTTATTTCCATGGAAATCAGTATGTGAATGAATATTATGTTATTTCCTATGACATCTGTCTAATTTCGATCACAAATGCTACTAATCAATCTGATACTCATACTCATCATATCTTTCTGTCTTCAACTAGAAATACTCGTATATTATGCTAGAGTGAAGCTAATAGAAGGCCATGATTTTTCATGATGGCTACTAATAGATATGACATCCTTCACATTTGAACTAAATAAAATTACTACCCCAAAGGCTCTGAAGAATAAGTGAAAATAAGCCACCCATGACATTGTGACTGTGATCCTTTGGGACGATCTACAGTAAATGACATACTTTACTTACAGTAAATGACATATATTTTGCCAACAGGCTTGTGAGGGGGTGTTTTTTCTTGAAGAATCACTTAAATATGAAGTAAAAATATTCTGATAGCCATGGTACCAGGTGTTAGCCCCTAACAAGAAACTTTTACAGACTACGACGATGTTACTATAAATAAAATATCCTCGATTCACATCAGTACTCCATCAATAAACGTAAGTTCAAAAACATATATATCATGGGCGTATTGCGATCGTCCCCACCCACACAAAAAAGAAAAGAGCAATTTTGTGAAAATTTTGGAAAAAACATTAACAAATTATAGTTTTAAATGCCTAGAATGTACCACACAAAATGTGAATTAAAAAAAAATTCCAGGGGTGAACCCCCATACTTCCTTTATGGGCCTCGCTTCGCTTCGCTCGCAGTGATGCAAACCCAATAAATTGCAAATGTGTCCCACTTATACAGGTTTTACTGTACTTAAGAGCAAGCATTGAATGTGCAGAAATGTCATTGTCCAAACATTATCCATTATTAAACTCTGTGCTATAATTAAATCTTACTTATAATCAAAAGTGCTAATTTCCTTCAATATAAATCTGTTAATATGTTACAACATCACATGCCTCTACAGAATATTTGTGCTGACAAATATTGGAGTAGATTATATTAATTGAGTACCAAGGCATGAAAGATATAAATATGAGAACCAAGACATGAAATTAAAAATCAATCTTCACAAAGGCCTACTGTTCACCAAAGAATCTTTTCTCTAGTGGGTGCAAAATTCTCATTTTCACAATAGATGAGTTTCCATATAGCTTTGAAATCCTACTAAATCTTGTTTTTTATGATATTTGCACTTTTAACCTCTTACTACTAACTTTTCTTTCTTTCAATAGCATATTTGAATTCAATAAAAAGTTTTCTACAATAATAACTTTGATGTATAAAGTTGTATTTTAAATTATTTTCCATGACTTTTTAAAAAACTTAGGCCAAATCTCTATTGATGCAATGCTAAAATTCTTTAAAACCTTGGTTTATTCGTTTGACAATCAAAAATTTCATGATCAATCACAACAGGTACATTGACAGGGTCATCCAATAGTATGTCATTCAAGTTCTAGACACATATACACCATATACAGACGGAGCCTGTGCATGGGAAATATTTGGTGCGGCAGAAATGAGCATTTGGTGCGGATGCAATGGTCATTTTTTAATTTCAAGGATAGGTATCGATATACCTACTGTACTACATGTCTACTGAACTACATTTATTAGGATAATAAGAGTAGCAGCATTTTAGATGAGAATACTAGTATATTGATTGACAAGGCTTGTAATATACCTAGAGGTATAGACATATCATATTTATATAACTCTGAAACATGGCATCTAAGAAACTGACACAACAATAAATACACAGCAGTCATGCCTTTTTAGAAAGTTATGATTGTAACTACCCTGGAACCCTTCGGCTAGTGGTATTCTATACAGTACAGTAGACCAAGTTTGATTATTTATTAACAAATGAAATATAAATATGGTTTCAGGTGTTTCTTCCCTTGACTCACATAATAGAGGACTTAAAATTACATAGATGGATAAATAGATTGAGTAGGGGGATGGCAGGAGATGGATGGAGAGTGGAAGTGGAAAGTAGTAGGCTCAATTTGTTTTAACAAGAGGATAGTAGTAGACTCATTGCTTTATTATAGCTTAACAAACAAGTTACTTTATTTCTTAACTTATCAAATATTTCCAATTAATGTAAAATGTCATTGGATATGTAACTAGTTGTCTTGTTAACATGCATATTGTGATTTTTACATTACAACTGTTATCCGTATAAGACTAAATCAATTTAACCTGTTTTTTCAGAAAATTGAAAATCATTAGAAATTCATCTCATAAAAGATTTTCAAAAGAAATATGCTGTCATCGAATAGAACATAATTTAAGTCCTTCATGGTAAAACATGCAAATCTGATAAAACATAATCAGAAATGAGACTTCAACAATAGTTGACCAAAAAGAGTTGCTGTTGTCATTAAAACGTCAAAATGTGTATTTATATGCAACCTGCATAAAATAGAAAATATAAAAATGTGACATAGTGACAACTGTTAATGAAACAAGTTAATGATGCCATTGATAATTAAATCTGAAACATAATGTTCAAAAATATTTATAGTTTTAATCAGTATGTATTATTAAACTCATATTTGCAATACCAAAATCAATTTCAGTGAATGTAAAAATGGTAACTGACAATGTTAGAGGCTTATGTAGCTATATAATAGATTTTTTCAAACAGTAAATGCATCGTGTAAATACAGAACTTAGCCAAAGCTCAGTGTTCAAAGCTTTCACATTCTGATCTTTTATTCTGCATATATAAAAATTAGAAAGGACAAAAAGCCACATGGCTTAGCAGTGAGAATCTAGTGTTTTCTTCAATTTGTTTATGGTAAACTCGGAAATGATTTTCCAACAAAACAGTCAGAATAAATGCCATAAATTGCAATTCTACAAAAGAACTCTTAGTTGAACTGAATAAAGGACCCGTTAGGAGACTCTTGATTTGCAGATTATACCTCAAGTAAAGGATTTGAATTTATTACCATATAGTAGATGCTATCTTTACGACAGTTTTAGTTATTTACAGACTATAAAAAGATCAGTAATTGATAGTCATTGGTAAATCTCACTCTTGAGAATCTTTATATCATCCCACAGATTTTATTTAAATGAATAGGTGCAACACAATGTGAAAACATGCCACACAATGTGAAAACATGCAGCACAGTGCAAACATATCGAGCGCAATATGAAGTCATGCGACACAATGTGATAACATGCAACACAATATGAAGAATATACAATACTGTGAAAAAACATGCCACACAATGTGAAAACATGCAGCACACAGCAAACATATCGAGCGCAATATGTAGACATGCAATACTATGTGAAAACATGCAACACAATTTGAAGAATATACAATACTGTGAAAAAACATGCAATACAATGTGAAAACATGCAGCACACAGCAAACATATCAAGCACAATATGAAGTCATGCAACACAATGTCAAAACATGCCACACAATTTAAGAACATGTTGCACAATGTCTAGAGTATTAGCTCTTAGATATAGTTAAAATGATATAAGGATAAGTGACATCTTTAGTATAAAGTAAAGAACTTTCTAGCATTTCTGTAATAGTATACTCATAGTGAAGCTATAATTTGAAGGTTTATTGCAATATTTTGATGGACATGCATGACGTTTATTAAAATGTTTTTATGGCAAGATCATTTACTGAGAATTTACTTAAAAAACTGACATAGCATCAACAATAGAATGGACCGATAGACAGATAAACAGATGAATGGGAAATTCCACAGGCAAAACTACATGATCAACGACAGACATACATATGATGTTGTTCTGACTGATCAATACATCACAATCAAAAATCACCCAGGGGCATCTCCATAATATCCTGATTTCCCATTCATAATAAAAATGAAATAATAAAATTCTGAAGACAATGAAATAATCTTAATAACATCACCATGATATTTTTAGGAAGCCAGCAAACCCTCAGGATAATCAAATACTGCTAATAATTGTATAAAAGGCCCCATGCAAAGATTAAAACAGACTATTTCAATTGAGGTATGTTACCTATAGAGACATTAACCATTACCATATCTCTCTTGTTGGTGACAAAATTCAATGCAAACAATAGTGAGGGAGTGGATAATGCATGTAACATGAGCCAAATTTGCAGTGTTCATGGGATAAATCAATTATCCACTTGACATGTTGGGATAGATATACTACACTACCTTGGTATGAATATTTTCCCATGTGATATGAATATGATATGTGTATAACTTATATATATCGGGTGTCCCAAAGAAATGAGACACTTTTTGCCAAGTATTTTCTCGACAACTGATGAACCAAGTCTTTTGAAAATTTGTACAAAGTAGCCCTAGAGTATTGTTTGGAAGGTACAGAAATATGACAAAGATCAGATAAATGTTATGTGAGTACTAAGAAATTCAAGATAGCATGTCAAAATGTCCCATACCGGAGCAATACAATGAGAATTTTCATCGCGTACCAAAAAATTGGAAGAATTTGACTAGTGATTTCTCAGCAGTGGATGAGTAAAATTATTTGAAAACTTTACTTGAGAAACTTTAGGGTATCCTCTACTCATGCTATGAATATGTAAGAGATTGGCTTCATAATTATGTGTGTACATGTATTGTTGGATTAAAAACAGTATGTAAAAATAACCAATATCGATGTAAATCTCACTTATTAATCCTTTTCATGCAAAATACCTTTCCGTATTTATTCTAACAATATCACCTCCAATGAATTTTGAGAATGAATGGATTTAGGATATTTGGGAAGAATAAAATGAATTAAGTAAACATGACACACAGACAAGCTATTTTGACTTATTTACAAATGCTATCACCTGATAGCTGGTACAAACACTATAGAGGTCTCCGATCGCAGACCTCCGGTATGGGGATTTTTGACATGCTATTCTGAATCTCTTATTACTCGCAGAATATTTACTTGATCTTTTTTATATTTGTACAACTTGCTAATGATACTCTCAGACTAATTTGTACAAATTATCAGTGAATTTGGTCAATTAGTTGCCGAGAAAATACTTGGCAAAATGTGTCTCATTTTTTTGGGGACACCTGATATATGGGACACCCGATATCAGAAAAGCAATATGTCAATCCTTCTAATATGTCACCACTTCAAAGATGTCAACACTTCTAATATAAAAACATTTCTAATATGTCCTCATTTCTAATATGTCACCACTTTTTATATGCTAATGTTTGTAATATGTCACCACTTCTAATATGACAACAGTTCCAATATGTCATCTCTTCTAATATGCCACCACTTCTAATAAGTCATTACTTCTAATATGTCAACACTTTTTATGTTTCACCACTTCTAATATGTTACCACTACTAAAATGTTACCACTTCTAATATGCCACCACTTCTAAATGTATGTCACCACTTCTCAGTAGTAACATAATTTTTCAGATGCGAGTAGGTAGTTCCCAGTTTCGCCACCAGGTGGCTGATTCGGGGGAAATAACATGGCAGGGTATTACAAAATTCCCTTAAACTTGAATATGCATCAGTTTTAGTGGTTCACGTTTCAAATTACCCTTATGTATCTGATAGTTATACAAATTAAAATATGTCCAGTAAAAGAAAATATTATCTGCCCAACACAAGAAAAGATATTTCACTTTTTGTAATTTTACAACGTGGGGTCTATGGGGAATCTCCCCGACCTAGAAGTCACATTTTCAAAGAAAATTAAATTTTCAAAGTTGATAAACTCTTTTCAAAACCACATTTTTAGATGTAATTTTATATGTAGATTCCAAATATGACATCAGTTTGACTGAATTGTGAATTTGTAATGACGTAAATCAAGATTACTTCTACTCGCATCTAGGATATTACTGAGTGTACACTTACCTCTAACTTTGCTAATTCGATGTATCTTTCATTTATCTCATTTGGAACATCAACTACTCCAAGTTGAAAATAATTCACATCTGTATGGTAGCCATGGGTACAGCTGCTTTTGTTTCTGTTACATCTGTTACAGAAGTTAGAACCAAAACAGCTGCTAGATTCACAGCAGTCTGAACAGCAGTCACCTAAAGTCACATATTCTATTTGTTAATATAACGACACACAGTAACTAGATGTAGAAGCAAACCGCACTGGCTAAATTAATAAATTAATAAAGGACCCACAGTCCTGTGCTCACACAGTGGAACCTTCAGAGGAATGTATATCCTGAATTTCAAACAAAAATATTGATTTGGATTTGTAAACTTGAACTTTGAGAAACTTAGATAGCACAGTTGTGTGACCTAGTTTGATGACCTTTGACCTTGAAAATTTTACTTATTCAGAGCTCAGTAAGGTATTTTGTGATTAAGCTGACCATACTTTACATCAAAAATCAATTTGAAAAATCAACTTTTTGACCTTTCGAAGGTCACTGAAGGTCAAGTAAAGGTCAAATCCTAAAACTTAAATCTAAGATTTAAGTTGAATACTCAAGGTATAGAGCAAAATGTCAAATCTTAATGAAATATTGCAGGCATTTTGATTTGAGATGGCAATTTGAATAACGTCTGGCTCTGAGAAAATGATGTGTAGAACCCCTCCAAGACAAATATGGCATAATATTTGAAATATGCATAAATCAATCCAAGATCCAAGTCAAGGCCAAATTGTCAGATTTTTGACAGAAGTTATTTTGAATTTGGAGAAGAGAATTTCCTCAGGCATAATGTTATCTGTATGCCTGCGTGAATATCATGGTTGAATAATTCCTGGGATATTGTTCATTACCCCCTTGCTTCAATGGGGATCACTGCTTCTGAGCAGTACATAGATGATTATATATTAGATGACTAGTTATTCATTGCCATAAGTGCCATAATGGAGGGGTTGTCAGGGATGGAGTGGTGATCTTATAACAGTAAATATTAAAGTTTTAGTGGAGCAAGTATCAAAAGTGCCATCTTTTAACCAATCTACATGCCTGAAAGTCTGTTCCTCATAACTTTATGGAATGCTTGCTCTATCATAGACCTGTTTAACCTGTATTCTGTCAGTGAATATTTCACTGCCTCGTTCTTTATCTCACTGTATGCTATAGTTTGGAACAACTGAGGGTAATCAAGCTTCAACTTCTGGTAGAGGCTTCCAAACTCTCCTGGCCTGCAAAAGAAAATTCACATTTGGTATATTCATGAATCACAATTGTGCTGGAAAGGTGAAAATGCATTACATTTAGTTGGAGTTATATCCTCTTTAATCTTATGCATCTTTGGATGTTGCCTGGTCTAAAATCAAATCCTCGATTTTATATTTGTGACCATTTGACACACTTTCCGTAAATCACTTTAGTCAGTCACTCCCCATGTTAATTGGAATGCACCTTCCCCAAAGTCTTAAAATAACAAAAGTAGAAATATAAACTGCACGAATAGTACTTTTATAAATTGAGCAAACCTGAGAAAATGTTGAAAGCTGAATCCAACATCAACTGAAAGACGATTATTTGTTGTTATAGTAATCTTTCCATTGACTAAATGTGCAGTGGATGGAGCATGTAGGAACTCTAGGTCTGGACCAAGCACATAGCATCCTGGGTAAAACACCGCATCAGTGTAGACCTCACCAGTAGATTTACGCCTCAGGAGGGCAATCTAAATATCAAAACAAAAAATCCAAATGATTTTAATACTTGCATATACTCATATAGTATGGCCTTTCAAGAGAAATCATATGGTATAACATAATTCTGAAATTTATTAGCCTTTTGTGAAATCCTAAAAAAGATTTGTTTTTCCTCATTATATATTTCCATGATCCATGATTGTACAAAATAGCTCTACATTTACATGTATGAAGTTTTAAGATCAAACATGGTTTTCCTATGTATATCATGTCAAGTTACAATGTACATAAAGGTTCACTTATATCACTCACGTTGATGTACTTAAGCCTGGTCTTACTCTTACCTTATCGTATTCCACATATATAAATGACACAGGGAACATAACAAGAAAGAAGATAGCGCCTAAAATTCCTGCCGAGACAAGACCTAATTGCCATGGTTTACGAGACACTATGCAACCTCTGCATGAGGAAAACATGTCTATAAACATTGTTCCGCAAGTTGCACATCTCCCAAATTTTTTCTCATCTGTTGTATCAGTACAATACTCTCTGTTGCGAGGGTCCAAGCCTCTAGAATCACCTCTGCTGTCTCCCTCTGCTGGGGTAAAGAAACATAAATTAAAATAACACTTGTGACATGTAACATGTCGAGATGTAAAGAAGTATGTGTATGATATCACAGAAATAAATATATCAAAGCTCAATAATTTTTTATCAGATCACTACATCTATCTTCAGCGACACAGACAATAAAAGGGAAATCTAAATAAATGATTAAAATTACTTAATGCATTATATAATGTTTGCTTTTACATCTAACATAATGTTTTTGAGATTAAAATTAAGGAATTATCTAATTATATCTTACCAGATAACGCATTCGTTGATGTGACTCTGGTTTCCACAGTACTATTGGTGGAGCCACCTGTACTAGAACACTTAGATGTTCGCCTCTCATTCTATAAAACATAAAACATGTACAAAAACATTCTGCCTCAACATAAGCCTGTAACCAGCCAAGATTTGACAACTTAGGCCCAAATCACTTGAAAAGTGCTCAGAATGGTGAAAAACTGCATGATTTTAAAAGAATTTTGGGCTAACATTGTTCGCTGAAGCAGAGTTTACTCATTTTAATAGTAGGTTCAGGATATGAAAGAAATTACAATATTTTCTTTAAACTGGCCAATTGTAACATTTTTGCTTAAGTTCCATTATATTTCAAATTAAAATAAGATTGATCAGTCAATATGGTACAACGAAAATGGGACTTCTGCGCATGTTAAAATTTTTCGTCAAAACTCAACTTTTGTTCAAGTTGATACGATTGTCTTTCAAACTAGAGACTTACCTCATTCGAAAGATCATAAAAGACTTTATCTATACTGAAAATCTTAGATCCAAACATAGTAGAATACGCCGTCAGTCCGCATTTGATTTTTTGAAGTGAGTTTCGTAGATCGTCAGATTTCTCCGACTGATATCGGGTTATCTCAAACTGGTTCATTTATAAATACGAATTTCTTTACCGTTGTAAGGCGCATGCGCAAAATTGATTTATAAACCTTATTGGTTGATGGTTTTTCTCCTGCGCATGCGTGAAGTCTGATGAACACTTATGACGAAGACCGGAGCAAACATTACTAGCTCTCGAACGAAATTCCAAGATTCATGTCATTTCGCCGTGTTTGCTAAGCGTGTATACGTGAATGACAAGCTGTTTTGAGTAGATCGGGTACCTGTTTTAGACACAACATTGATTTAGCTTGACATTGATGTGCACATTGGCACTTTTGAGCATGTTAATACAAGTTTTTACACTCTTAGCACGAGATGGGTTTTCGAAAAATCTGTTATCTGATTCACTCGATTATCGTATGGATATGTATTTCTGCTGACATTTCAACACCACATCACATGGAATTACGATGCAGAATGATAATAAAACACAAAACAACTACTAAATTCCACTTGTTATTTCACAGGAGGTAAAAATGCAAACTGCCTAGATTCTTTGTAAGGGTCGTCAGACATCGGATTGGCCGCCATATTTGAAATGAAAATATCACTAAATAGAGCTCTGCGCATGCCTCAACATTTCGACTGTGATGCGAAATCAGTGAAATCATTACATGTGTCCCACTATTTAAAATGCACCCTTGTAGCAAGTAAAATGTAAACCTGCATACCAAATTAGTTAGCTCCACAGGAGGTGTGGGGCTTATGTCTACTTGTATGTCTCGTAAAGGCTGGAGTAACATAACAGCCCCCAATCTGTTGACTGCTTCATAACTGGAGGACCTAACAGGGGTCGGAGGTGGTGATCTGGTCACCGCATCATCCCCTGGAATATGAATATAAAATTTATAATCTGAAATACTTATAAAATTCTTTTTGTCTCAAATATTACTGCACTGCAGTCCTTTGAATTGTTTACTTTGATAGTTTGACTCACAAGAGTGATTCGGACTGTAGGCCTGTACCCATGATTCACATTGAAAATAAAATGAGACTATTTCTCAACACCTACATGTAAATCACAGAAGTGGTATTTTGAGCTATATGTACACTTTGTCACATTTCACAACATGTAGAACCCTGGGGGTGTGATGCTCTGTGCAGTTAGAACCTCACACCAATAATTCATGATTTATGTTAAATCAGCAAACTGATGTTAGATAACTTGATTGCTTATAACTATGCAGATCATGCTCTTACCTCTAGATGGGGCTGGTGATGACTGTATGGTGGGGTTGACATCACATATAGAAGTGCTTTGATCGTCAACATTGAGATCTACTTCAGGCTTAAACAGTGTGGAGTATGAAGGAGGAAGATCTGCAGAGGGAGTAGTGTCCTCATCAGAGAGAGGAGTTTCATCATCAGGGGGCAGAGCATCATCAACTGTATGTGTGGCCTCATCAAAAGAGGGAGGGATCTCATCTATGGATAAATGTCAGTAAACTTTCAATTGATCAATGCCGATTTCATTAATAATATTCTATAAATGAATGCAGTAGATGTACATTCAAAGTCTACTGGCCTTGCACAACATGTGTAAGACAGTACAATAAACTCTTTCTAATGCCCTGGTCCCTCTTGGTCAAACATGTTCCAATTGGTATTTGGTAGGTGTTTGTCATCTCAAGTTTTTTAACATGGGTGCACATAAGAGGGTTATAAAAACTAAGACCATGAAGACACCTGGATTATGCCTAGGTCACATATCTGACCTCAAATTTGAGATCTGACCTTCAATTTTGAACAAAATATGCAATCGGACAGTTGCCAGTCGATGTATCGGAACAAATGTGACCTAGGCATTAGATGGGTGTTTGGATTAGAAATGTGTTCATATAAACAAATTTACTGTACTACATGTACTCTGATATTTCATGTTTTGAATTTGAAAATTAAGCCTTCGATCACATACCTGCATCACCAGAATCTGCCATCATCACTTAAGGTGAAGGACCTCTCAATCCCTGCTAAGATGAAGTATCAAGTTAATGCTGACAATTTGACAACATAAATTGGCATTTAGAGACCAATTAGCTTGAACCTAATATGGATACTTCTACAACCTGAAAAATATTAAATACCCATGAAAATACACAATAATATATTGTAGAATCTTGCAACAGAGCTGAAATAGCTTTTCTCAACTTGCAGCTAGAAAACTGTGGTTTTCTCCATTGTAAGCCCAACATAGTGTTCTTGCGATAGCAATTATAAAATAAATGTTAGATAACTGCTAACGATCATAGATAACGAAATAAAACTAACTGATCAATCAAATTGGCCCCCACGTGATTAGTAACGTCATGTACAAAATATAGCTTTGGTTTATTGGTTCCTTAGTAATCACAACGTCACGGCAACCATAGGATTGTTGTGTAAACAAATAGCAAAACATTTTGGCATTATGACGTCATGATCTAATGGACCAAAATGGGCCACGTGGGGACCAGCAGTGAGAGATTACGTGGGGGCCAATAACGTCACAACCAATTCGAATATTGCTTATTAAGCAGCTATAACGATCGTTAGAGTGAAATGATTTTCACACTACTGATGAGAAAACATGGCCAAATACATCTATCAAAAAATTATATTGATTCCTTTAGGTTAAAGATACCATTTCATATCTGTTTTAAACGCTCCATGGAAAATTACTTGTTCTGCCAATAAACCTATACGATTGGGGATCCGACTACATAAAAAAGAATCCTAGAATACTCAGGAATTGAATGCGGAAGGTCATTGAAGTGTAAAAGCAGGGTTCTCACTAAGCTTTTAGACTCCAGAGATTCTCCGGGGTATAATATGTTTAAAGTGTGTCTAAAGTGTTTTTCCAGAGTCTAATTTTACATTTTTGATTTATGACATTATTTGTGGTAAAACTCTTGAGAAAATACATAAAACTGGAAATAAACAAGGAATAGAAGTCACAAATCTTTTAGATTTGTATATTGTGATTAAAATAGGAAGATAATCTGAAGCAGTATTTTGAAAAGATACTAATATAGTATCTCTGATCTCATATGGGGGGGAAATAGTCGCGATACCACGGAAAAATCGGGGTCTAAAAATTTCCTGGTGAGAACCCTAAAAAGGCACGGAAATCTCTCCCATACTGTAATCATATAGACATCATATTAGAGATTTTCTCAGGATTTAAGTCCTGGCATGGGATAAGCTCTCCTCTGAGCCCACAGTTGGATAAAAGGACACAACCATCCTTTTTGTCTGGTGTAAATATCTATGGAACTACCTGGTGCCATATCTTAAGGGCCCTCTAAAAGCATGTTAACATGAAGAACACTTGATGTTGGCCAGATTGTTTTGTGGTAGGATCTCATAGGCTCAAAGAATAATTTAGAAGATGCGTCAGGGCTCTTATGTGTCCAAATATCATTGTAATGCTGACGTCACATCTCTGAAATCAAGGGAGCACCATTCAGATTTGGACAGACAAGAGCCCGCAGATAAAATATCACTATTTTGGCCTGTTTTTAACACATGATTGCTTGAATACTGTTCATTAGTGATCAGAAAGGTAAAGAATAACAAGACTTTGATTGAGTTATGATTTGTCTCATATCTGAAATGGCTGCGCAATCGTCATTTGAAATTTACAATAAACATTAGGGCAAGCGCTGTTGACCGACATAAAATCTATGCTTGAAATCAAGCTTCATCCAACTCCAAGGTAGATGTAGCCATCACTAAAGTGATAAAAGTGATAGAGCCAATATTAAAGTGAAACCGAAAGTGGAAACTGAAATCAAGCAATTTTGAAATTGACACTTCTTAGTTTTATTGAATATTATGACTGTAGTGCATTGGTCAGTTAGTGCGTACTCCAAAACAGTTAAAGTATTTTGACTTCACTTACCGTAACTGTAGAGTTAAACTTTAAATGTGTTTAATGTATAAATATATGCTATAAAGTTGTGTGGTTTCTAACTCTAACTTGTCGCCATCTTGAAGTTGAAGATCTACTTTGAAGTTCCCGGATGTTTAATTTTCCAAAATATTTTCAAGATTTTATGACTATCCGATGACTACCCCTCTTGGGTTAATCAGCACAACAAGATTGTTAAATAAAAATTTGAACAGTCTTTATTAGATGTGTATTTGTTGTGATGATAAATGATAAGGCAAATGAATAAACCTGACGTCATTACCAATTTCAGGTGCCTGTTTACATAACCTAGTTATTTCAAGATTCATTCGCTATGTTTACATATATTACTTTTTGCGATTATGTCATATTTGAAGGTATACGGATTAATTGATTGATGATTGACCTTTTTAAAAGTAATCAAAATCATCTTAAATGTACTAACTTGACAGGAATTGATTCAACTAATTGGTTCTAATTAGAACTATATATCTAAGCGCAAGGATAGCTTCAGCTGATCAGCAGTAAGCAGGGACCAAACAAAACATTGAGGCTGAGGAAGTAATATAAGAGCTGATTTTCGCTCAAATAACTCAAACTTTCGAGATCATCTGTAGCTGAAACTATTTGTATAACTTGAATTATATATCAGAGACCAACATGGACGACTCTGTTATTGTTAACCTTGATTTTCAAGGGGATGTAGACAGAATTACACAAGTGTTGAAAATTCCTTACAACACAACATGGATGGATTTTGAGCTAATGGTAAGTAGTCTACTATGGGAAGAACTGTTGTGGGGGGGTAATATTTCCCAATCTTGTGAAATTCTTTAGTAATTATTTATGGCCATGTTCATGGTTATAAGATACTATATCGTATTGAATTCTGACATTTTTTTGTAAATTCGGAATCTAGATATGACCAACTGTGAAATCTGTAACATTTCATGATTCATTAACTCATGATTTCATTCTTGGAAACACCAATGGGCTTGAACATTTTCATGTTCTTCATGTCTTAGCGCCTCTTTCTTGTGAACATCCTTTCTGCACATACTCAACTGACTTCTATAAATTACCCTCTCTAGTGAACATCTGCCAACAATGAACATTTTTTCTCTGCAAAAATGTACAATAAAGAGGCAGACAGTTTATTTTAATCTAATATTCTACTAAAGTCCGGGAACGGGATAACTTGATGCGAGTAGAAAAAATCTTGATTTACGTCATTAAAAATTCACAATTCACTCAAACTGATGTCATATTTGGAATCTACATGTAAAATTACATTTAGAAGTGTGGTTTTGAAAAGAGTTTATCAACTTTGAAAATTTAATTTTCTTTGAAAATGTGACTTCTAGGTCGGGGAGATTCCCCATATCTGTGTTGGGCAGATAATATTTTCCTTTACTGGACATATTTTAATTTACATAACTATCACATACATCAGGGTAATATGAAAAGTGAACCACTAAAACTGATGAATATTCAAGTATAAGGGAATTTCGTAATATCCTGCCATGTTATTTCCCCCGAATCAGCCACCTGGTGGCAAAACCGGTAACTACCTACTCGCATCTGAGTAATTGATCAGTCATTTTTTTGTTTAAATTGTATGCAATTAAATTCCCCTTGGCCTTAATTTTCAATCTCTTTGTTCAAGGAATACACAACCAATAAACCAGGCTTTGAATTCATTGACCATGAACTGATATTTAGTATTTATTTCTAGATGAAGCTGAAACTTGACATTGATGACATCACAATAAAATACCAGGACAATGATAATGACTGGGTAAGTTTTAATTTGTCAGTATTGAATACATTTTGTGTTGACAGAGGTTTTATTTAACATATATGATGAATAAAATTCATGATGGAGCTTCCGATAATTTCATTTCCAGTTTCATTATATTATGAAAGGTTATTAATGCTGTTTTTCTAACAAATTCATGAATGTAAAAGATGTAATATTTGCTAATTGTTTGATTTCAGGTAACAATCAGTAGCCAAGAAGAAATATTTGAAGCCTTCAGAGTAAGTGTTCTTTTTATTCCCCTGTTTTACTATTTTATATTTCCCCATGTTGCGGTGTATTCATTTAGCAATTCAATAGTAGAATTTCTCTTGAAAAAATAAATCTTCCCTATTTGTTGGAATTTTCTAGCAGAAAACACTGTCACTTAGTTCATTTTTTCTGACCACAGGGCGTGCACATGTATCTATGAAACATATATCTGAAATCTAACCAGGTCAAACAATTATACGAGGGTTGTCCCAGAAGTAATGCACTACTATATGCTATGATATTTTTCCATGAAATTTGCAGTTAATGTTCCTTAGAGACATTTTGATTATTCTACAAATTTTCATGTTGACTGATAAAACTATATTGATGTTATAATAAAATCAAGTTGGTGTGTTTGGGTAGGGTGGGGCAGGTTATACAGTCACGTCAAAACGATAAAAATTGAAAATATGAAATAATTAATCAACAAATACCATTTTGTGTAGCTATAAGAAGTTGGCTCAAAAATATATTATAAGATACTAAATTACTATGAGCACATCTTAGATTTAATTGATGTATATTGCAGTGTCCCATTTCTCATTTTCTCAAAATATTGCCCTTTGCATGTTATGTACTTTTGATGCCTGTCAGGTCAAACACTCTTGGCAATTTCTTCCACTGTGACTTGTTGAGTTTTTGCCTCCCATGTTTGGAGTGGTCATCCAGGTTCCAGTCATCTCTTTTAAATCTCTTCTGCCATCTCATAGTTGTAGTTCTATCTGGTATATATTCCTTATATAATCTTTTCATGGTAGCATAAGTTTTGCGTGGCTTTGAGTCCAAGTGAAGTATGAAATTAGGCCACCAAACGCAAGGCCTTCTGTTATCAGGTGAAAATTGCAGCCATTTTTGCAATTTCTTGACCGTGACTGTATTTGAATTTGTGACAATTGAACTGTGGTATTATGACATCACAGTGCTAAATGTCATTATTTGTAGTTGGTTAACATCATGCTGAATAAATATAACAATTTCCCAAACATTTTGATCATTAAAAGAAAGAAATATTAATAAAACAACACTTTGGATCTTTTCATAATAATACATTAGAAAAATTGGTACCTGCCCCGCCCACCCCTATCCCCATGTTGCTATAGCAACAATATTAACACTTAATATTAAGTTAATATTAAGAATCAGAATATTATAGATAAAACTTCAATTGTTATATACACAAAATTTCAGCTGAATTGAAGTATATTAAAGAAAGTTACAGCATATAGTGCATTACTTCTGGGACAACCCTCGTACATAAAATATATGTAATGCTTCAAGTTGGATGAATCTAGAACTGTCTATTGTGATACTGACTAATACACCTGATGTCAAAATATCAACAATTTATTTATCAGCTCACTGTATGTACATGAATCACTTGTCCAAATATTACATTTACATGGTCAATCTTTTGATCTGTAGATTATTTTGTGACTTGCCTGGATAGCTAAGATGCAGATTATACTAGCAATGTTATGAATCATTTTGAATAAGTGCACTTTGAACTTGTCTTACACATCACATGATTATGCATTTAAGAACATGAGAACATAGAGTGGCAATATGGATTCATATATCATCATTCAAACATACTAAAGGTATTTTTATCATCACTGAAGTGTTTTATTTTACTTGCTTTATTTAAGTGATTCTAGATAGATAACAAATACATTCAAACAAGTGTGTTATTTGATTAAATAATTTTTAACTTTTTTTATTTGTAAACATCTATTTACTTAATCAGGTTTTGTGTATGTGGAAAGATTATATGATAATACATGTTTTATTTGACTGTTTGCCAACTACTATAACTTGGTGATATTCTATTTGTGTTCAAGGTCTTATTTTCTATGTTAACATCCCAGGTGTTAGGTGATTTAATGGACAGAGAAGGTTTTTTCGCATTCACACAAACAAAACTGTCTACTGTTTTGAAACTATACTATAATCAGCTATTTTGCTCAATAACCATGAATGTTCAGATATTTCAATAACATTTTTTATTTTGTTTTGTATTTTTATATATTCAGATGGCGAAGGCTTCTAATGACACAATCCGTATGGAGATCACAGAAAACAGCCAAGAACGTCGAAATTCTGTGACCGCTACAAGCTTCCAGGATCACATCATTATTTGTGACCCTGGCAATAATACAGTTTCTATGACAACAGTTAAACATGAGAACATAACTCCACCATCATCATCCAAAGACAATATAGAATCACCCACACAAACAGTTTGTGATGTGACAGATGCTGCTGTACCAACTGACACAAAGAGTGATGAAGATGGAGATATGGAGGTAACTCAAAGTGATAAGACAGACAGACAGGTGACGAGTCCATCACCAGTTACTGATTTCATTACTGTTGAAGTGCCAGGAATGGATGTGATGTCATCTAAAGAGGAAAAGCAATTTGAAAGGTGTGCTATTTTTGTAGTCATCATATTTTTTTATCTATAATTACAGTACATGTACTTTAACATTTGCCCTCTCATAGTTAATAATTTACATTGTGGACAATGTCATGTTTGTAAAATACTAAGAGATAATTTTTTTAGTAATGCAGTGCTGGTAAGATTCAAGTTGTATGTGAAAAGGGCAAACCAATCGTGTTGAAAGCAAAGTATGCTGTAATGAAAGATTTTAACAAAATACATTTTTTGCAAAAGTGGCATAATATGAACATATTTTAAATGAACACTTGTTTATCTTGATGTTCTGTGTGTTTCAGTGAAATGAGAATGTGCAACAATGTTGAAACGGGAGAACAATGCCGTAACCCATCATCTGCTCTTGTCCCCCCTACCCCACCTCCTGCCCCTCCAGTACAGATACCTGCTCCCCCAACACATAAAGTAACATATTCTCGTCATGACACACTCAATCTGCATCATGACCCACCCAAAAGCAATGAATGTATGCGACCTAAGCGGCAGAAGATCCGGGATTACTACACCAACCTTGCTCAATGTGTTAATCGCATGCAAGGCAAGATCAAATCCCACCACTACCAACCCAAAACAAGAACTCCATACAAAGATGTGTGCAACGAGAATGGAGAACCTGAACAGGCACAAGCTCCTAAAGAACAGTCCTTTTCAACTACCCCAGATACAGACCCTCCTGCCTGGTTCAGTGACTACATGGCAAGGTTCAGACAAGATATTACAACTGAAATGTCAGCATTGATTGCTAAGAAAACAGTGCGTCAAGTTATAGGGGCTCTGGAAGGTGCAGTGCTTACATCTGTCACAGGAACCAGTGGTGATCCAGTGTTGCCTGGTAACCAATCCACACATCAAGCACCAATACAAACCCCTGGGACATCCAGACTACCCCCTACCTCCACTACTGATATGGCACCCCCTACATCAAGGGCTACACCTGTGTATTGTCATATGGGGATCATATGTGATAACTGTGATCAGACTATAGTTGGTGCCAGATACAAGTGTGGGTGAGTAGAGCATTCTTTTGCTGTATGGTATGAATTAAAAAGCAATACTGCAAGTAAAATTAGTTTAAATAGTTTAGTCCAAGCATGGAGCTGGAATTTGAAAGAACCATATCTTTATGTTATCTCAATAAAAGAGAACATTTTTGCATTACTACAGGGAATGGTATGTCATTGTAATGGCCATACTTATTGTAGTGTCATTGTAATGGCCATAACAACTGGAGTTTTTACTGTCTGTATCTGTTACAAATTGTTACATTTTCTGCTGTTGACATATTGTTATAGTCTCCAACATTTTTGTTGATGGCATTTGGTGTTAGGCAGTCAGCATCTGTAACAAATGGCAACTGGTGATATTTTGCATATCAATGCCTTGTTATTGCAACAAAATGGTACATGCTTTGATGATTAATGAAATGCATCAATATGTTGAACTGTATGGATGTTCATATGTACTATTTTATTTATTTATTTATTTATTTGCCAACACTTTTATAACAGTGGCACATGGATTATTATCCAGTGCGGCTACATACAACTATACAATATGAATAGAATACAAAGTCATGTATAATTTCTTTAAAACAATGTTGCATATACTAAAATAATCAAAGACATAAATCTCTGGGCTTGTACACTTGGGTTAAAAAGCGTTTTACAATGCTATCAAATAATCTAAAATAGTCTTGCCCCCATTTTGAAAAAGTCTCATCACCAAGAATAAAGGTCAATTTTTCAGTCAGATTGCCCTTAATGAAATCAGAAAATAAATCGGAGGGACATTGCTTACAAACAGTGTGGAAAAAGGATTCACGTTCTTCTTTAAAATGTTCACACAGCAGCAACCTATGCTGTAAGTCTTCATGTACATTCAAACTACAAAGTTTACATTTGCCATCACTTTTGCCCCATACAGAGTAATTGGATTCAAGGCAAAAATTGTTGGTTCTTGCAAGAAATTTGAGTCTAGAACCATAAAAATCAAAGTCTTGTTTTAGATAATTTTCTTGGACTTCACTATGTATTGTTTATGTGATCTAGGAACTGTGAAGACTATGATCTGTGTGAACAATGTGAAGCCAAGGATGTCCTACATGACCCAGATCACGTGTTTCTGAAGATCAGACGTCCAGTGCTGAGTGCAGGCCGTAACAAGAAGGGCAAACTGGCCCCCTTGTTGAAGCGTAAACTCTATCCCACTGAGTCCCTTGACACTGTAGTAGAGAACGAGATGTTGAAAAAGGATGCTGTTGAACCTCCTTGTAAACTTGGGTGGGAGGAAAAACTAGAAAGGTATGCTAGAGATAGATCAAGTTTCTCAGGGAATACTAGCTCACTTGTTTAAAAATGTTAGAAAAATATGAAGTCTGAATATTATTCAAATGAACTAACTGGAGTATTTATTTTGTTTTTGTTGCTTAGACTCCAGAATAAGGCACAGAGGAAGATGGAAAAGCGTAAACGACGAGCAGAGAAGATGGAAATGAAGTTACGTAAGCTGGAAGAGAGGAGCATGTTCAGAGATATGGTGGAAGGATCAGAGAGCAAAAAGGAGAAGCTGGATCTACCACAATTCACAGTTGGGTAAGACATATAATTACTGTATATCATGATTTCTTTTTATTACATGTGTTTCGTGATAGATATACCTATATGGCTCAACCAGAAAATACAAAACTAGCCCTTACTGAACCAAACGTAACTGTTCTACCTGTGTGATTAAAAACATTTAGGTCAGCTTCATGTATTATACCACAAGACCAAACACACAGAAGTTTGAGAAATTAATGAATTCAAACAAAAATATACTAATAAGACTTTGTAAATTTTTAATCGAGGCTGGGCAAAAAAATGTACTTACATAAATGTTATTTTAATGTTTGTTACTGTATTAGTTAAGTTGTTCATTGTACTCTTATACCCTATAAGGGGTGAATTGAGAAATCAATAAATAAATAAAAAATAATAAAAAAATTTGTTGTATTTCAGCAATCTGGAGGCACAGTTTGTGCGAGATGAGACAATTCCTGATGGCACTCATCTCCAACCAGGTACAAAGTTTGTCAAGAGATGGTTGATGAAAAACTCTGGAAGTGGCACTTGGAACTGCCAGACAAAAGTAAGTCCTGGTTTTGTTGTACTCCTTTAACTGGTGAACCATATTTTCTCCTCTTGATCTAATTGTTCTGAAGAAATTTTGTAACTAGTAAATTAAAAATTTGTAGCTAATGTGTTAAAAAGTCAAGCCGGCTTAGCGAGAACAGATGGATGCAGACTTCTGTAAACCTAATAATGTACCTCTTTTTAAATGGAAATCTAATAATAAGTAAATATAGAATTTGGTAAACTTTGTATGTGAGGAGAGCTAATGCAAGAGTGATGAAATTTACATTGTCATCTGATACATGTGAATACTGTTGTAGTTGAAGCTGATGTGGGGCAATATCACAAGCACTGATACAGAAGTCTGTGTCCCTCCCCTGCAGCCTGGAAACCAGGGGGTAGTGTCCACAGAATTCATAGCCCCAGATCAACCAGGTGTTTACCAGAGCCACTGGCGCTTACACCACAGTGGCATGAGGTTTGGGCATCGTGTCTGGTGTAGCATCATCGTTGATGAGAAACAACTACTAGAGCCATCTACTGTCAGTCCAAATGTACTAAAGATGCCCGATGTGTCTAAATCCTCAACAGGAAAAAAAGAGGATGAATCAAATGTCACACCTGATATTCTTAAACAGAAACCTGTAGATAATGCAACTGTGCTTGCTGCAGCTAATGCAGTCGCCCAGTTAAAACTGAACTCTGAATCTGGTGCACTCGGTCCAAGGGTTGATGGGAATGTGGTGCCTGCATCTGCTGGTTTGACCACACAAGACATACAGTCATTTGAGATGCTTGACATACATGGAAGTGATGCAGACATATCCCAGACTGCAACACCAAATAACACACCCATGGGTAAGAGTTAGCATCATAGTAGTTGATCAGCCTTAACAAATATGTAAGCTTAATCTCAAAAGAATATAAAAAACAGTATTTACTACACAAAACATTGAAAAGCACAACCTGCTACAAAAGTCCCAACATCAGAAAAGATGAATTTACTCATAAAGAAGCAGATCTGCTTTCCATTTGATTTTATATGATGAAAAACATTCGAACATTTTAAGCAAATTAGAAAGCTAATACCATAAAAATTATGCTTTACGAGCATAAAATAGGCGCTTTGATATTAAAGATTTGACACAATTTTTTCATATTTTTGACGTAGTGTTGAAATTACACCTTCCTACGGCCCTGAATGATACAGTACAGTCCTTGATCCCAAATGTATTAATTATTGTAAATTGCCCATCAGTAGATTAAACTTCAAATATTTTATCCTTATTTGAAAATCCCTCATATTTCAAACGACTAAAGCAATTAATAGAATGTTGTCATAACAACTTACGTTCAATACAACTAATATTTTCCAGTGTTATAATTTCTTAAATCAATCCTAATCAACTGTTATGTGTTATCATCTACAGGTACTAGTCCTCCTAAGACTCCTACACATGAAGACAACCGTCTAGTACATGTGTTGTCACGTAGTAGCAGTGTTGAGGTTGTCTCAGATGTTGCAGAATGCGAAGAAAACACCCCTGACATCACTGAGATTGTCCAGGAACGACTCTCATCATTAGATGTTAGACCAGACCCAGAAGATATCAAAGCAGGTATAATACATATTAAGGATAGATAGATTGGACATTATTTTGAATATAAAGAAAGTTGTTTTTTGTTTTACAATGTTTGAATTTAGATACAATATGATGCAATTACATGTATATAGATATTTATATATTAAAATGTGCTAAATCCCTAATTATTGGACAAAATATGATACTTGCATAAGACTGCTGCTATTTTTGGCTCACCTGTTGAGTGTGGAATTGCCCACTTGATCATCTGTCAAACTGAAATTGGTTATTACTAATGTTCATATCTCTTTTATGCGTGGAATACTTATGGTTGCCTTGGGCTCTCCTCAGGGAGTATCCCTTATACACTTTGACCTTAATTTTTTTAATTATTTTCTAGACTTGAACATAGAGAGCATCAGCTCTACCTTCAGTGATGAATCATCTAGTGTGGCCTCTGATGATGACTTCTTCATTGTTCCTCTACCAGACTGCTTTGACACACGTCGTCCAATGTCAAGATCTATGAGCCAGTCAAGCATGAGCGCGAGTGAACACCATAAAGCAGAAAAAGATTTAACCAGTAAGATGGCATAAATTGTCCAACTTAAATTGCCTTAGGCATGTGTAGCATCCAGATTACACACACATTGAAACCTCAAGTGAAAATAAGAAACTTGTACTGAATATACACTGTAATATAAACTGTAGTTTTACAAATAGTTTTACATTACACTAAAATTCATGGAAGAAAAAAGAAACCATAGTCATTTTAAAAAAACACGCTTCATGATTTCATCATTATGGCATGAGTCTTCACATATTTTGTTTGCATTTTCAGTGTTTCAATAAAAGTTATTAAAAAAAGTAATTACTTGTTTCATGAGAAAATGTAATTCTGGCATTTGAATTAGTTTTGTTGAATTTTTATTGTAGCAAAGTTTGTAGATCTCACTGCATCTACTTCTACAGAGAATACACCTCTTCTCTCAACAACCCTTCCCATGGCAACAAAGCCCACATGTGGAGCAACAGAGGTGCCAAAAGGTGATAGTGTGAGATGCAAAGAGGATGTTCCAGAGAAGGCTGTCAATGAAGAAGAGGAAGATGTGGAATACTTAGAATGGTATGTTGTTGTCTATGATTGTTACGGTAATTGTTGTGGGTGCTTTCTGTCTCATGCTAATAAAGTTGAAATACGTTGGTACTTATCAGATCATCTTTAAGAACAAGTAGCACATTTAATATGTAATAGAAATATTTAAAAGGACTTTGAATCCATTTTAACATCTGAATTGCATTTAATTTTATTTTTGACAAGCTTACCTCAAATATTCAACTCTGTAAGAAAAAAGGCTCCTTCTTAGCAAGACAAAAAAATATTCATAGATATAATATCTAATCCTTTAAACATAAACCTTTACTTTGTGTTTTTTTTATTTTGCTTAATTTTTATTTAGAAGGTCAGGCCAATTTTTTCTTTCACCGCCACATGTAGTGACGTATTGTTATAGTCTCCAACTTTTTTGTCGGCGGCAATCAGTGGTTGGCGTACAGTGGTTGGCATCCGTAACAAAGGCGTTCTGTAATCTGTAACAAATGGCAGGTCGTGACATTTTGCATGTTAATGCTTAATTGTACAATTTATGTTACAAAAACACATATTAAATATTGGATAATAAAAATTGCAGTGTCCAGGTGCAAGAAGAACTGGTAGACAAAATTTCCCAATCTCCCAACATTCAAGAAACAACCAACAAAGACAGAAAAGATGAAAGAGAAGTTGAGGAAATTGGTGCAGCAAGTCCAGATGTTGTTGAAATTGCTAGAGTTGAACCTGAAGTAGAGGAAATTGCAAGAAAGGAAACAGAGGTAGTTGAAGTGAAGGCTAGCACAAACCAAGATGCTACGCCACCCATTGACATTCCACAAGGTGGAGCTACTGGTGGCATGGAGAGAGAAGCAAGAGGAAGGTAAGAATCAGATCATTTTATATTTTTTAAATTAAATAATGAATATACATGCCAAGTTGTTGAATGCCCTGAAAGCTCTTTATAGAGGTTGTGTCATATTCATGTAATTCAAAACTCTGTGAACGAGCAAAGGAAGTAGCATGCTAATACCTTGAATTCGAAGACTGGACATTTCCAACCCTTCTTATAGTGTTCTGATTGTGTGTAAAAAAATATTAAAAACACATTTTTAAGAGTTAACTCATAGTGCTGTCGATTGCTTTGTTATCACTGTAAAATAAAAAATATGTTCTGAATGAAGTGATTCATAAAAGGCTCAAATTTTAAACACATATTTAGCTGATTAATGAATTAATATGCTTTATGTTCAGGTCCCCGGGGGAACAGGTGTACAATGTAGCAACAGCCATAGTGAAGACTGCCAAGGATGTCTTCCATACTTTACAAGCCAAGAACCAGGTATGTCTTCTACATCATCAAATACAATATTTATGTTATCATTATACCTTTTTCGGAAGAAGTTATGCTTGTATTGCATTAGCAAACAAAAGTCTAATTGAATCTGCAATTACCTAATTTTAAAATGAGAATATTTATTTATAAAGAGCAAAGAACAAATAGCCTTGTTCCTGGTTTCTGGGCTGTTTTCAAAAACCCTGGTGACCAGAAACATGAGTATTTATTTTCAGGTCTCCTTTGTATACAGACTTGGTCATAAATAGGCATGAGAGATGGAAATAAAGTTAATGACAGAATAAATCCAATCTCTTTTTGTAGTGGCTATGCCCCAATGTACCAATTTATTTTGACATCTTTCTGTATTCATTATTCTCTGTTACAGTATCAACCCCCTGCATCTACATGGACTCCTCCCTCTAACAATTTCACCCCTCCAGCCTCCAATTGGACTCCACCAGAAGACACCTTTGTACCCCCAAAATCAGAGTGGACTGGTCTAAGAGATGAATGGACCCCTTCTACACAGAATCAACACTCTGACGAAATGCAAAAACTTGTGGACATGGGATTCGGTGATGTAGAACTGAATCGTAAATTATTGGCGCAACATTCTAATAATGTAGAGAAAGTCATTCAGGACTTGCTCCAAACTCCAAGCAGTGACTGGAATAACTGGGCAGAGAACAGGCACTAACTAAATAACTTGATCTAGAATCAAAGTGAGGCTTCAGAATAACCAAATAATACAATCATACAATGTGTTGCAGTCGTGCAGTCCTCATTTTTCCTCAAATAGTATCGGTGGAATAACAAACATCAGTTATCACTATTTTGATGCACTATGACCCATCACTTGTATGATTGTGTATGGAAAGTTGCAGTCGCCATGGAGACAGAATATTACAATGTTATATTGAAACTGTGCAGTAGGCATGAATGGAATGGAATAGAATGGAATAATGTGAGATCGATCATCAAAGTCAGAATTATGAATCATCACAAAAAGCACAGCAAAAACCTGTAAACAACTATTTTAAGTCAAACATATCTAAATTTCACTTCTCTCCCCTGACCCATTTCTATTTGCTTTCATGTAAATATTTAATCATTAATCATTCGATGAATGAAACTTGGCATGTCTCAAGTATGTAAACTTCTTACAAGCAGGTTATACTGTACTCATATATGTTGAATGTTTCATATTTACTTTCTGATCTTTGAATGGATGAGTGGTGTATATATTCACTTAATTCTATATTCACTAGTTTGTATTGCATGAATGGTGTTAGGGCTGAGAGTATCTTTAAAAGTGGCATGACTGGGTGCTTTGTTATTAATTAATGCATATAATTATTATGTGATGTATTAATCATATCTGTATGTTGTATGTAGAGTTATTTATCGTATGTAGAGCAAATGATTGAACAAGCGAAACATTACATTTTCACTGTAATCTCAATGATTCAAAATAAAGTACATAACATGTAATTCTAACAAATTGTAAATCACATTTTCACAATATATATTATACTCTGTGTTGTAACATTTGAATGTTAATACACTTGATCTCTGTAAGTACATACAGCTTGGTTATAATAGCATGGAATGTACATATTGCTTGATTGTGGTTGTATGGTGTAGGTGAAGGGTGGATGGGTGGATATATAGCTTGTGTATGCTTGATTATACAAAATACATGTGACAAGATGATAATGAGATGTGGTAAGGGAATGAGAGTATGTTATGTAATACTGAAATTCTCCATAATGCAAATCAGTTGAATAGTGCTTTAATACACTGCATTCTATTATCGGAAACTGACAAACTCTCAGTGCACTACAATGTCGTGCATTATATTAAAGTACAGCTGAAGTAGTACAGTAATACCTGTATAGTGGAACACCTCCATACATGGAACACTACTATTACCCATAAATGTAAAGTGAACACTATTTTGATGTATCAAAGGTGTTCCATGTATACAGGTTAAATTGTACTACATGTACTATGGAATGTTTGCCAAGTTTGATGAGCCAAAGTATGTTCTGTTACATGAGGAGTACATGTACTAGATTAGTATATATATCTTTATTCTTTATGTACTAGTATGTATGTTAGGAGAGTATTGTTATTATTAATAGAGGAATGGTGTGTGTAATTGTTTAGATATTCATTATAGCATGTATGGTATATGTGTATGTATTCAAAAATCTGTAATTCATCTATTTACTGACTTGCCAATTGCTAAATAACTTAGTTGGCTTTTGTTTAAGAAATATGTCAAAATACATAATGTGTATTTGCAATTCAATGAAAATCAAAGAAGTTGTTTTCTTTTACTTTATCTTATTTGGATTGAAACTAATCCTGCTTGCCAATGCTTATATCCAAGAATCTTCATTGTGATTGTAATCCAGTAGCCATTGACAAGTTTTGTCTTTATAAGTGCAAGAACTTCACACTCTATAAAACTATAATTGGAGAACTTATATGTAGACGAATAACTTTGTTCTAGCATATTTTCTTTCTTTTTATCTGATTTTACCAGAGGCTCCAAATGTTTTGTCTGAGAAGTGAGTGTGTTAAATTAGAATGATTTTTTGATGAATTGTGAATGGTGTTTTCACTAGATGTGCGTATTTAAGAACATTTGACAATAAACTATTTATGTTACACATTAGAAACGAGATTTTGTTCTCAGATATACAGGTATTCATAACTGATAATCTTTTTGTGGCTCAACATTGAAATTCAAAATTAATGGTTCAATGCGTTCTTGATGGATTTAATGAATGAGTTCTGATCTGCACAAGTATTTTACTGAGACTGCAAAGGCAAGGTGTAAGGCGAGCATACAAATGGATTAACTTAACTCCATCCAGTGGCATAGGCAGGATCAAATATTAGGAGAGGCAACTAAACTAGATGCAGTAGAAATAATCTTTATTTACGTCATTAAATATTCAAAAGGAGTCAGTGGTATCGATATGGGGAACTTTTTGAACACACGTTTCTCTTAAACCAGTCATGAAAAAAATCTAAAAATTTAACACATCGTCAATTTAATGGCCATCTTTTGATTGGTAACAATATAATTTGAAAAATATATATATATACTTTCATCTATATTGTTTTAGAAAACACATCAAACACTTGTTTTGTTCTTGGTATCATGTTTCCAGAGTGAAATAAAACATCTTTCCGAACCTCATTGGACCAAAACGACATAAACACAACATGTTTAGGTCTCTCAATATTGTAATTGTAAAAGGAAATTTTGTTTGATTTTAAAAAAGTATCTTGTTAATGGAATAAAAGGTTTATCTTGATTTTTATCTATTTTGGGGGATTTTGTTTTAATTTTTTGAATACTTTTTTAAAATCAACAAAAAATTCCTTTGTATATCTATAATATTGAGAGGTCTAAAAACGTTGTATAAACTCTTTTGTTCCAACAAGGTTCGGAAAGACATTTTATTTCATTCTCAAGAATTCGTAGAAAGGAGAAAAAACGATTGCACTAAAAAAAACAAAAAATGTTAACAAAAACAGTTATATAAAATATTTCTAAATAATTTTTGCATTAAATTGTTGTCAATCAGTCAACATTACATAAAGGACCGTGACTTTTTACAGAATGTTTTCAATGATTGGTTTAAGAGAAAAACATTGTTGAATTCAGTTTTCCATATCGATACCACTCCTTTAGTTAAAGTGATATCATCTTTGAAATCTACATGTTAAATTACATCTAGTAATGAAAATATGATTTTCTTTTCCCAATAAAATCACAAAAAATGAAACATTTTCCCTTGTGTTGCATAGATACTATCTTCTTTAACTGGTGAATTGTATGATTATCAGACACATTAGACTTAAATGAAAATTGGTCGAATTCGAACTGAAGATATTCAAGTTTAAGGGAACTTTCTACTGTATTTGACATCTTAGCTGGTCCGAATTAGCCGCCTGGTGGTGGAACTGGTAACTGCCTACAGGCATCTAGGTTGTTGAGGACAAATGAGGTGCTTTTATGTCCTGCATAGTGTTGGTGTTCATTTTTTGCAAAATCGCAATGCATCAAAAAAAGAAAGCTTTGGACCTCCATAGATACCGTTAAATCAGTCCATTCATTCAGTCTGCAAACACTTACGTTGTTGGTCTAAGATTCATGCTAAACAGTACTAAATAAGAAGTTTGTAAAACCTTGATGAATCAAGATGAACTACATAAACAAAATCGATGGCAATATGTTTTCCCAACCTGATTCTTTTCATTTTAATTCTTGTTGTTTCGTTGTGTCAATATACAGCTAAAGATCGGTGTTTAACGCATTCGAATATGTTTACTTACCTTTCTTAACCACATTGAAAAAATGTGTACTTTTATTCGCTAAGGTCTGCGAAATACTTCAAGTAATTGGTGACTAACGTTGAAGGGAGCACTCCCTAAATTTTTGAATTTTCGTTTCTTTACCGCATCTAGATATATTCAATTTGATATGCCATGCTCATGAATCCACTCATGATATTCATAGAATCACAAAAGTAGTTTCATTCTATACACAGCCTTTATATTCTAAATATATATAAAGGTTGTGTGTAGAGAGAAAAAGCTGTTTTTGTTATTTTATAATAACCAACCTGAAGAACATGTTTATTACGCAAAAATATTCACCTACACATACGTCTCCCAACAAACTCTGGGTCCGTTAATATATGAACTATGTCAGACAAAAATTTATGATGGCTTTCTTTGGACTTTCTTTCAGTGGTTTTACATATATGCACAATCCAAAACCACAAGATCACCTGCTATATCCTCCATAGAATTTCAAATTACACAAGTCTCAATTCTCAAATATCAAAATTGCTTCAGTAAACCATCTAGTTATTAAAGTTTTATTAAAAAATAACACAACAAGTAAAATATGACTGTCATGATAATAAAAACAAATTGAGGATTTATTTTGGTCAGTATTAGTTTTCATATTGAAACTTTATGATTAGGATGTCGTAAACACCCTTTGGCCACAGAGATGCCATACCGTACGAATCTTTTCTTCATTCTAGAAGTACAAACATCAAATATTGACAATATTTTTGAATAAACCATTCATTGTAATCCCCATTTGTGTCGCTTCTCAGAACTTCTCTTTCAAATTGAAGTTAGAAGTTATAACAGCGCCATTTCTAAGTTACTATCCCCATGATCCAGCATTGGTATCATTATGGGATATTTATAGTTACAGGACTGGTCCGAATATATTTCGGATTCGTCTATAGCTATAGTACCATTCTCATCCCTCCGAGTTCTTAATTTGAAGCATTTCAAAGTAGTCATGTTTGCCCTCGAATGGGAGTAAAGAGCTTCCCTATAGAGGCAGTACTTCTGAAAGGATTTGAAAAATATAAAATTGTTCATTTTGGTAGCTATTCTGTGTTTCTTGTCAAATAAATCAGGGTTTAGTCCTGCTTGGATCGTTGGATATATCGTATTGGATATATCAAATGTTGCGATACCGACCTTGTTGGCATACATGGGGAACCAGAATGTTGGAAGGGGATCAGGAGCCAGAGTGGTCACAACCAAGTTAGGGACGACATCCCATGGAAAACTGTCTTTAGTTGTAATGAAATATTCGAGTATATATTTATCATAGGGTTTGTTCAAGATCCAGTTAGGCAAGAGTTTCCGAATATCATTATCATTACCAGATATCAATTTCCTCGAAAGTTTCCGTTTATTGTTGTAAAATGATGGTTTATATCCTGAACCTGATATGAAGAAATTGTCCAATTCTGCTGCACTTACGTATTCTTTGATTGCTGATAGTGTTTTGAGCAAAGCATCACCATGAAATAACACATCTGCGTACGCGAACATATAGAAGTCACTGTTGTGTCTCTTGAACGTCTGGGTGAACAGCTCCCTCAAGATTACATTATTGTGAGCGATCATTTTAGCGGAGAGGGGGTGGTGTTGCCATCCGTGGTACTCCTTGCCTCCTAAGACACCCCTGGGTCTATTGGAATAGAACACTGGCCTGATACAATATCTCTGGAGTTGCATCCAATTCAGAAGCGTGTTGTTCTGAAGGACTTGCTTTGCACGCAGACCCTCGTGGAAAACCGTAAATAGCGTAATATTAACTGGGCAATCTCGTGGCATATAAAAATTACCAGATGTGAAGTTCGCTTCATCATTTAAATCAGGAATTGTTACATTAAGTATCAACGATCTCCGAGTTAAAGTATTGCTAGTTCCCATTGAACGCCGTAAAACGTTTTTAAATTTCTCTTTGGCCAGGAAAAAAATCGCTGCCAAACTGATAACCCACAGTAGCATAAGGGCTAGTCTTATCCACTGTGCTTTCTTCATAATTCTTGTCATGCCTTATCCTATGTATTTTAATGTTCTCACTATCGTTGTGAATAGAGTGGCTAATACCAATCTACATAAATCACATTCTCTCAAACATTCCAAGTCTTGATTCTATAGTAGATAGAAACAATTGTACCTCATGACTCGCTCAACTATTTCAATCCAGTCGATGTCGTTCATAAGGTTAAAAAGGTTTCGCAGTTTATAATATTCATGTTGACAAAGCTTTAGATCACGAGTTTTTATACAGTTCTCATTGTCCATGAATACTTATTGACAATATCTTTTCATTATTTACCTACCGTACTAACCAACTTTTTAATGTTAACGTAGCTAAAGGGTGATTGGATCCCTAGCCATACCTGTCAGCCTAAGACCAAAAATTTGCGGTAGTTTAATTGCGGTATTTTTGCGGTAGATTTTTTCAAAATGCAGTAGTTTTTTGCGGTATTTTTCAACAAAAATGCAGTAGTTTTGCGGTAGATTTTGAAAAAATTCGGTAGTTTTTGAGGTAGATTTTTGAAAAATTTGAAAAAAATGGTACTTTATCGGAGGTTTTTGAAAAATGCGGTAGGTTTACGGTAGTTTTTGAAAAACTGTAGTCTTGCGGATGATTTTGTAAAATGCGGTAGTTTTGTAGTAGATTTTGAAAAATACGGTTGTTTTTGCGATAGATTTTTGAAAAAACGGTAGTTTTGCGGAAGATTTTGAAAAATGTGGTAGTTTTTGCGGTAGATTTTTGAAAAAACTGTAGTTTTTTGGGAGATTTTGAAAAAATGCGGTAGTTTTACGGTAGATTTTAAAAAAATGCGGTAGTTTTTGCGGAAGATTTTGAAAAAATGCGGTAGATTTTGCGGTAGATTAAAAAAACTGCGTAGATTTTGACACACTTCAATGAATAAGTAATAAAGTACACAGCATGCATGGAACTCTTTCATAAACAGACTAACAATTTGAACACTTCGGTGTTTATATAACTACAGTAGAACCTGTGGTAGTCGAACACTGTTTTTGCATCACGATACTCCCCATAGTCCCTGATCTGGACCCTCTGAAAAAAAGTTTTGTTGTCCGGTACTTTCCCACATAAAATGATTGTACCGCTTGAAAGAACAGACTTCCCTCTTAAAGAAAACACCTCTTCTATTGATGTAAACAGGGGCAAAAGGCACCAAAACGGGGTTAGACAAGGTGGCATTCTGAAGTCTCACTTTCTTGTCATCACGATTCCAGGTAAACCATGAGACGGATTTACTTCAATTTTTCACACATGTTACATGGTAAGAAGTTCTAGAGCTGATTAACTTTGCGGCGGCCATTTTGCATTCTGGCGGCCATCTTGGAATTTTTTCAGATTAATATTGTTATCGCAATTCCACAAAAACCACATAACAGATGTACTTCAAATGTTCACACATGTTACATGGTAAAAAGTCCTAGACCTCATTATTTTTTCGGTGGCCATCTTGCATTCTGGCAGCCATCTTGGAAGTTTTAAGATAAATCTTGTCATCACGATTTCAGGAAATCCAAACGGATTTACTTCAAATTTCCACACATGTTACATGGTAAGAAAATATAGAGGTGAATAACTTTTCGGCAGCCATCATGCATTCTGGCGGCCATCTTGGAAATTTTGGGATAAATATTGTCATCGTGATTCCAGGAAAACAACCGAACAGATTAACTTCAAATTTCACACATGTTACATGGTATGAAGTTCTAGAGCTGATTAACTTTTCAGTGGCCATCTTGCATTCTGGCGGCCATTTTGGAAGGTTTATAGATAACTCTTGTAATCACGATTCCAGAAAAACCACTTCACAGTTTTACTTCGAATTTTCACACATGTTACATGGTATGAAGTTCTAGAGCTGACTAACTTTTCGGTGGCCATGTTGCATTCCGTCGTCCATTTTGGAAGTTTTTAGATAAATCTTGTCATCACGAAGTACTACAGCTGATCAACTTTTCAGTGGCCATCTTGCATTCTGGCTGCCATCTTGGTAGTTTTTAGATAAATCTTGTAATCGCGATTCCAGGAAAACCACTCAACAGTTTTGCTTCAAATTTTTACACATGTTACATGGTATGAAGTTATAGAGCTTGTTAACTTTCTGGTAGCCATCTCGCATTCTGGCGACCATCTTGGAAGTTTCTAGATAAATCGTGTCATCGCGATTTCAGGAAAACCACTTAACAGATTTGCTACAAATTTTCACACATGTAACATGGTATGAAGTTCTACAGCTGATCAACTTTTAAGTAGCCATTTTGCATTCTTGCAGCCAACTGAACGATTTTAAATAAATCTTGTAATTGCGATTCCAGGAAAACCACTTAACTGATTTTCTTGACATTTTTACACATGTTGCATGCTAAGAAGTTCTAGAACTGTTACAAAACCAAAGTAAACAAAGCACATGGTGAACAAGATCTGCCTAAAACGTAGCAGTATGGACTTGATGTCCCAGAGACCAAGATGGCCGAAAAGTTAATCAGTTGAAGAACATTTTACCATGTAAAGTGTAAAAATTTGAGGACAATCTGTTTAGTGGTTTTCTTGGGATCACGATGACAAGATTTATGTTAAACTTCTAAGATGGCCGCCAGAATGCAAGATGGTTGCCAAAAAGTTAAAATTTGAAATAAATCTGTTACGTTGTTTTCCTGGAATCGCGATGACATGATTTATCAAAAAACTTCATAGATGTCCACCAGAATGCAAGATGGCCACCGAGAAGCTAATTAGCTCTAGAACTTCTTACCATGTAACATGTGTGAAAATTTAAAGTAAATCCGTTTGGTTTTCCTGAAATCGCTATGACAAGATTTATCTTAAAACTTCCAAGATGGCTGCCAGAATGCAAGATGGCCACCGAAAAAATAATGAGGTCTAGGACTTTTTACCATGTTACATGTGTGAACATTTGAAGTACATCTGTTATGTGGTTTTTGTGGAATCGCGATGACAATATTTATCTGAAAAAATTCCAAGATAGCCGCCAGAATGCAAGATGACCGCCGCAAAGTTAATCAGCTCTAGAACTTCTTACCATGTAACACACGGTGTATAACCCAAACGCTCCTACATGCACGACGGAGCGTTTCATTTACGCGGAAACGCTCCGGAGCGAAATAAAATGGCGGCTAATGAAGATTCCACTATGACCATAAGTATTGTTCCTCTCGTTTCTCTTACATATCATATGTTATGGTGAAATATTATGTACCATTCGATGAACAATACCGTGAGCAAAGATCTGATTTATTCAACTTCTGGTGGTAAACTGTTATTTGCTTGATCAAAGCTCCGTAGTGTAGATCGAACGAATCTGAAGATGACGATTTGACCACAAATTACGAATTAAACTAGTATTTCTATGAAAACGTTAATCTTTCTGTTAAAGTAGTAGATAACAAACTCGTATATTCTCATTTCCTAAAATCCCAATCCAAATCCATTACTTGTTCTCGAGAAATCGCTTGTTTTCCTCGAAACGCTCCGTCGATTTAGAACACAATTTTAGAAACGCTCTTACCATTTTGTTTTGATATAATTTTCAGATTATTAGAGAAGCGTTTCGAATCGAATCTATCCCTCAAAAACGTGTTGTACTTGTTAGGCGGGTTGTTAGGCAAATTGAAACATCTGAACCTGGTGGTGCTAAACGTGCAACTAGCTGATTTAAGCCTACATTAGATGATGTCATGCCTACATATGTGCTAAATCATAAAACTATAGAAAAAACGAAAATTTGTATATGAATTAATCTTTCTTCTATTGATGCCAAGGGGTATAATAGATCTTTTCTTTCTCTTCCTGAAAAGAAAAGGCAAGCTATATATTTCCTAAACTGATCTAGACTACCGGAGCGTTTCCAGTTCACTGTGTTAACCAGATCGGAGCGTTTCTTGAATATGAGAATGTCATCATTTTTAAGACTGGATTTTCGGTCATCAAATCACTATTACGATAATGTATGGTGCGTTGAAGCATTGGAATTTGACTAAAATATACGTTGGTGCTCTAATCTTAGCTCAACTAATCACATGAATCGACAAAAGGGGTTTTGACCGGTAGAATGACAAATACGTTTTTGAATTTTGATAACTATACTGCTTCGAACAGCTCTTCCTAATTGCTTTAAACGTCAACAGCCAGCCAAGTACAACATGAATATCACACCCATCGAATGGTATACTCGAAATATGTAACTCATACCTCTTATTCTCATTATTTGGGAAATCGTCAGACGGCTCATCATTCCCGCCAGTCAGTTTTCCTACTCCGGAGCGTTTCTTTGTTTAATTTCAGTAATGAAACGCTCCGTCGTGCATGTAGGAGCGTTTGGGTTATACACCGTGTAACATGTGTGAAAATTTGAAGTAAATCCGTCTAATGGTTTACCTGGAATCGTGATGACAAGAAAGTGAGACTTCAGAATGCCACCTTGTCTAACCCTGTTTTGGTGCCTTTTGCCCCTGTTTACATCAATAGAAGAGGTGTTTTCTTTAAGAGGGAAATCTGTTCTTTCAAACGGTACAATCATTTTATGTGGGAAAGTACCGGACAACAAAACCCCTTTTCTAGAGCCCTTTTGGAAATCAGATCAGGGACTACCAGTGTGTTGACTGATTACACGCCAGCTTACTTAGATACTTACTAAGTACGCAATAACCACTGTCACAGAACTGCCGACACCGTCAGGGGTCAGGCGTCAGGGGTCGGCGTTCTACGCCGTTGCTCAGATATTTGGGACACTTTTTTGGGGCCTACTACGCAATTACTTAATTTCAAATTTATTCTTGAGAAACTGTAGGAACAATGTTTTACATCTATTGTGAACATTTTTATCTAAATTTTGACAATCAAATGACATAAAGTTAGAAATAGAGGTCGCTTGTACCCGAGTGAACAACTTTAAACTAGAAAATCGAAACATCTTGTCCAATGGAGTAAAATTGCACGAATTTCAGATCAATTGTGTTTTTCATTTGGCTCAGATCGGGAGAACTATGATAAATGATCCATCCAGACGGTTCACATATTCGTGTGCTAGTCGAACTCTATGTATAAGTTACAGGGGCGGATCTGGGAACCAACAGGGGGGGGGCAAACTTCTGGTCTGAGAAAAAAACTTGTGAGCCCCTAAAACCAAAGAGTGGGCCCAAACTTTGAAATTTTAAAGCCCATTTTCTTCAAAATTTAGCCTAAAATTAAAAAACATGGCTTTAGAAGGCCCATTTATGACCAAAAAGGCCAACTTTTAGGGCCTTAAGCCCCCCCCCCAGATCCGCCAGTGAGTTATACTTTAAATCGGGCCGTTTACAAAAAAGAAACAGGGTTTGAGGAAAATGTGTAAAAGACCCACCATATTTGTAACCCAAGATTATTTATATAATTCGATTATGAATACATGTCAATCATAGGCATCGTTTTTTACCCATTTCGTTCTTTTCATACAATTAAGCTAAAATTGTTAAAACGAAAAACAAACACTTTAAAGATGACGATGTGATTTTATAAAGACCGACAATGTTTTAAGTGTGTGCTGAGACTAACATAATTTTATGTTAGTCTCAGGTGTGTGTTTTTGGTTACTTTCATACTGAACATACTGTACGTGAGTTTTCTCATCATGATCCAAATTGACTAACAATCATTGGTCTTTTTCGTAAACCCCGTTAAATCCACTATGATCAAAATAAACCCTCAACTTTATTATCATGACAGTTTTATTTTTCAACTTTTTAGATCAATGTGTAGATGCCATAACGCCATGAAATTGGATTCTAGACACAAAATAAAGGAACTTTCTTTATAAAATTACGAAATTTACTATTGGATATAATTTCAATATTACCTGTAAATACATGTTAATGGGGGGGGGGGTCATAGTTTAAATCAAAATCTCCACAATTACACGCCCGGTGATCGGGACGGAGGGGGAGCGGGACCATTGTTGCTTGATTAATAGTAGTAGATGTCAAAAGGAGAGAACTGACCCAATGTTTACAATGGATATGATAAATATAACATACAGAAAATGATGTCATGGTGTCACTACGGTAAATCATTGAAAAATATTGAAACAAATCACAAAATTCAAGTTCTGGGGTACATATCGCCATTTTCGAACGAACTAGCCCATACAATGACTATATTTCTGCGTTCCCCTATACATAACCTTCATCTTGACACTATATTTAACATAAGGTTTGCGTCTCGATTTTTAAATATCACTACGCCAACATAGGGACTCATTTTTAGGTAAAATCCCTGCTTCACCGATGAAAATTAACGAATAAAGTAGTTCCAGTTTACGGGACTATATTCTTGCGATTTTTTTCTTAAAATGGCACATTTAGAAAGTACTTGGCCTCAGCTTTACAGACATACCTCAAATGGCCACATTGCAGACACTTAAACCTACTATACACACCATTGGAGTTGGCATGGCTTCGTTTTTAAAGTATTAAAAAACACTGTCCTACCCGGAAGTGGTATTTACAGGAGTGACACCTTAATATCCAAAACGGGAAAATTTGACTATGATATTTTTTGCTCATTTAGCACTTTTTTCAAACAATGGAGTTATTTCATGCTCGAAACAGCTGCATTTCCAAACTTTTAACACGTTTTCTACAAAATCTAGCCATTTTTGGGGAAATAGGTGAGGGCTGAGTCTTTAAAAACTGGCCAAAATGACCTAAAATTGGGTCATCAACTTCAGAGATCTCGTGCAAAAATTTTAGACGCAAAATCTCCGAGATTATTTCATTTTGTCAATCATTATAGCAATGCCTTTCAAGTATTACACAGAATGAACTGAAATGTATGTTGCTAAATGCAAATATTTTGAGTCAAATGTGGTCCCCATGTGCAAAATTTGCCCTTTTCTCCTAATTACGCCAGTTAGGCCCCAGTGTATTGTGACATCATACTCATACCATTGCTACAATGTAGCAATTTACAAATTAATCTTGATTACCCTTCCTGTGATACACCTGGCGTGTTTATTAAGCATGTAAAAATGATAATTTGCAACATTGTAGCAATTTAAATGAGGTATGGAACCTTAAAATCATGTAATTTATGGAGAAATAACCAGCAATTTTGATGGAATTCCAGTTGATTTTCTTCCATTTATGATCCCTTTGGGCCCCCGTTTGGCCATTCTGATAGGCACAGGATGTTTAAATGTGAATTAAAGCATTGTGTGGCCTAGCCTGAATGTAAATATCGACACAATTTTGAAATTCTACAACATCCATGGTCTCTGCGCAAATGGCAGCTAATCTAAGGCAGGGATATTAAGGTGTCACTACGGTAAATCATTGAAAAATATTGAAACAAATCACAAAATTCAAGTTCTGGGGTACATATCGCCATTTTCGAACGAACTAGCCCATACAATGACTATATTTCTGCGTTCCCCTATACATGACCTTCATCTTGACACTATATTTAACATAAGGTTTGCGTCTCAATTTTTAAATATCACTACGCCAACATAGGGACTCATTTTTAGGTAAAATCCCTGCTTCACCGATGAAAATTAACGAATAAAGTAGTTCCAGTTTACGGGACTATATTCTTGCGATTTTTTTCTTAAAATGGCACATTTAGAAAGTACTTGGCCTCAGCTTTACAGACATACCTCAAATGGCCACATTGCAGACACTTAAACCTACTATACACACCATTGGAGTTGGCATGGCTTCGTTTTTAAAGTATTAAAAAACACTGTCCTACCCGGAAGTGGTATTTACAGGAGTGACACCATATACTTAGAGGAAAATGTATTTACATTGTGTAATAGCAAATTGTAATTTATGACGGAATTTAAAGGAAAAAGTCACATTAGTGAGTTTGTGAGGCAACGTTTTTAACTATTGCTAACTTTTTGAAATTTTCATCTGATTTTTTCCACCAGTTATTCACACCATATGCCCCCAAGATATATTCTAGTTATATTATACAAAATTTTGAAAATGTTATGACTGATAAAGGACCATGCACCCTTTTTCTTTACAGAGGGTAATCAAAATCAGAAGTGGTCAAAATCTGAAACCGTTTTGTTGAAATTAAAAACGTTTTTAGTATCAATGTATTTACATATTTTGATGGTACCTCTTGATAGTCAAAATAAGCAGGTATTTTACTAATATATCACAATTTATTTCAGGTATCTTTCTAGATAGTTTTTAATATGGGGACCCAGCCACATGGAACTGTATTTAAAACAAGCAAATCACGTTACAACATGTGGCAAATACTTTTTTTTCAAAGTTTATAATGGCGGCCAATGGGGGATTTTAGCAAAATATCCCGAAAATTAAATCATTAAAAGGCCGAAAGATCTGTCGATGGATTTTGCTGTTTTATATATCAAAATGAATTGGGTCTAACAAGGATCCGAACAAAATAAATGATTTGCTAAAAAGTTATTAAAATTTTAAATTTTGATGAAGACTGCTCTCCATTGAAATCTTTGGACCATGAAATGTCGATTTACGCGCATGCGTTGTGACGTTATTTCCATTATCTACACCTGTATCCAGATTTAGGAGATCCCGGTGTAAATGAATCAGAGAGGCAGGAAAGTACGCACTGGACGAACTGTTTTGGAAGTCACGCGTGGACTGCTCTGTACGAAATGCTCGGAGATAGGGAAAAGATGAAATTGTGCTAATACTAAGCTTACTCTTATGAAATTTACTCTACTCGTGCGACAAAACAAAGCGTTAGCTGTTTACTACCATCTAGGCAATGAGCCAACTCAACTGACTGCCAACAGACTGTTACAATTTAAAAATAATAGTGAAATTCAAGCCAATGTTGAACTATGAACATATGTGAATAAAGTGCACATACACAAATCGGTATTTGAAAACTAATGACGATGGATTATTTATCATTTCATTCCTCGTTCCTAGCAACCTGAAGTTTGAGGATTATCTCGATATTAGTCGAACAAAAGATGATACCAACGCCGATATGTTTGGCCATTGGTGTGTTGATGATATCACTCGTTCCCTATTTCAAAGGCTGTGTGATTTTTCTGATACAACATGTATCAGAAGAATCAGACACAGCCTTTGAAAAGGGTAAACCACTCGTTATCACAGGTTGTGACAAGCCAGGTATGCGTACGTTGGTTGTTCCAAAAATGTGAGTCGCTTTTTTGACACTGAGTATTTCAGGCTCGACAATTGGATGAATCAAATTCATTGAAAATTTCAATAAAGTAGCCTAAGGGTCATAAGCGAGTATTGACAAATATGCACCAAAAATCCAATATCAGAACCGCGCAATGAGTCACCTTCAGAGCGTTTGTGCCAGCCACCAGGTGATAGCATCTGTCAATCAGTTTAAGCCTCAACATAACTTATCAGTCTGTCAGGTCTATTGATTTGTTTCATTGTCAGTCCAAAATCCGTTCAGTCCATTTCAGTTTGGAAGGATGAACAACGTCTTTCGGTGAACGCGATAAGGCTAGTAGCATAGTAGGCCTACAAGTGAAAATTGTTTCAAGGTGAAAAGATGGGATGAATCATAGAGGTATTAAAGACAGGAGTTGGAGTCGTGTTATTGTAAATAGACTTATGTAAAAAATGAACTAAATTCAACATGCTTAAAAACGAGCGTCTCTCCATAAGATTGTTATACACAATATATCTTGCATATTTACGTAAGTTATACATTAATGCGTTTTATTTAAGGAGATACTTATTATCACTTTTTAAAATTATAAACGTCCCTAAATGTCATTAGATAAACTTTGCGCTTCGTAAACATCATATGGTATTTAATTTATAATAATATAAACATGAAATATGCAGCAATTTTTTAAACGACAAAACAACAAGAATATACACTGTCTCCGGCATCGCAATCAATGGCATTTTGTTTTTTAAATGTCGAAAAGGTCCACTTAACATTGGGTATAAGGCTTTTAGTCAACTTATCAAAAAGAGATTCACGAGAGTTTTACATAAAATATTTAAACTGTTCCCGTATAAAGTGGCTCATTTTTATATATATCAATACCGTTTTATTTTATACCTAGGAGATACAAAATAATTTTTTAAATTAGCTGAACTCATTATAACTCATGGAACATGCAACAACTTCTTATAAACGACAAAATATACAATATTGTAGAGACTCACTCTACAACATAAAATAGACTCCACACAAATAAAATCTCAGAATAGCTTTCACAGCGAAGACCAATTTTCCCAAATCATCGTTTTTTCTTGATGTTGAATCAGTTTTTCTTCATCTTACTAATGCCGTGGTCACATTTGCTCCGATTTTTAGTACGGCGCCCGTCCGATTGAGTATTGTGCTCAAAATTGTATTCAATTTTGAACAAAATACTCAATCGGCCGGGCGCCGGTGCTGAAAATCGGAGCATAGGCCTATGTGACCACGGCATTACTAGTATAGTAAGTATTTGTTTGGATTATTATAAAAATTCAATTTTTGTTTGGAAATTATTTCAGAATATACTGAACCCCCTAGTATAATGTGTTTCTCTGACACACTGACTAATATGTCAATCTGTTACTTTAATTTGAGGCATGATTAATATCACTGTAAAATTGTTGCTTTAACATACTGAAATCTGTAATTTCTCAAAAGAACCCTAGTGTCTGTTTTACTTTCTATTCAAAAACTTCAAAAATTCTTCTAGCTTCATATTATCGTTGTCTTTCTAGATACCGTTGTCATCCCGATTTTGCAGCACATTTGACCAACATTTATACCGTTGTCATTTATACAGTATCCGTTGTCCTGTTTCATATTTTGATCGGTTGAATTAAAGGCTTTATTTCGATGGTAGGGTAGAACATTATTGCACGATCAGTATAAAGACATTTTTATTGATTGTTGTGGTACCAAAGTAATTTATTCTGGGTGCTCTATTTAACATATCTAATCGAACCTGTGGCGTGTGTGGCCGCCATTTATGACAACGGTATGTGCCTTTTCCGTTGTCAGGGTGTTCCGGTGTGCATTCGGCGTCAACAGCATATACACTGTCATCTTTATTTTGAAAATGACAGTCGCCTGAGTGTTGAATATATATGAGAAATCAAGATAGTGAAACCTGAAAATCCAATACTATTTTAACATTCATGGAGTCAAAATGGTAATTGGATATATTCATAATTGTACAATTCCATCTTCAGTTTTCTATTTGGGCTGCTTTAAAGACAGAGCTCATGTGGCAGGCGCACGTGACATGGATGGTCTTGGTTTGCCACACGGTTTTCAACACCAGGAGATGACCATTGAAATATGCACAAATTACTGTCGTACAAGGGGTATATATTTTGAGAATATTGAATATATATATTTACGAAAAGTTTATCATCTTTTTCTGAATGATATAATAGTTTGACTAATGTGCAAATTGTTGATAAAGTTATCTCTTTAAATACAAATTGCGAACGTTCGTCAGAACAGTACATAAACGGGCACCTGGAAATGCCATTGCCATGATCCCCCGATAACTTTCGTCTTCAGGCTTCAAATATGCTGGTGTCCAATGGGCGTATAGTTGTTACTGTGCAGACAAGTTTGGAAAATATGGGAATGCCGCAGAGTCTGCTTGTAAGATGGCTTGTAAGGGTAATCCTAACCAGGACTGTGGGGGAGACGAAAGGAATGGCATCTTCTTAGTCAGATAAATCCAGTGATTCACCTGACTGACCATTACATACGTGTACATACAAAATCAAATCACATTTTGATGGTATAATGACAATAATTATAAATAAAATATATTGAACATAAATGTGTTCGAATTAGCATTCTTATTGGGACAGCTCTATAAGGGATGACACTAATACAACTATGGACAATGAAGATAATCCCAAAACCTTTGCAAATGAAACTTTTTCAGTACTTAAGAAAAAGTAGTTTTGTGGAAAGGTGAGCATTAATGTTTTGAAATGTTTGATATCTGAGAGTTTTATTTTCACTTTTTGAAGTTTAATAACTTCTGTATTTGTTCAGCTGCCAATTACTTTTCAGGTATCAAATATGGGGTTGTAACTGATTATTTTAATGAAAGAGGTAATTTCATTTGTTTTCATATAAAGAACAAAAATACATTTAATTTTCGATGTGCCTTTTTATTCCAGTGAATGTTTCCACCATTAGCTATATTATTTCTCTGGGAATTCTTTTTGAAGAAACATACTTTCAATATGTTAAGAGAACCTTAATTTAAACTTGAAATGTGTTGCATTGGAAAACCTCAAATATAACACATCTTAGTAATGTCATATTGCTTTTCTAAGGTGAGCTTTAAAATTCCATCTTTTTATGACTTTTTTTATGTTAAATGTATAACTGCTTGTTGTAGTCTCTTTAAACCTTGGAATGAAGCTCAATTTTAAAAGCTTACCAGATGATTATCAATACGTTATGTAACAGTCTGTACAATGAACATACTGCATGCAGTACATATGCATGGAATGAAAGAAACTGCTGACAATCCTGAGGATTTTCACCTCTTATTTGTTCATACATAGTATAGCGTCCCCTTATATAAAATTATAACCTCCTATATGTAAATAATCCCCAAATTATGTACATATCTTATTCAATATAATATGTAAAAATGAAAATACCTCCTAAGTTGGAATTCCCTCTATTAGTAAAATACTTTTATTTTAAACCTTGAGTTATCATACATGTATTTTAATACATTTTTAAAACCAAATAGAATGCACTTCAAACCCAGCTGTATTATTATGAGGATGCCTAAAATCCACCATTCAATTTACTTCCACATAAATTATACCCATAAGGCATCCTAAATTGATTAACCCCTTCAAATCTAGTTTATGAGGGGTTAAAACCTACCAGATCTAAAGGAATGTATTATGTTTTATATCCAACATCCAATAGATAAACCCTGTGACACAGATTGACAATGTTTCACTTATCAGTTGCTTATATAGAAGATATTTCTCACCCACTAACTCTTTAAATACAAATTGTGTGATGTCACTGTATAATGATACAATAACTTAATGATAATTAACTTAATGATAATTTATATCTTGCGGATGTTACATAAAATGTTTTGTTAAAATGAAGCAATATGGATGCAATCAAATACAGTTAACATGGTTAATGCTGAGTTAATCTGACTGAGTTTGTTATCAATGTTGATTTTTCATTTCATTTCATATGATTATACATCAACACATCTTTGTCTAAATTGGTATAAAACTACAGGTTAACATTTCCATCTCTCATACTGCAGGACTCATTGATAAGTTAAGTCTTATTAATGGCCCAAAAAAGTGAGGTGACTACGTAGTACTACACCCTTTATTTGTTATACATGTATGTTCCTTGGGCTTGGTGCCACCTATTCAAAAAAAGTAAATTAAATACTGTAGTGCATTGCTCTGTACACATAGGGTGATTTATAGGGCTTAAAATATAACATAAACTCTATATAAATTATAGAAATGCAATTAATACTCAAAATAGTTCCCTAAACTGAATTTTTCAATATACACAGCCCATAATTATCAAACATGTCATTGAATGTTCGAGTCTGAGATTCTGATTTAACAGATATACCTCAATCAAATTAATTTTTTTACATGTACAGCTTTTGATATATTTTGAATAATAATGTACCAATCAAATGTCTAAATTATGGAATAAGATATTGAGCTCAGATCCTGATGAATTCCATATAATAGTATTGCATTGTAATATTAAACTTATCATGATATCACCAATAAACACTTCACTGTACTTCTCTATATCACAGTCGCTTCCATCAATTATATTACTATACAATATCTTTCTATGAAATCTTCTTTGTTCCATAAAAAAATTCCTTGAATTATGAACCATGGGAGTAAATCCTCCTATATTCATGAACTCAGGGATTACCATCCTTGATCCACGAACTGTGTAAATAAATAGCCTTTAATCAACGGTGGTGTAGAAATATACAATATAATCCTTAATAAAGCCACATGTCCCACTTTAATAATCCACTAAAATCCTAATACTCCATGTGTTGCAGCTATTGGTGACAGAATCGCCAGGAAAATAATCAAGTTCCTTAACAGTGATTTCCAGTCTTTAGGAACGGCATATTTAGCCAGTACCCCTGTCAGTTTTGAGATTTCGTGAGCAACACACACGAATATGAATGATGTCACACAAATGTTTAGTACTGGGTAGCTTGGAATAAGCACAAGCACACCGTGAGTGTCTGCAGCTAGCCATACATGATATTGCGATATAAACAACTGCAAATAATAAAAAAAACATGTGTAAGCTGGTTTGAATATCATGTAATTCAATGCAATTTCACAAATTAATGAACAATACTTTTATGTACGAATAATCACACTCTTGTAACTGTATTTTCCTCAGTTTACATTATTATCTACACTTGGACTCTAGTCTCCAAAATATTATGCTATACTGTAATTGTGGCGTATTGCAGCAAAATGGGTTGAAATAGCATCATTTCAATTCACTTTAAACTATTTCAGCTTATACTGTAGTCTTGAATAGTCCAACAAACTTTTTTAGAGAGTAACTTTTTTGAAAAAATGTCTCAATTTGCTAAGTAATGACAAATAATATATTTGGATGATTCAACAATATTTTCAAAACTTTGCACATGGCCTTTAAAATGTTATTTGTTATTTCAACAGTTACCTCAAATATTACTTGGTTTCAAATATTAAGAAAAAACAGTTATCGTATTTACCTCAAGAGATATTTTTCCAAACCATGCAAAGAATGAACTGTATCTAGTCCTGAGCCACCCTGGGATGTTTCTTAGCAACACAAATGAGATAATCTGAAATATCAAAATGATGCAATTTTAGAACAAAATGAATGACATTATATGGTACTACATATGTACTGCATGTATAAAATGTTGCCTGATATTGTAAAAATCAATAGGACAGACTACCATTCTACAGCTTGTATTCAAGGAGAGTGTAATCAATGACTAATAACACAAGTCATTGATTAAACTATACTTCTGTAATAAACTATTCACAAAACATTTCATGGAAAAAGGAATTCCTCGACTCATAACCATTAATCTTAAGACTGAAAAATTTGACATCTGTCTTTAAAAAAAGAGGACAAAAATGGTTATTTACGGAGAATCCAACAAGAGTCAATAATTATAATTTAGAAGTGATTGATACTTACTGGTATTAATGATATATATGCATGGACATTGTTGCATTCCTGTTTTGATCTACATAGACTTGTAAACACTGCATAACCCTGCAACACAGAAATGTGCAAATAAATATTGGAACAGGTATGTCCATGAATATAGATATCTATATATGTTGTATTCATGAATACTCATTATGACATTATGAATTGGTTTGCTGCAAAAAATTTACAATATGTGAACATTCAAGAAATATCGATGACTCATATCTTGTAGAATGAAGAGAAAATAGTGTTATCCTGACATAATTTCAACTAATCACTTATACATGTACTTGTACAAATATATTGAATAAACATGAACATATACATACATTTATTATTATTTATTTATTATTATTTATTTATTTACCCCATGGTTGTAAGGATATAGATGAGTAATAATTTCCCATGAGATAAACAGACAATCCTATGGTTTTGAAAAAATATCAATTATATCCACTCATAGATATTAATTCCACTCATGAACGTCAATATCTTCACCCATTTCCTGCGCTCACTCATGAAAGTATTAATATCCACTCGTGAATAAATGATATATTTTCAAAACATAGGATATTCCTATAATACAATGTATATAAATTGTACAAACTAGAGTGAAGCTTACCCCTAGTCCTAAAACTGAGAGACCTGCTAGTGACCATGATACAGCTGGGGAAAACAAACTGTCTCTGTGACTGTCATCTATAAACTTGAATCTTTTTAAAAGGATTATGGCAAAAGCAAAGCCCATACCATATGTAACACTCTGGAAAACAAGATGTTACAAGGGAGAATGATATAGGCTGGAACTGATGTATAGAGATGTGAGTCCTCATATGATATGATATGATACCATATTATATGTCATATTATATTACATTATATTGGAAATCATGCCATTAATTCAACTGAGATCAGTGGGCAAGGGACTGCTTCACAAATAGCAATAGGGAAAATGTTTTATTAATTTATATTTACTTGCAACTCATGCCCATATTTTTAAATACATAAAAATAGTTACTGTAGATTGGGTTAATTTGGCGATACTTAATTTGGCGATTTTGCCATTTTTGGCATATTGGCGGCTATTTAATTTGGCGGATTGCAAAAAGAAAAAAAAAATTTTTAAGGACCACTGGCGATATTCACCACGTTTGTACATTTTTGTGAGATCATCCTTTACATTTTGTACCTCGATCTATGCTGCTACCATACTGCGTTTTTCCCTGAGTATTAATGAGTGACTGACCAGTTCTGAGCCAATTTATGAGAGACATTTTTTCATATTTTTGGAAAAAGCTCAACCGGAAGTGACCTAAAACACTGGACAAAATACCCTAGATAATTCCCGGGGATTCATTCTAAATTTTGGCGAAGATTTAAATTGGCGAATTTTTCATTTTCGCCAAATTCGCCAAATTAAAGCGGGCGCCAAATTAACCCAATCTACAGTATATCATTATCTATTCATATTCATATGTATTCTACAATTTGAAATATTTTCATGTTTGTTTACACTTACATATCTGTCAAGCCACCAACGAAAATGCCACTCGTGTATGGAGTCATCAGAGGAAACAAATAATGACTTTATAGGGTGTACAAGGAATATCTTCTCAAATACAAGCTGCAATTAAAACAACAGAAAATCCTGAGATTGGTAAGTAAATAAAATATATAGAAATGATATTATATTCTATTAAAATTGTGACATTGACACTCTTTTTGAGTACATTTTATACTCTCTGTTCTGAGATTTCAGATATTTGTATAGAATAAAATATATAGAACTCAACTGATATCATATGCAGTGCAGTAACCGTAAAATGTGACCAGAGCATGAGTCTCATATTAATTATTTTACCATTGAAATAGTAAATCACCTGTATTACATTAAATCGATCATCAAAAATACATTCACAACATTAACAATTTAATTTCTGAGCCATAGACATAATATGACAGCTCAAGACAACTCCGCCTTATCTATCTACACAATGAGTATTGTGATGTCAATCAAGATGTATAAGGTACTATATCTTACCTCTGAAGCATACAGCAGTGACATGGCTGTGACCACAATTAGAAATTTTGCCACCATGTAGAAGTAGTGCCGTTTATATTCTGAAAGAATACATCAAAAGATTAATAAAAATGTTTAAAATACATAGGGAATTTACATGTACATAGGGGAATTATCGAAGGAAACTGATCTAATGAAGGTTAAATCAAAAATCGCGGCAATGATGCCAATATGTGGCAGAATATCAGAATTGCATTCTGGGAGCCAATCCGCCTTGACTTTCAACAATATTCATGTTCATGAATCATGTTTTCAAAATAAATAAACACAGACATAAATAGAATTGAGTTTCAACTAGAGATACTAAGTTTAGATTAAAAGTTTCTATATTGAAGCAAGTTGAAAAAAGACTTGTTTGACCTTGAGAAGGTCATTGAAGGTCAAATCTTCAATCTAAAGTCAGATTTGAACTTTATAAAACTTGTAAATAATTTGAAAAAAATTGAAGTCAGTAACAGTATTTGTTAGGTTATTGGAAGTTTTAAGAATGTGTTACAGATCGCAAACCACCAACCTCCGCCACAAAAAAACGGAGAGACCATAACAATATGTAACCACTTCTTGGTGGTGACATAAAAATCTGACAATTTCATAGTTTAATGGTACTTTAAAATAATGTGAATAAATAAAAACATTTTCAACCAGTCATTTTGTGTCGTCTATTTATTGCTAAGTTAATAAGTTCATATTATTAAAAGATAATAAATAAATCTCGTTTTCATACATTTGTGTTCTGTATTTTAGTGCAATTATTTAATAACAGTTCTCAAACGTTTTTCCAATGTACATCGCGATTTGCATGGAAATTTAATCCTGAAAATTGCCAATGCATCGAAGTACGATAATGGCACAACGCGACAACACTATAGTAGCAAAATATACTTTGAAACATAAAAAGCAACCATATTTTGATGATATAAAATTAAGAAAGAAAAAAAACTAGAGAATGTGATTGTGTTTCTATTTAACTTCTGCATTTTAGGTATAGCATGGCAACATCAATGAACACAAGGCATTAACATGACAAAATGTCACCACCTAAAACAATTTGGTCAATTTAAAGCAAGTTGGAAAATACCTTTTGACCTTGAGAAGGTCATTGAAGGTCAAAGGTCAAATCTTAAGTCAGATTTAACTTCTGAGAACTTGTAAAGTCAAATTTGAACTTTTGAAAAGATGTAGATGATTTTGAAAAAAAAATTTGGTCAATTTGAAGCAAGTTGAAAACAGACCTTTTTGACCTTTTTTGACCTTGAGAAGGTCATTAAAGGTCAAATGTCAAATCTAAAGTCAGATTTGAATTTCTGAGAACATGTAGATGATTTTGAAAAAAAAAATTAGTCAATTTGAAGCAAGTTGAAAAAGACCTTTTTGACCTTTTTTGACCTTGAGAAGGTCATTGAAGGTCAAATGTCAAATCTAAAGTCATATTTGAATTTCTGAGAACATGTAGATGATTTTGAAAAAAGAATTTAGTCAATTTGAAGCAAGTTGAAAAAAGACCTTTTTGACCTTTTTTGACTTTGAGAAGGTCATTGAAGGTCAAATGTCAAACCTAAAGTCAGATTTGAATTTCTGAGAACATGTAGATGATTTTGAAAAAAAAATTTAGTCAATTTGAAGCAAGTTGAAAAAAGACCTTTTTGACCTTTTTTGACTTTGAGAAGGTCATTGAAGGTCAAATGTCAAATCTTAAGTCAAATCTAAAGTCAGATTTGAATTTCTGAGAACACGTAGATGATTTTGAAAATTTTTTTTAGTCAATTTGAAGCAAGTTGAAAACAGACCTTTTTGACCTTTTTTGACCTTGAGAAGGTCAAATGTCAAATCTTAAGTCAGATTTGAATTTCTGAGAACACGTAGATGATTTTGAAAAAAAAATTTAGTCAATTTGAAGCAAGTTGAAAACAGACCTTTTTTACCTTTTTTTACCTTGAGAAGGTCATTGAAGGTCAAATGTCAAATCTAAAGTCAGATTTGAAGGTCAATTGTCAAATCTAAAGTCAGATTTGAATTTCTGAGAACATGTAGATGATTTTGAAAAAAAATTTAGTCAATGTGAAGCAAGTTGAAAAAAGACCTTTTTGACCTTGAGAAGGTCATTGAAGGTCAAATGTCAAATCTAAAGTCAGATTTGAACTTCTGAGAACATGTAGATGATTTAGAAAAAAATTGAAGTCAGTCTAAACAGTATTTGTTAAGTTATAGGAAGTTGTAAGAAATTGTTACAGACGCCGGACGCCAGACGCCAACCTCCAACCACCAACCGCCAACCACCAACCGCCAACCACCAACCGCCGTCGCAAAAAAAAAAGTCAAATGTCAAATCTAAAGTCAGATTTGAATTTCTGAGAACATGTAGATGATTTTGAAAAAAAAATTTAGTCAATTTGAAGCAAGTTGAAAAAAGACCTTTTTGACCTTTTTTGACTTTGAGAAGGTCATTAAAGGTCAAATCTTAAGTCAAATCTAAAGTCAGATTTGAATTTTAGTCAATTTGAAGCAAGTTGAAAAAAGACCTTTTTGACCTTTTTTGACTTTGAGAAGGTCATTGAAGGTCAAATGTCAAATCTTAAGTCAAATCTAAAGTCAGATTTGAATTTCTGAGAACACGTAGATGATTTTGAAAATTTTCTTTAAGTCAATTTGACCTTTTTGACCTTTTTTGACCTTGAGAAGGTCAAATGTCAAATCTTAAGTCAGATTTGAATTTCTGAGAACACGTAGATGATTTTGAAAAAAAGATTTAGTCAATTTGAAGCAAGTTGAAAACAGACCTTTTTGACCTTTTTTGACCTTGAGAAGGTCATTGAAGGTCAAATGTCAAATCTAAAGTCAGATTTGAAGGTCAAATGTCAAATCTAAAGTCAAATCTAAAGTCAGATTTGAATTTCTGAGAACATGTAGATGATTTTGAAAAAAACTTTAGTCAATGTGAAGCAAGTTGAAAAAAGACCTTTTTGACCTTGAGAAGGTCATTGAAGGTCAAACGTCAAATCTAAAGTCAGATTTGAACTTCTGAGAACATGTAGATGATTTAGAAAAAAATTGAAGTCAGTCTAAACAGTATTTGTTAAGTTATAGGAAGTTGTAAGAAATTGTTACAGACGCCGGACGCCAACCTCCAACCACCAACCGCCAACCGCCAACCACCAACCGCCGTCGCAAAAAACGGAGACCATAACAATATGTCACCACTTTTGGTGGTGACATAATAATAAAATGATGTGAACATGAAGTTATAACAGATATCCTAGGTGGCTTGATGAAATATAAATAACACAGCAACTGAATAACAGGAAGTGTAACTCCAAATACTTTCAAAAATATTGCCAACCAACTTACCTAATGTTGATTTTTCTGTGACATGAGGCCATATCGCCATAACAACATAGACCACCATGAACCAGAATGAAACGAGGGGAACAAAGTAGTAGAACTGATAGGGTCGGTTCATGACAAAGCAGAGAACTATCACTAGCAGGTTCATCCTGAACATCACCTGAAAGCAAATCAAACATTCAATCAATCAATGTAGCATAGGAAGCCTACCAATCAATCAATCACTCATTCAATCAACCAGACAATAAATCAATAAACATTTACACCTTATCTCAGTAGTGTTATCTACAAACAATAAAGGCATTATTATGTGTATGTTCATAATTTAACCCGTGCTATCAACATTAAAGGCAACTGCATTTCATTCATCATTTGGTAAAAAATTCATATTTTGATTTTTAACTAACACTCCTTGAAACATTGCTGAATCTTTTTGTTAAATCCTAAGCTAAGCATATTAGAAGATAAACGAAATCTGATGTCTTCAAGTTAAACATGTATTCACATACATATACTTAGATTATTGTAAGTATACAATGGCCAGGCATGAAAAGTAATATTGCAGGGCTAATAACACTAATTCTCATCCTAAATAACACTAAAATAGTTTTAATTCATAATGATATGTAACTTATACGATTACAGATTTGGACATGAGCTTTCCTTTATGGAATAATTGAAACTTGAAAAGTATTGTTTGTATAGAATGAGTGAATTATGCAAATCCCCTTTAAAAATTAACAATAACAAGCCACAGGGTGAAGATTTTAGGACAGAAAATCCAAAATGGCCGCCTTAACATTTACCCAGAATGTTGAAAAACTAATCAGTTCTAAACTTTCATAGAAACATCCCTGAGAATTTCAAATGAGTCCCTCAAACGGTTTGGCTGGAAACCTGTAGACAAGCCTTGACTGACAAGATTTTAGGACAGAAAATCCAAAATGGCCACCTTAACATTTACCCAGAATGCCGAAAAACTAATCAGTTCTAAACTTTCATAGGCAGAAACATCCCTGAGAATTTCAAATAAATCCCTCAAACGGTTTGGCTGGAAACCTGTAGACAAGATTATTTGGGACGCCCACCGCCCAACCGCTCGGCAAACTGATTACAATATAGCACCTTAGGGTGCGATTAAAAAGGGTGCTAGTAGTTTTTTCAATTTGGAATTTCAGGTTGTATCATTTTCTTGTTGAGGGATTTTTTAAAAGTTTTCATATTTTCAGAAAAGGATAAATTCTGTTGATTGTGTAAGTTACAGTACATATATCTATCGTAATGAATTACAAACATTTTAGGGTATTTAGGGTGGAAATTACAGCTATGAATAAGGAAAAGCCATTTACATGCAAAATGTCAACTGCCACACGTACACCATCCAAAAGGTTGGAGACCAAAACAATATGTCACCACTTCCGGCGGTGACATAAAAAGCTAGAAGCAAGTGTGAAAAACAAATTTGGCGGAAATGGAGAATCTATCCCTAAATACCTTTATCTTTATTCAACAATATTCAAATAAAAAAATTAAATAATAAAAAATGAACAAATCAGGAATTAAAATGATCAATTAAAATCAACTATAAAGATAAAAAGACTTCAACATATTATCAATCAAAGTAGTGATGAACACATATTAGTTTACAAAGCCAACATGCATTCAATCCATCAAATATAGGATAGTTTAAAAACATTTGAATACAAAACAATTTCCTTCTCTAAAAATGTTCTCTGATTAAATAATTTTATTAATATTTACAAATTAATTAACACAAAAATAATTTTGAATTGCAAGTTGTTTTACAAAGTTAATTTTGAATTGCAAGTTATTTTCCAAAGTTAATTTTGAATTTCCAAAGTTGGCCACCTGGTGGTCAAAAACAGAACTCTACTTGAAAATCATACTTCACTTCATGAACTTCCTCAAAATATCATAGAAATAGTTAAGTATTGGAAAAGCTGAGACTTTGGCAGGAGGCATTGTTAGTGTGTGACAACACCACTTACTTGGCAGAATCTGTGTAACAGTTCATTATTACACCTTGACATATATGATAAACACACAGAACACTTAAACCTCAACTGAAATCCAAACAATATTTCTGTCTGCATATAGGCTAAAAAGAATCCATTTACAAATTTGTTTAGTATGGATTCAAATGGAAATGCCAAGGACTTAACATTTTGAATAAAGGCCTAAAACGAGCGGAGAATGAATATTTAAAGGATAACATATAAAATACACAATCCACACAATCTTTGAGCAACTAATGCAAAAGTGTATATCTAAATAAATTATATATATACAATGTTCTATAGAGTGATTCCACCCCAAATATGCCAATTTTTTAATTATTTTCTCACAATGTAAAAAGAAAAGCTGTGCTTTTTTCTTCAGTTTAACTAAATTAAAATGCTTATACATGTTATATGTGCACTATTAGTAACTTAAAAGATTCTTGCAAATCAGATCAAAATCATCAAAAATTGGGGAATAAGAGCAGGAGAGCGTTTCAAAATCAAGGTAGGCTAACTGCCAGTCTATTTCAGAACATTGTAGTTCTTTAAATTTTACTTACTGAGCAAAAACGAACAAATCCATAGTCCCCTTTCTTCCAGAAATAAATAAAATGGCCATATCCTGTCATAAACAGGTAAGAGGACACAAGAACTCTAACCTGCATGTAGATGGGGATTTGCTGAAATAGAACACAATATATTATATCAATGGGTTTTGCTGAAGTAGAACAAAGTACAAAACAGCAATGAAGTAAATAAGCTCTAGGGCGCATTGAGTATATGTACCCACTGTTGGTCAAAGTTGTTACACAGCCATACGGAATATATTAAATAACATATTCCATGAAACAGGATATCAAACATGAATTAGTCATGCTAATACTACATTGATACCCCACGAGTGATTATATGGCTCCATAAAATCTATGACGATTTAAGCCATTCTAGATCATTCAAATGACAGGATAAAATTGTATTTTCACTTCTTAAATGTGCAATTTAAGATGCAATATATTGTGTCTTACCCCACTAGCCCCTGTTATATGGTATATAAGGATCACTAGCTGCATCCACCCCTTCCACTCATCAGTCTGGTCTCTGTGTAATATACTTGTCTAGAAATATGTATATCAGATGTACATGCGGTGGCATAATACATATAAAGGAAGATACATGGGGAAATATGGTGTATTTAGAGGTAATGTCACAATGACGTGAAATATGCCTGAGTTCTCCCAATATAGGCCGACCTTGGGAGGCTCTATATTTGGGCAAGAATGAAGGCATATTTCACGTCATAATGACATAACTGATGTATTACATACCTTTATCGCCAATGATCAATGACGTCACATATCTGTGAGAGAGTAGAATTAGATTGAAACGAAACAAGATGTCATGATATTGTCATGGTTATTAAAGAAATCTTATATCAAAATGAAGTATGGGGGATATATCGGGTAATCGAGCATTATCGCTGGATATAGCCCGCTAACTTTCCCATTGACAAATGCGTCGCTAGGTATGTAATACAAGAGTATATTGTGAATATACTAATGAATGTATAAAAGTGATGTCATACTTATTAATATATAATAATGATGTCATACTTATGAATATATTATAGTGATGTCATACTTATAAACATATTATAGTGATCTCATACTTATGAATATATTATATACTAGTGATGTCATACCTGGTCAGTGTCATCAGTGAAGAAGAATCCAAGGATCATGAAGTAGGAAAATGGCAAGAAGAAGTTGACATGGGTGTAATACTTGTTCTCTTTCATGAAAAAATTGGTCCTACAATGAACGAAAGTCTTATTTAGCGTAATAAGAGTATGGAGTAAAATACAACCCTGAAGGGCCTGTTCTGCCTGTTTTGTAATTCAACCATTGTTATGGAGAGTATACATACAATTGCCTGGAAATACTTCTGTCATGTTTTTGTCAAAAAAGGGCATCTCACACTTAATGAGATGATGTACATGAAATCATACCATCCAGACTTCTAAGCTATTTTTAAAATAAATAACAAGGGTTTACCTGTCACATATGAATATGTATGCCATTATGATTCCAAGCTTCGCTATAGAAGTGCTGATGGTGTAGAAGTTATTAAACAACTCGGACTTGCTCTCTTTCATCGTTGGAGCTTCTAGAACCTTACGTTTACCATTCTCTGAAAACATGTGAAAAACATCATTTATTTATTTATAATGTCACGTTACAGAATTGAAACAACTAAAAATGTGACACACCTAAAAACAGTCAAAATAAAGTATATTCTGTACAGTACATAAAGTATTAAATAAAGAAATATGATTCAACTGAAACATTCTACACAGAGGGTAAGTTTCAAGATTCAAAGACAATTAAATATGATTTATATTATATCTTAAAATGGTAACATTAAGGTTGCTATGGAAACATTAATTAGGGTACCAGTACCATGGGTCCAATGTCTTTTTTATGATTTTATGTACTGTTTGTAGTTACTTACAATGCTGAACACCTTTTAAAATGGTATTATAAAATATTTAGAAACAAAATGCCATGCTAGAGTGTATGCATCCCAAGGGCCATAAGAAACAAAGATAACCCAAAACTGGATAAACTATTATCCTTCTTTTCTATATCTATATCATTTCATGAATTCACATGTTTCAATACAGCAGATAACAATATGTTAAAATAATGCACAGTAGTCAGTGAACTGAATGCAAGCTGCATGTAGTGCTGTGTAATGTCATATTCTCATAGGATATAGGCTAGATCAAAGAACTATTTCTAAATTAAAGGGTGTATATGAAATTGACCTCTTGTGATAGGTTACATAAAAATGAAATAGAAGAGATATATATTATAGCAGGTTCTTCATGATTTGATTTTATCTTTAAGACGAAGATGTGCATCATCAGCAGCATATTCAACAAAATCAAAAGCAGATCATGTGTAAAGAGTTCAATATATCAATTTGTGAAGTAGAGATACAGAAAATGAAATATTCTTAATTAAACCCGACACCAAGAACTGCCATCCAGTTCAAATTGAAGAAAACCTTTGCATGAAATAGAAGGAAAAAATATAGACCCAAACTCCTATTGTACTATATGCAAGTATTGTACCAAACTCCCATTGTATTACATACAAGTATTGTACCAAACTCCCATTGTACTACATGTAAGTATTGTACCTATCATAGTGGCATCAGGACCTTCAACACCTGCAGTGTAGTGTAATAAACATGTTAATAATATAAATATTGTTTGTGATATATTTGTGATATCATAGGATTAAGGGTACCATTTGATGTGATTATTGATGTAAGCTTGAGTAAGTGAAGAGAAAATTGATGAAAGTTACATCAACAAAGATTACTTGAAGATTTCATCAAATACAACCCATATCCGCACTTTAAAATCATGATACCATACAGTACCGTATATGGCATCTTATGGTACCATTTTCATGGTACCATACAGTATCGTGGCCAAAATGGTACTGTATGACACTTTTGGGGATTGACTGTGTATTTTTTAATTCATATCACTACTTACGCAGGTGTGATATTTCCTATATTAATATAACTCATTCACCAATAGTGAAATAATTTTGAGATAAAGATGTACTGGTGTATTATAACACAATCAGATTTTGCTGGTTCATTTAGTTGAGTAAATCCTTCAAACTTATAAAAATCATAGAAATATTACATGCAATAATACAACAATAACAACAACAAACAATAATATGGTTTTATCCTAATATGGTCATGTAGTACATTGATACAATAAGCTTTCTCGTTTATAGTTCTATGAATGTTCATCACTCTTTTGAATTGTTTTTAATTAAAATATATGCATTGAACCATCCTATGATAAAAGTCCATGTGAGGTATGGCAAGTGATTTTAGTCAGCCATAGATTTCCCCAAGAGTACTTTCTGGCCATAAATACAGTGTTTTCTATTAAAACAATGTAATATGTTCTCTTTTACGTGAAGTACCCATGATGATAAAAATATCAACCGAGCAATTCGAAAAATAATGAATAGGGACCCCATGTCAACAATGTTGGACCTATTTATTCAAAGGGGGTTCTTCTTTTTCTGATTTTTATTGCATGAAAGGAATATTCAAACAGGGGTCTAAAACTTCTTCAAAAGTAGAATGGCATTAATATATAGATTTTAATGACTATTGAGTCTAGTTTTGAAGATATCAATTTTCTATGGCCAAAATTGTGCTGAAAACAATGGATAACATGAGTTTACCCTATGGGAAAATAACATGGGATATTAGTGGATTTTAACCTTAGCACATTTCAATACCCATCCCCTTTTCAGAAATTGTTAATATAGTGTAGAAGAAACTTTTGATATGTTTAAATTAAAAAATTAGTACCGTGGGTACTGGGCTCACATGGTGACATAAAAAAACAGATATAATTTTTTGCTGATTTTTTGTTACAAAATTATTTCAAGCCATCTGTCTCTCAGTCAATTAAAATGGATGAAAAAAAACGGATATAATTTTTTGCCAACAATTTGTAACAAAATTATTTCATAAAAATACTCTTTACAGTGACATGGCTTTTTGCAATGCAAGACACCTGAAATTATTTGTAAAGCTATGAAATGGGCCAAAATTGAATTTCGCGAGACAAAAATGGCGACCATTTTGAAATCAGGCAAGCTTTTGAACCAGGAGTCATAGGGGAGTTTTTTGTATTGATGTTGAACAAAAATAACTTGAAACTGGAATCCTATCGACAGAGGTTTTAAGCAAATGGTCCAAAAGAGGATTTTGTGAGACAGATGGACAAATCAATGTTAACTAAAATGGCTGAAAAAAAAAACGGATATAATATTTTGCCGATTTTTTGTAACAAAATTATTTCATACAACTACCTTTTACAGTGACATGGCTTTTTACAATGCAGGACAGCTGAAATTATTTGTAAAGCTAGGAAATGGGCAAAAAGTGAATTTGGCGAAACAAGAATGGCAACCATTTTGAAAATAGGCGAGCTTTTGAACCAAGAGTCATAGGAGAGTTTTTTGTATTGATGTTGAACAAAATTAACTTAAAATGGGAATCCTATCGACAGAGGGTTTAAGGTAAATGGTCCAAAAGTGGATTTTGCGAGACAGATGGACAAATCAATGTTAACTAAAATGGCTGAAAATAAATAGATATAATTTTTCACTGATTTTTCGTAACAAAATTATTTCATACATCTACTCTTTACATTGACATGGATTTTTACAATGTAGGACACTTGAAATTATTTGTAAAGCTAGGAAATGGGTCAAAAGTGAATTTCGCGAGACAAAAATGGCGGCCATTTTGAAAATAGGCGAGCTTTTGAACCAGGAGTCATAGGGGAGTTTTCTGAATTAATGTTGAACAGAAATAACTTAAAACAGGAATCCTATCGACAGAGGTTTTAAAACGTGCCACTGTTATTGACAGAAAGTGGATTTCGCGAGTCAGATAGACAAATCAATGTTAACTAAAATGGCTGAAAATAAAAAAATGGATACAATTTTTCTCTGATTTTTTGTAACAAAATTATTTCATATATCTAATCTTTACATTGACATGGATTTTTACAATGTAGGACACCTGAAATTATTTGTAAAGCTAGGAAATGGGCCAAAAGTGAATTTCATGAGACAAAAGTGACGGCCATTTTGAAAATAGGCGAGCTTTTGAACCAGGAGTCATAGGGGGGTTTTCTGTATTGATGTTGAACAGAAATAACTTAAAACAGGAATCCTATCGACAGAGGTTAGCTAGGAAATGGGCTAAAAGTGAATTTCGCGAGACAAAAGTGACGGCCATTTTGAAAATAGGCGAGCTTTTGAACCAGGAGTCATAGGGGGATTTTCTGTATTGATGTTGAACAGAAATAACTTAAAACAGGAATCCTATCGACAGAGGTTTTAAAACGTGCCACTATTGTTGACGGACGGACAGACGGACGGACAGACAGACGGACAAGTGAGTGATTGCAAAAGCTCACCATGTGAGCTAAAAAAACAAGTTCCTCTTTTTAGAAAATAAGCCTAACATTTTTTTTTAAATGTCAGGGTGGGGTCGTAATCCATAATTTTTCAGAGAGTTGGATTGATATTTTACTATTATGGGGACTTCACTTGAAAGAGAATATATTATTTTAATTAAAATCACTGTAAATATGACCTGAAAGTACTCATGGTGAAAGATATGACCATCTAAAATCATTTGCAAGACTTCACAAAGATGGATGGATTTACAACTTATTATCCCCATTTACAGTTTCTTCTAATGTAGCTCATTAAGAAGGCTTCAGTAGTGGCCCAGACTGATGTGGATGAGATAAAAACACTCACAGAGAGAGAATATTAACTGTACAGCAAACATGGAAAACTGTTGAACAAGAATCAGGGAGTGGCATAAGCATTAGTCTATTGGTCATCTATAGCTTCCTTATAACATAAGTTTTATCACTTATTCAGAATTTCAGATAAAGGTTAACTTGTGAAATATTTGTAATGATCAATACATTTTACAAAAGACCAATTTATAATTTGGACCAATAGATTTCAAATATTTATGCCACGCCCTTACAAGGACATATTGTGATAAATCACCAATGACTTTATCCTGGTCAGCTATGGAATTGTTTACATGTATGCACAAGAATCTTGTGATGAGGTAGATAAGCCCACTTGTACACACACTGATGCACACCTTGCAGTAGCACTTGCATGAAACTGGAATGTTTGGGGCACAAAAAATGATACTTTCATGATGTACGACGGTTGGATAAATTTTTTAAAAATATTTGCTTTATTTTTTAACGAATTTTACTCTTTTTAACTTTCTCATAGATGACCTTCATACGTATTGGAAAGTAATTATGAGAACAGACAAGCGATTATAATTATTTGCTGAAAAAGAAAGACAAGACAAACATAGACAAATATTTTAGAAATGACAGCACAATAAAGTGATATTCATTTAATTTGGCTTGGTCAAGTGAAAGCATGGATTGGATGTGACTTCCAAACAAAGCACTCAGTGATCTGTAGAGTTTCTAAAAATCAGTTATTGATACCTTCAAATTTAACAAACATGACAGAACTAATCAGTTATAGATATTCATACCAAGAAACCTCCCTGAAAAAATCAAACCCTCAACAAATTGTCTGGAAATGCACAGACAAGAAGAATGAAACGCTTTCACCCACGCACTTGTCATACTCCCAATAATATATCTTACATTTTTAAATCTAATAAAAATATTTCTTCTTTTTCAAATGTAAGAATTTTTATAAATTGATAAAATGCATCACCCCCAGTTGGGAAATGATATTATTATATCTGTACTCCTGGTATTTCATAAATGACATTGCAAAAAGGACATTGAAGTTCAAATTGACCAAGCCTGAATGAGAAGGTATATTGAGAAATGTAAATAACAAGCAAAAACCAAAGACTCTCAATGGGATTACTGACTTCTATAGATGGCAGTTTATTACTGGATTGATCCCCCAACTTCCTGTTGTATTGGACATTGGTATTGGATACCACATAAATATTACTTAGGGAAAACTTAAAATACTTCCTGCTGATAAAATAAAATTATGAATATGTCCACAAAGGAAAATTAAAAATCAAATTGTATTATTAAAAGAAGGCATGATGTATTTAGATTTTCTAACATCTTATTGGCAAATATAGCCCAGCAAAATTCTGCCACCTATTGACAGTAATATCCCTTATAAAGCATTGATATGAAAATTAACAAACCTGCCCGAGCCTTAGCACCACTTCTACGATTATATTTACGCTGATAAATCACAAGCACTGCAGATATCAGGATGCTAGAAAAACAAAAAAATTACTTATAATTAATACAATATCATCCAACATCAAAGACATGTTTCATTTAAATAAAACCGAATAAAACCGAAAAATAATAATGAAGTGCTACACTCCTCGAGTCAAAGTGGATTGTCTCTAGACGTGTTGGGAAGGAACAATGACTTTGGACTGATAGGTGGGCTTGACGGTTAATACTCTTGTAACTCAGCAGGCAGTATGTGTGTCAGACAGTGTTTCGACCCATTATTGCCTGGACACCTAGCATGTGTGGGTCAATGAGGTTACAGGTTAAATCACTGACTGAAAGCATCTAGATCTTATCTGAGAACCTCCACTTTGGCAAGACATCATTGAAATTTATGTCGCTACACTTAAGTTAATTGATATGTCTGATAAGGGGACATAGCCAAACTTTCTAGAAAGGTAGGGGCATTCTTGTTGATTTTTTTACCCTTGTTTCAGGAATTGTGTTAAAAAAACTTTTAATTGTTGACGTTATACACATAAATTTATTTGAATTAATTTCAAAACTGTTTATACGTAAACAAAATGTGCACAGGATCTATGAAGTTGTAATATTCTCTATGTTGGAATAATACTGGTACATTCATCATTATCTCCCTATTAAAGTAACTTTCTATGATTTCACCTAAAAATTAAAACCCTTGGAAATACTAAATATGGTTTAAATGCCATATCTAAAATTTATTTCAGAAATAGTGTGGATCAAAATGAAAAAAAACAAAAATAAAGAATAAAAACATATTCCACCCATGGGATTTGAACTCAGATCTTTTGGAATAAAAGTCTGCTTGAGTCCTAAGCCCTAACCACTACACCACAGTGCCAAAGCTTTCTGAGAGAAGAAATTCTTTATCTATATAATCATGGATGAAAAAAGTCTTATTTAAATGGTTAAATTTCTTAAAAATGATCAGAATTACTACTAATAACAACATTTTGCATGTCTAGGTAAGTATTATGATCTACATTTAGGATAAATGTTGTTTTATTCAGTTTTCATTTTGGGTATGACTTCCTGTCAAAACAGTGTTAAAAATGCAGGGCTCAACAAAAATTTTCAATTAGAAAATGATATATATCCTTTGATCAGCTGTTTTTGGCACATGGACTCATCCTACTAGAAAGGTAAGAGCATTTTCTTGAGACATATGGCTCGAAATCTCAAATTTCTCCTTCTAAGTCATAGAAAGACACTTTAATATATAATAAACTTTGCAATTGCTTAATAATAAAAAATGCCCATAAGCCAGCATGCATGGACCTTTATATGAAACCATATGAATTAAACTAACAGACATTTACATATAATAGCCAGTAAGCCTACCTCAAGCCAAATACACTAGCAGTAATAAGTTGAACGACAGTGATTGGTTCCATACTTCTACAGCATGTTCCATCATTATAGTTCATATGGTCGTTGCAGTACCTGTTCACCAGCATTTGAAAATCCTGTAATACAAAACACACAGTGATAGATATCACACTTTGAAGAGCAGACTTTTGAATGAAATGAAATAAAAAAGGGAAACACTTCATTGAAGTCTGAGGCTTCATTTTATGGGCAAATCACCCTTATGTATTCTTTGGGCTGTCGATAGTTGATATTTATTACTATTTTGGAAAACATACATGATATTCAATATAACATGACTAGGACACATGGCACAAGAACAGAAATTTGCTAGGTTTTGGAAATTTATAAGTTGATAAAGATAGGATGAGGCGGAGTACAGATTTTATATAGAAAAGACATTTACGAATTTGTACAATTACAGCTTACCAAATATGATGAGGTGTAGAGTACCAGATTTGCTGACCTTGAACTTTCATTGAATACTGAAGAAACCATCTTAAGCAAAGATTGAATGAGACATATTTGAATACCATTAATATACATTACTTACTATATTAAGTGCCACAGGTCCAAGATGAAGCCCATCAACTGAATCTCTGTTGTAGCCCTGGGCTACTAATCGAGAGGAACTCCAGAGTGTTGCTTTACTGTTGGTATCCCTGAGTGTATGTAGGGTGGCCCTGTTATACTCATCTATCTGTCTGTTGGTGAGCATTGACCTATTGCTACTTAGCTTACTTTCTATCACAGGATCTGCAATCATTATTCACAATTGGAAAATGTCATTGGAGTAAAAACCCAAGGAGGCTGCTAAAAATGGGTAAACAAATATAAATGTATGTGTACATGATGAAAGTGGAACACTTCAAAATTCAATAAAAAAATACATATTGGAGATTTTTAGAGAAAAATGGATCTCAAAGGGTATTTTAAGTTAGGGGATGGGAATATATAAAATATATATTGGTGATTTTTATAGAAAAATGGATCTGAAAGTCTAATCCATGTCTTACCAGCTGGAATGCATTTAGCATAAATATTGTACTTTCACAAAAACTAGAAATGATTTCAGCATTGCTACCTCATATGTACATGAATGTAGGACCAAAAGAAAGCTATAATGAAGCTTTTGCATTTGATTTATTACATGATTAACATATAATAAGCATCATTTAAATATTAACTATTTTTTGAACATAGGCCTATAATAAACCTACCTTGTAACATCCAGTAAATGTTGGTTTTGTTGCCCAGTTTTGGAAATAACCTGTGCAGGAATGTCATGTTCACTGAAAATATTTGCAAAAGTTTGTGATATATAGGTTAACATCATACATGTAATCTAAAATCACTATTTTTTTGAATCTCAATCAATTATTTTCTTTCAGAATCTCCGTGCCAATGCATTCGTATTAGTTGCTTATACAGTTAGTATTTCAAATGTAGTGTGTTCAAACTTACTTTTGAAGTTTTCTAAAGCTGTCTTACTTCCATTATTTTGCTTGATACTCCACTGAAAGAGAGAAACATTCATAAATAGTATACTATATCTAGTTTATGAGTTGGCATTTTATTTCTGACTATATCATTGCTTCTTTACTGTACCTAATACCATAGCATTGCATATATGTATCATGTAACATTTTATATTTTCATATTTTTACCTCTTGTATCCTTTATAATTTATTCATATTTTTAAAAACAGGTCCTAGTTCAACTCTTTCTTGGTAGTCACATTTTAAGTATCAGTTTGTCAGATATCTAATTCTAGTGCTTGAAATTTTGTATTTAATCTTGTTCACTTTCACCATACTTTGTCTAAACCAGTTTTACATCATTTTCATGCTATAATGATTCAGTGACCAGGCTACTTCATAAAAGTTAAGAATAGATCATATGAAATCAGTAACTATTAAAGAACATCTGGGGTGCGTTTTTTGAACTGCTTGTGGCGAGTGCATTGCATAATATATAAGTATTCCCTATATCTCATGAAAAAGAACAATGAGTCCATGCATTGCAAATTACATGCTCACATGTTTTCAACAAAAGCAGTTCATCCAAGTGCACTTAAACTGCTAATTACGCTATGGCAACCTTGTGGGCTGCTCGTGTGTGTCAACCGCACCGGTTTGTTGGTAGTGCACCTCAGGAGTTCGATTGCAATAAACTGTGATGTCCTTTAAAAGAATTATATGAGTGTAGTGCACTCAGATAAGTTTTTTTTGTTGAAAACATGCAACCATGTAATTGGCGCTAAAGGCTTTTTGTTCTTTTTCTTGATACCCTGGGGGAAATCTCATTACCTATTACACAATGCACTGGCAATTCAAACGCAGTACTGTGAATTATTTTTATGGGAAGTATAAGAAATAAATCGAAGACAGTTCTAACCGTTGCACTGCCTGTGACGACAACATTTGGACGTTTCCTTGATTCTACCCTTCCCCATTCCTGGTATATTTCATACATAGATTTGTTGACCATAGGCTGCCATAGGAAATCCTGCAATACACAATAATAAAAAATTCAATGTGTGATCACAGGTTATAAACGCATGTAGGATAACATGGTAGTCAACCATTTTGCGGTGTATTAGTATCTGAAAAAGTAGAACTGTAGAACTGGCGTAAGTTAATAAAATCAAATAAAGTAATCATCCAGCACCCATGCCCTGTGAATATTTCTGATTTTAAACTTCTTCGGCATAAGTATACCAATGATCTCCAGGTCATAATAAGACAATATCATCTTTAATAATACTGAACAAAATACTGAATATAGCAAATATTATGCAAACTCAGCCATTACAGAAAAACTACTTTTGATTCAGGCGTTTTTATTGACGGGACATTATTTCAATGTTCTTCCAAAAACCTTAACATTGATCAATTTCATATTGGTCCGCTCTCTATACATAATATATAAACAAACATGATATGCAAAAATTGACATTAACGAAACAACAGTTACACTTGCCTTCTCATCAAACTCAATTAACTACATTAGTGTATGTCTTGGCTTGAATCCAAACGTGTAATTAAAATTACCTAAGAAAAGACCCCTAGGCTAATAGCCTAGTCACATAGCCCGGCCGATGTCCGGCATCGGTAGAGCTCGGTGGATATTTTTGGTGCCACTGAGCTCTCCTCATCGGAAGCAGAGCTCGGTGACGTGAACGGACTCCATCCGGACATCTTCAGGCGACCGACCGAACACCGGCCGGTGACTGTACGGAGTCTTGTCTCAAAATGGTAGTTTTTTCTGCCGATGTGGCAGCAACTACCGGCTGGAGGTCGGCCTGACATCGGAAGGAATACGGCCGGTACCCGAGCAGGTAACAGGACACCGTGCGATCGCCGGCCGGGTTGTTAACGGGCTTTGAACAGTGACCGGCCGATGCTCTGTCCCACATCGGCCGGAGCTTGGTCGGAGCTCGGCCGCTGTCCGTTAAAAAACCTCATCCTCTGGTTGTCTCAGATGCACGGGACACCGGCCGATACTCGGCCGTGCACCGGCCGACGTGTTTTCCGATGTGGTTACGATGGGGCTGCGATGACATGATGAGGGAGCTTGGTGAGAGCCCGGTGAAATTTAACTCCGAAGTTAAAATTTCACCGAGCTACCACCGATGCGGTTTTAAGCAACAAACGCCACGGATGTCCGGCCGGTGTTCGGCCGAGTTCGGTGAAAATTGCATCGCTGGCTCATCGTGACCTCATCGGCCAGGCTATGTGACTAGGCCATAAGGCAAAAACTCAGAATTCTAAATATATACATGTACAATTGCTTGGTTTGAAATGAAACACCCTGCCAGTTTTTAAGAGACCGCTATTTTGGATATCTTTAACATACATGTAATATTTAACATATAATGAAAAATATAAGGGAAATCTATTCACTAATATAGTATTTGTGTAATTAGACGGAGAGGATGATGTAAGGCTTCACTATATCCCTACCAAACAATATACTTTCCAATAGTACATCTAAATTATTTAACAATTTATTCTTTCAAAGAAAATGCATACGATACAGCAAAACATCATAATCAATAAGAGGTGGTAGGACCTATACAAGTTGGACTGATCAACTATTCAGTATAGTGTTTTTAAAGCTAAGCTTCCAGATTGACCTCAATTATTTTTTCACTTAAAAGATGTTTAGGTTATAAATAGACCAACGATAGATCCACTCACTGTGTGTAACTGTGTTAGTATAGAACAACGCAGTTCTAAACGCTAAGTTTCTGGGAAGTCATACAAAATTAAGGTAAGACTGCTGTTTAGATCTGGATTACTTTATTTTATTGGAGTTAATAACATTGGAGGAAGGTACATGTACATGTATACAATTTACCAACAGACCATTAACCAAGACCTTGAGGCTTGTTTCTGAGTATGAAGCATCTAAAATAGCTCTACTCTCAGCTCCAGTAGCTAAGCCATATAGCTGTACATATTAGCAAAGGTTAGCATTGCTGTTAACACAGCCTTTGATAATTAATACTGATGATAGATGATGGCTGCTTTATCTGATTTACAGAGCTTTACAGTGCATGTATCTAGTATGGAGGACAGTTAGAAAGGACAAAGGATAAATATATACCAGTATACAAGGGGTGAGCAGGAAGTTGTGGACCGTTGGCTCTATTTTTGCCATTTAATAGTGCTGAAGATGTACTACATGGGTATTTTATGAATATACTAGGTACTAAAAACGCACATGCTTAAACTTTGATGTTTCTACACGTAAGAAATATGGGGAAATGTGTGAGTGAAAAGGACACATGGAATCATTACGTTGGAATTTTTATGCAATCTTCATTGGAGCCATACGTTATTTTCAGGAACACATAACTCATTACATATACAATCATCATCTTTCAGTTTTGAACAAAGAGGGCATTAATGTACCTAGGATGTTTCTGTAAAAATGTTTGGACAAGGCATTAACATGCAAAATAACACCACCTGAAAATACTTCGCAATTATGAAATGTGAACTTGAATGTAATCAATAATGCCTTGGTCACATTTGCTCCGATTTTCACTACGGTGCCCGGCCGATTGAGTATTTTGTTCAAAATTGAATACAATTATGAACAAAACACTCAATCGGCCGGGCGCCGGCCGATGGATCGGAGCATATGTGACCCAGGCATAAACAATGCACAAACAATGAGGAGACTGCTCCGGTACTACAATGGAAGCCAATAAGAATCTAACCCTGGACCTAGGACTTCCCTCTACAGTCTCTCCAGCACCAACCACAAATTCTACCCCAATTGACCCTGCTAAGGAGCATGAAGAACTTGTGTTAAACATTGTAATTCCAATATTTGTAATCATAGCATTCATTGCTACACTTTTCATGGTCTTCCACTGGCCCAGTAAACAAGCTGATCCAGAGAGTTCTGGTAACTTGGAACTTAAACCTGTAAGTGATGATAAACTTAACTTTACTCCCCAAAATAGAGGCCTCCGAATATGGCACTATTTGGAAGAAATTTTAGGTTGTTTGAGCAAAGTTCAATTAAATTGTGATTTGACCCCTCTACCCAAACATTATCTTTAACTTCCAAGGTGGTTAGATGCCCAGAATTTCATTTGTATATATATATTGCCTGGAATATGTTATTTCAAGAGTAGAATGCAACAGAGTTATACAGAACTCACTAGAAAGAATCACTAAAATGAATTTTAGTCCATAGATTTCCAACTTGCAAAAGTTTAATTAATCAATAAATTACTTAAAAATATGTACAAGTTTATGAATTTTGAATGACCTTATCAATGTTGTGTTACAGATGCAGGGCAAAGCAAAGGAGGGAAGAAAAAAGAGGAAAAGATATGGCAGCATCAATGAAGCTTGTGATGAAGAATTAGAAATTGTTCAAGAAGTGAAATAAATACAATATAACATTTCTCATCATGATATCTACATACAGAGGTAACTAAATAAAAAATAAAAAAGTATACCAGATGCATAAATATATCAGTGTAGGTTACAGAAGTTTATAACTAAGAGGATATCAAGTTTGCCTGCTTTCAAAGCCTAAAGATAAGAGATATCAATAGAAAAATGCAGGAGATATGATCCTATATTTGAACAAAAAACTGCGATAAAAATCAATACTATTTATCAATGATTAATGCGGGTATAACATTTCGTATTCTTGATGTAACACCGTAACCAGTCGTTACAAATGTTTCTCCGTAAAAGACTGTCAAAGTAGAGGATCTTGTATGTTTTTTTATAAAAAATAATCAAGATAGTTCTAATGATAAGATGCTATACATAATTTGTGAAAATGTGATAGAATGATTTTCGCAGATTCTCAACAATCTAAATCAACAATCTGAACATTTACTGTTCACTATGCCCTGATAGTAAAAGGTATGCAGTCTGTGTCCTCACTAAATTTATATCAAATCTTAACTGCGGTCTTCCTTCTTGCATAAAAATCAATTAGATCACTCTAAAGGCCTATAATTCAGGAGTTACCGAGAACAGGATATCAAATAGAATGAACTAAAACAACAACAACCAAGAGTAGCAGATCCCACCAAACAAAACATATAGTATCAAATATGACACCCAATTAAGTAAACTTAAAAGAGATTCTCTACATCTCATCTGAAATATGTTTGTTGGGATAATTAATGATTGCAATATGTAAGGACTATACATTGATGAGGAAAATATCAACACAAGGACATTTTGGTGAAGCTATCAATGTGAAGATATTTTGACAAGGTTGTTTTACTTTACATTTTACTAAGGTTATCAATGAAAGGACAAAATGATGGTGATATTATGCAAGGAAATAATGAATAAGATATTACAATGGATGCTATACAATAAGAAACATGACTTGACTATACAGATTCTGTGCAATCATATGTATGTCTTCCTTATTCCTTATATAGGCAATCAAAGAATCAACTGAAATATGTAACATACATGTACTTGGGAGTAAGCAAAATAGTCTTGCATCAATAACTTATATTGCCCCATGTGCTTGAGAAATGTGTAATAGGGGTCAGTTACTTGTTGCATGTCCAGTAACTAATTCTAAATATACCAAATGACAAGTTTGGCAAGTCGGTGCAATAGCATGATTGGGGCAGCGCCAGTTGTTTTTAATAACATTTAATTTTTTTGCATCATATTTGAAATCTATTATGCCTTGTATTGTTCGGAAGCTCCCATGTTTTCTATAGATTTTTGAATTGAAGTAAACTCTCGATTGTGCTATCACACCCACCTGTTCAATGATCAGTAACTGCATACACCAAGGATGAAACATGCTCTTAGGGAGCAGTGCATAATATGTATGATAAATGGATGTATCAGAATATCAACATGTTGTAAATTAATCATATTTTGTATGATATACAAGATTAAAAAATAAAATAAAACTCCAGTTGAATAGTATGGAATGTAGTATCTCATAATGATAAACCATGATATCTCATTTTTCCTCAGTCATGATTGAGTACCAGCATGGTAGTGAATATGAAATGTTTGAAGTAACAGTAAAGATGGCACTGGATATACAGTGTACGTTACCTACAGCACTCATATTTTGACTTATTTTGAATCAGTTTATCTAAATGTTATTAGCCATACCAAATACCAAATGAAAATATCAGAAACTGGCTGGCCTTTTCATTTAAGATTATTTTATTATCACCTCGTTTGTTTGTATATTTTGCCACATATGTACACATGTACGTATATATACATGTACAGTACATTAACATGTAATATACATAATATAAACATTTTAACGAGCATGCTGAAATTGTATCTCTTGTTTAATTATTTCTCAGTTTGATGTAATTTGGTTCCTTACATGTTACTTGAGGATTATTGTCTTTCGACACTTTGATTATTTTTCCACATCTCAATAATATCAAATGAGGATTATTGTATGAATAAGGAGACTGTTGCACGCAAATATCCCTTACACTGAAATGGTGGGGTTTCACCAGTCTGAGCACTTCAAGTGATTTCAGGCCAAAGTTGTCAAATGTGAACACCCTCTGGAATTTTTTGACATGTGCCCCTCCCCCTTAGGAAAAAGCTGGCTGATGGCAGACTATACAATAATGTCAATAAAGTTATTTCAAACTGTACTCACCACTTTTAAATTGATAGCATTGTCCTCAAAATGCATGTCACGATGTACAGGATGCTCTGGGTCTTCCACCTCTTTCTCTTCATCCTGACTGAGCTCACTGACAAACTTTGTGTAGAGTTGACGTATCCGCGAGTCCCCAAGGAACACAAAGTGGTTTTTGCCACCCCAGTAAGATATATAGTGCATGCAGTCTCTTGAATTGCTGAAATAAAATAGATAAGTTATCAAGTAGAATCTTACATTATGATTGACTCTATGTTTTTAAGGTCAGGGTGCACTTTGATGAAATTTCATGACCATGTGCTATTTTCAGATAAACATAACTCATTCCACACATCATCTTCATCTTTCATTCTTGCACAAAAGGTGCATTGGTGTACCTAGCCTATTATTTGAGAGTTGATGATTCTTCAGAATTTTTCAAAATTGCAAAAAATCCAAAGTGCACCCTGACCTTAAAGGTTATAAAGAGAAAGGCATACTTACTTCAACCTATAATGTTTTGAAATAGATCTAGAAAATTGTAACAAGTGGCATTGCATGACTTCTCAATAAACATGATTAAAAAGACAAAAAAAATTGCAGCAATTAGGTATGTGGCAATTGCCTTATTACCAGATAGCTCAAAACAATAAAGCAATGGTGAAAAATGAAGTTTTAAATTTCCAAATGTGTAAAATTGGCCTTTATATCATTTCATAATTAAGAAATTCCTACTTAATAATATTCGAAACATGAATATAACAATATTCTTTATGGTTAATCCCACTGTTTATAGATCAGGTCAATCACTTCCAAAAAAATTGACCTAAAGGCCAAGCAGCGAGTTGTAGATTAAGCTCTCTTTAAAGACAGGGAACTCTTATTAAAAGGGCAAAAGTAGAGATTAGAGGTGAAACATTGAACAAATGATATCTAATAATTATATTTCAAAAGCAAAAAGTGGCTGTCACCTACTTTATTTTTACTTTGAGCTAGAAGATATTTTGATCCCGATGCTACCAACATTTTTAAAAGATCATCACATGGTATTATATTGATAGTTCAAAAAACTTAAAAACAAAGCTATCTATTTCTGTCTCAGTATCAAGTTGGCCTGAAGCTTTGAAATGTCAAACACAAGGCAGAGGTTAATGTTATCAGTACTTGAAACAATGTAAATAAATACTAATCAAAGAATAATCAGCAAAATGTTTCTTTTGTTAAGTTCAGCATGTTCAATATGGATATTTATGGAATTATTCTCAATTTTAAATATTTTTTATATTTCTGTTTATGAAAAATTGCAATCTGTATCAGAGCCTATTATGAGATGCAAAACCCATCTAATATTGAAAAAGAGCAAGGAAATATAATATTATACCCATACCCACACACACCCTACCACTATAAAATCATTTTTAGCGGTAGTACAGATAATTTATTTCAATAATAAAAACACGGCTTATCCCGCCTCCATTGTCTTTTTAACTCCTCAAAAAATAAAACAATAGATTACAAGGCATAAACATATGAAATGTCACCACCTGCCATTTGTTACAGATGATAAACACCGGCATACAAACACCAAGCGCTGAACACCATCCACAAGTTGGAGACTATAACAATATATCAACACTTTTGGTGTTGATTTCATAAAAACAGAGCAATTTAGAAGTTGTGACATATAATAACTGATGGACTATGTCATAAAGAAATGTCAAAAAATTGAACAAAGTAATCCAGTAAACTGCATGAGAAGTTTCCATATCTATGAGGTGAATTAATTTACTTCCTAGATAAGCAAAGGTTTACATGTATATGAAAGTCCATTAGTTGCAACATGCTCTGATTTTGTTATTTCTATGGAGTCTTTTGCATATATGGCAAAACAATAGCCTCTGAAGATGATAACCTATAACAAGACAATAACATGACAAATGTCACCATCTTCAAATGTTACAGACAGTGACACCAATGCTGAATGCAAGTCATAAAATTCATTGGCTACAACAAAAGTTCAGGGTGTTTCATAATGATCGACCCCACCAATCACCAATCCTAGATGGCATACCTCCATGTATTATAAAAGTTCAGGGTGTTTCATAATGATCGACCCCACCAATCACCAATCCTAGATGGCATACCTCCATGTATTATAAAAGTTCAGGGTATTTCATAATGATCGACCCCACCAATTACCAATCCTAGATGGCATACCTCCATGTATTATAAAAGTTAAGGGTGTTTCATAATGATCGACCCCACCAATCACCAATCCTAGATGGCATACCTCCATGTATTATAAAAGTTCAGGGTGTTTCATAATGATCGTCCCCACCAATCACCAATCCTAGATGGCATACCTCCATGTATTATAAAAGTTCAGGGTGTTTCATAATGATCGACCCCACCAATCATCAATCCTAGATGGCATACCTCCATGTATTATAAAAGTTCAGGGTGTTTCCTAGATGGCATACCTCCATGTATTATAAAAGTTCAGGGTGTTTCATAATGATCGTCCCCACCAATCACCAATCCTAGATGGCATACCTCCATGTATTATAAAAGTTCAGGGTGTTTCATAATGAATGGCATACTTAATTATTATAGATCCAACAAAATGTTCAAGGTGTTTCATGACCATCCCCCACTAATCACCAATCCTAGATGGCATACCTCCATGTATTATAGATCCCACAAAATGTTCAGGGTGTTTCATGACCATCCCCCACCAATCACCAATCCTAGATGGCATAACTCCATATATAGATCCAACAAAATGTTCAGGGTGTTTCATAATGATCGTCCCCACCAATCGCCAATACTTAATGGCATACCTCCATGTATCATAGATCCAACAAAATGTTCAGGGTGTTTCATGACCATCCCCCACCAATCGCCAATACTTAATGGCATTCCTCAATGTATTATAGATCCAACAAAATGTTCAGAGTGTTTCATAATGATCGTCCCCACCAATCGCCAATACTTAATGGCATACCTCCATGTATCATAGATCCAACAAAATGTTCAGGGTGTTTCATGACCATCCCCCACCAATCGCCAATACTTAATGGCATTCCTCAATGTATTATAGATCCAACAAAATGTTCAGGGTGTTTCATAATGATCGTCCCCACCAATCGCCAATACTAAATGGCATACCTCCATGTATTATAGATCTAACAAATGTTCAGGGTGTTTCATAATGATCGTCCCCACCAATCGCCAATACTAAATGGCATACCTCCATGTATTATAGATCCAACAAAATGTTCAGGGTGTTTCATGACCATCCCCTACTAATCACCAATCCTAGATGGCATACCTCCATGTATTATAGATCCCAAAAATGTTCAGGGTGTTTCATGACCATCCCCCACCAATCACCAATCCTAGATGGCATAACTCCATATATAGATCCAACAAAATGTTCAAGGTGTTTCATAATGATCGTCCCCACCAATCGCCAATACTTAATGGCATACCTCAATGTATTATAGATCCAACAAAATGTTCAGGGTGTTTCATGACCATCCCATCCCCCACCAATCCTAGATGGCATACCTCAATGCATTCAATATCATATAAAAAAGCTTGTTAAATTCTGGACTTACTGAAGCATCTTTAATTTAGCTTAGCCAGCTCCTACAACTTGCTACATATGACAAAAAAAATGTACCCATTTGATATATGGCATACAATCAAATAGCCATATTTTCTAAAAAAAAAATAACTGTACACACTGTAAAATCAATGACAACCAAGGCTCAGAACAAGTTAGTATCTATAGTAATGTACCTATTTGGTGGATTCTGAGAATATGTATAAGTCAAAAATTCAATAAACTTTCATTATGATATATAGAATATGGGGGCATGTGATCTAGGATTGGCTGTGGTGATGGGTGACTGTCATTTTATGATACACCCTGAAGTAGCATAAATATCACAGTTTTGATATTGCATATATATCTCCCTAGTGGGAGAAGTGATGGTGAAGTCTTTTCTTGATAAAACAGAGTGCGTTATTCTAATTAACTCTGGACTTTGCCCCCTATGATTCAATTCTCTATGATACATAAAAAAATTGACCATATTGTGACTAAGTGGTTAAAATAGACATTTTTTATTAATTCATTAAGAATAACCTGGATTTGATAACATGTATTTAAAATTGAGATGCAGCTGTTTTATTTCAAAAGATTCTGAAATAGATTAGCTCAACTGAATTCAATCAACTTGAAGTAATTGAATCACAGTGCTAACAGTCACATTAAAACAAACTGACAATTATAACAAAATGACATTGTTGGGCATTATTTTTTTAATTTTGGGCCCAATTTTAAAGAAACTTATCCAAAAATTTCAAAATTGAAGTCCGATTTTTTTTAACGTGCATCACCTCACATTTTTGGGCCCCTCCCTTTTAATTTCCAGGACTACCCCTGAGTAGGGCACCTATATCATTTTCAGACAATGAACCCTTTAGGACTTGAATTAAAGTGAAAAATATAAGCTACAATTCTTACCTTTTTGTATATTTGTGCATCATGCACCCATATGGTTGCCATGCATTATATCCCTGGAACCTTCCATCACTTAGCAACCACTTACATGAATCACTTCCTGCAATATATAATGAACAAGTATAATTTATGGTGTGGTTTCACAAGTGAAGTTTTCAGGACACCCATACTACCATATCCAGGTTTGTTTTCTTTAATGTGTTTCATTCTCATTATTTTCAAGAAATCCATCAACATTTTAGTCTAGAAAAATACCGTCTGCTGCATCAATTTTGACAGTTTCCCTACAGAAAGATAGTTGTACAAATTGACTGTTTCTACACCGAACAAAAACATTTTTCCGTTAGTATTAGAGTGGGAGATATAAAGCGGGAGATATATATTATGTCATGTAAAAGGTCCCAAGTGCACAGCAAGAAGCCTGCACTACTGGTAAAGAGGAGAGATGTCAACGCGGTAGCCTGACAGTCGCCCCAGGGTATTTCAACATAAAGGGACTTCCTAGGGGAGTACAGGGGCCAACCAGGAAGGTTCCTTTCAATTTTAAAATGAGTAGTAAACCATAGATTGTTAAATGTAAGGTTTTAAATCATATTCTATTCAAATTCTATCACTGTTAAATTATATATCTGCTTTATATGGGCTTATTAGCCTTTTGCAGATTATTGACATAGACATAGACAAAAGTTCAGTCAGGTTTAATAAAGACCATAAAATAAATTTGGGAGTCATTTTACCTTTCCCGGGCTATTAGTGCAACGTTTGGCCTAATGTCTTCTTCGCCATACCTTTTTTCTTAAAATATAAGCACTTGATGAATACCACCAATCAGACTTGCAAACACACTTTGAAATAAGCATTTTGTTTTTTGAAACATTTCTGAATCTCCGCCATTAAGATTCTTACTGCAGATTAGATAACACCGCATGTCAGCATGTTTACAGTATAACCGCGGTTGTCTGATATGTACCGTATGCATGGCATAGGATATGACTGCCGACGACGGTCTATTACCGGCGGCTCTTGCAGTTAGCCTGGCCCACTGACGAAAAAAAGTTTAAAAAAAATCTAAGACTAAAACACCTCAAATCTACCCATATTCAAAGTCTTCTTGATACGCGCATGGTATATACCGAACAGAATGTTGGATAGAACATTAGGTGAAAACAGGGCTCAGTTTCCAATGATAATATCACCGGAAAATCATTAAAAGGTACGTTTAAATTTTTTCTGTAGATGTTGATGGTTTCAGTAGAAGATTCCCGGGGATTTAGAATGATTAGAGTAGATTTCATGGCCTGATTTTGTCGGTACAACTTGAAAAATAAGATTTACCTGAAGATTAGGAGTCTTACTTACCCTCTAGAGGTTAGAACACACATTTTAATGAAACTCTATCACCTTTGTTGCGTCAACTATAGAGCATTAAGCACAATATCCAAGAGGTAAATTATGGATCGTGAAAATGAATGATTTCCTAGTAAGTTCTGGAAGTTTCAATACGATAAATTACCGAACATTTGTGAAAATTGAATCTTTGTTCATTGATTTTATGATTTACACTTGCGTGTATTCGTCTAAACTTTGCACAAACAGGGCCTAGAATATTAATAGACTAATACAGCAGACGATCCATTCATATTTTCCGCGCAGCATTTCATTCAGACCAATATTTCAACTGTAGATCATGCACTTTTTCTATTTTCAAATATTTTAATTATTTTTACATCAGACATGGTTGGATGATATGTCACAAAATCAAAGTTCAAGGTCGATACAGTATTTCTTGATAGAGGCAAAGCCGTCCCGGAAGTAAACACGAGGAAAATGGAAAAGTCCAAAAAGCATTAACACAAATTTCAATCAAGTACCGTGCTTATGCTTCATCATGAACAAAACATAGCTGATATGGTTTCATTAAAATGTGTGTTCTAACCGCTAAAGGGTTTAAGTAAGACTCCTAATTTTCAGATAAATCTTATTTTTCAAGTTCTACCGACGAAGTCAGGCCATGAAATCTACTCTAGTGATTGCGATTATTGGCAGAAATTAGGTATGTTCGGGGGTTTTCTTTGAAGCTAATGAAAATAGATTTTGGCCTTGATGAAATATCCCAACTTCGATATATTTTGACACCAGGGGCGGTGAATTCGTACTATCCGCGATCCGATCCGGATAAATTTCGTCATGGTAATGATGCATTGTGAGATTAATCCAAGAATTAATCCGAAAATCTGTGAATTTGTACGATCCTGGGATTAATCTCAGGATAAATCTCAATCCACCTCTTGAGGTGGATTACTTTTTGGATAAATTTTATCCGAATTCCAATGCAAATTGGATAAATCTTGGGGATTCCACCTCATAATCCTCGGATCGTACGAATTCACCAAAAAATATTAATTTGGATTAGTAAAAATAAAGATTTATCCCAAAAGATAAAATTTATCCGGATTGGATTGGGTATCCTACGAATTCACGGCCCCAGGTCCATGCTAGTTGGAAACGTCTTAGCACTACTCAACCTAAAAAAAAATCTTTTTTCAACTTCACTTGAAATTGAAAAATTGTCTGAAAATTATTCGCCAATTTTCGAGTCAAAATACCAAGTTCACTCACCGTATCTTATGTTGATAGATCCATGATAGATAGTAAATCCAATAATAAGAAAGAATGCACCAATTTTAGCATTTTCAATGTTTATATAGGTTGTTATTTCATGAGTTGGACTTTCTTTTAATTTTTGGTCTGCCATCATTCACATCTCGAGGGTTCTCGTCTTAAATGTTGCAGTAAAATAACGAACGGTTTCAAAATGCGTACGTTAGGCTCAGTGTTCGTTGATTGATTTAGTTTTGTACTTGTGACGCACGGATAGTGGGAAGTCCTCCATATATTACTTATATTATACACCAGGTGTATATATATACCTCCTAGATGGAGGACTTCCCACTATCCGTGTTATGACGTCCAATGCCCATCTAACTGAATATTAACAGTGCTGATATCCATACATGAAAAAACCTTCATAATACAGGCCCGTAGCCAGAATTTTCCAAGGGGAGGTTCGTTTTTCTAAAAAATTCAAGGGGGGGTTCACTTTGGCAAATATGGCCAAAAATCACTCAAAAATTAGAAAACTGCATGATTTTGAAAGAAATTTTGGCCAGGGGGGGGGGGGGGTTCGTCCGAACCTGTAATATAAACAAAATATCAAACTAAATGTTTCTCAATTAGTGTAAGCTATAATTTTGCTTAAGGTTCATCTGGAAAGTAACATTTTGGTAAAAAATTGCTATACCTGCACATGTAATTTTCTGGTACAAAATTAAGTATGAAGGCATGTGTGTATTTCCTTGCTTTTTTCAGGAAAGTATCATTACACTGTCTACTTTTAGTAAACCTGGAAACAGGTCAATGGTAGCTCCTGTGTTGTCTGGAAACATTGAAAGAAAATTTGGAAAAATAGAAAGTGTGAAATATCAGAATTTCCTGGAGTTCCCATTGAACTCCTACTAGATATTCTTAAAGAAGACAATGTAATGATACTTTCCTGAAAAAAGCAAGGCAATTGACACATGTCTTCATACTTTATTTTGTACCAGAAAATAACATGTGCAGGTATAGCAATTTTTTACCAAAATGTTACTTTCCAGCTGTACCTAACTCCTGTTTAGCCAGGATGAGGCAGATGAAGCACTTATAATAGACTAGATGCGAGTAGAAATAATCTTGATTCACGTCATTAGATATTCAAAATTCAGTCAAAGTGATGTCATATTTGAACTCTACATGTAAAAGTACATCTAGAAATATGGTTTCGAAAATTGTTGATCAACTTTGAAAATTTAATTTTTTTGAGAATGTGACTTCTAGTTCGGGTTGATTCCCCATAGACCCCATGTTACAAAATAACAAAAAGTGAGATATCTTTTCTTGTATTTGACAAATATCATTTTCTTTTACTGGACATATTTTAATTTGCATAACTATTGGATACACAAGGGTTATATGAAAATTGAACCACTAAAATAGATGTAATTTAAGAGGGAACTTTCTCCTATACCCGCCATGCTATCTGACCCGAGCGAGCCACCTGGTGGTCAAACTGGTAACTACCTACTCGCATCTGCGTTATTGCGTCATTGCTTTCTAACATCCTTTGAGAAATATTTCTCTATTGACCCCCCTCTATTACAATGAGCCACAATGAAGTTGTAATTCAATATTGTATAACTTTTATTGATTTTGGAATCTGAATGATAGGAGTGTTTCTACCCGGGGGGCCAATGCCTTGATGCTACATGTATGGCCACATAACTGTAGGGAATTTATTTCTACTGTTTCAGATTTCATGGGAGGTTGATCTAAACATTTTATAGTTATCGGATCCTACGACCCCCACTAAAGTGTTCATAGGATTCGATAAATTTTGTGGTACTGTCGAGGGTTGGTTCACAGGGGCGGATCTGGGAACCAACAAGGGGGGCAAAATTTCAGGTCTGAGAAAAAACATCCTTGCTTGTGCAGAAAAATGTTGGGCCCCTACAAACCAAAAAGTTGGCCCAAGAGGCCAATTTCTTCAAAATTTGGCCTAAAATTAAAAACAAGGCCTTAATAGGCCCAGTAATGACCAAATAGGCCCACCTTTTGGGGCCTTAAAGCCTTTTTTGGCTCAAAAATTTTTTTGGGCACACTTTTTTTTTCTGGGCCCACCCAAGGGCAGGCCTGTCAACTGTCCCGCAATTTGCGTATTTGTCACGCATTTGCTGAAAAATTTGAAGTCACGCCAGTTATTTTTGCGTGACAGAAAATGTCACGCAAATACGCATTTTACCTGGTAATTGTCACGCAAAAATATTTCTGTAGAAAAATTTCTAAAATAGATCGTCTACACAGCAAAAATACGAACGCCGGAAAAAAAATGTACGCATTTCGTTCGGACTTTTCACGCGAATTACGTATATGTCACGCATTCCGTTCGAAATTTTGTATATGTCACGCATTCCGTTCGAAATTTTTCGTACCTACCCCCCCCCCCCCCCCCCCCCCCCCCCGTTGACGGATGTTTGAAACGCGAGCGTAGCGAGCGCGAAAAATTTGAGGTGTTCAAAATTTGGCAAGATGTCCTAAAATTTAAACCAAGGTGTTCAAAATTTGGATCAAGGTGTTCAGATTTGGACCAAGGTGTCCACATTTTGAGGGGAGGTGTTCAACATTTCCAAGTCACTCATGTTAGGTGTTCCCAAGTTGACAGGCCTGCAAGGGGAGGGGGGTTAAGGGGTTAATCAAGGATAGAACAATACCTCATTATTCATTTAACCTGAGACCATTATTTTTTATGTTAGTCTCAGATTTAACTAGGGATGCAATTGCATTGAAAACCATTGATCTTTCTGTGAGGGTATATTTTAGTTGGTTTAAGTGTTGGCATATTGTTTGAGGGTATTTCAAGACTAATTTACTGCACTTTCTATGGGGTATGGTATTTTATGCATTTTTTCATTAAAATGTTTTGGACTGAAAGTGAATGTCAAAAATACATGTACACCCAATGCATGCACCTTCTTTTGAAACTTGTTTAAGTTATTCAACTAATAAAAACAAAAATATTAAAGGTTTCAAATTTTATTTCTGAAATCACGGTATACAGTACATATGCCTTATTTATAAAAGTATATACTGGTAATAAGAATGAGATTCTAAGTTGGAAACCCAAAGCCTAAATAGGCACAAATAGCACTAGTGTTCAGTTGTATTGTGTAATAAACTCTAGCGTAGCCAGGATGAGGCAGACAAGTCGCTTTTTAACATACTTTGAGAAATATTCCTCTATCAATGTAGTTGTCATCAATTTTCATCCAATAGACTAGATGCGAGTAGAAATAATTTTGATTTACATCATCAAATGTTCAACTTTCAGTCAAAGTGATGTCATATTTGAAATCTACATGTAAAAAGACATCTAGAAATATGGTTTCGAAAATTGTTTCTCAACTTTGAAAATTCAATTTCTTTTGAAAATGTGACTTGTAGTCCGGGTTGATTCCCCATAGACCCCATGTTACAAAATCACAAAAAGTGAAATATCTTTTCTTATAACGGACAGATAATATTTTCTTTTACTGGACATATTTTGATTTGCATAACTATTAGATACATAAAGGGTTATCTAAAAATTGAACCACTAAAACAGATGTAATTCAAGTAAAAGGGAACTTTCTACTATACCCGCCATGGTATCTGACCCGAACGAGCCACCTGGTGGTAAAACTGATAACTACCTACTCGCATCTGCGTTATTGTCTAATTGTGCATAATCTCATAACATAAGGGTTATCTTTATGTTCTTTGATTGCCATCATCGAACTAAGTTCATATTTTTATGGTATTTTACCATGCTTAAGGTTCATATTTTTGACTGAGTTAAAATACCAGCCATTTTCGAAATTTGTCGCCTCGTCGCCTTTTTCTTCCTGGCTACGTCAATGATAAACAGCACATTATTTTGACATATACAAATAGGTTTTTGAAGTACTGTTTACAAATGAAGATCTATAACCTTTCTATCAATCAGCTTTCTTAGCTTTCAATTCTTTGGTGCAATGAGTGTCAACTGTCAACAATTACATACACATGTAGGCTCTTATCGTTATACAGTTATGCCTGACTGTCATCCACTGACATCATTCATAAAAATTGAATGTCATCAATATGTACATGCTAAGAACCATGAAGCACTGAATATTATCAATACAGAGGCGCTGATGAGTACTGAATGTCATCATACATAGGCATTCATAAGTACTGAATGTCATTAATACATAGGCATTCATAAGTAATGAATGGCATCAATATATAGGCATCCATAAGGACTGAATGGCATCAATACATAGGGATTCATAAGTAATGTGTGTCATCAATACATAGGCATTCATAAGTACTGAATGGCATCAATACATAGGCATTCATAAGTACTGAGTGTCATCAATAAATAGGCATTCATAGGTACTGAATGGCATCAATACATAGGGATTAAGTACTGTGTGTCATCAATACATAGGCATTCATAAGTACTGAATGGCATCAATACATAGGTATTCATAAGAACTGAAAGGCATCAATACATAGGCATTCATAATCATAAGTACTAAATGTCATCAATACATAGGCATTCATAAGTACTGTGTGTCATCAATACATAGGAACTCATAAGGACTGAATGGCATCAATACATAGGCATTCATAAGTACTGCGTGTCATCAATACATAGGCATTCATAAGTACTGAATGGCATCAATACATAGACATTCATAAGTACTGAATGTCATCAATACATAGGTATTCATAAGTACTGCGTGTCATCAATACATAGGCATTCATAAGTTCTGAATGGCATCAATACATAGGCATTCATAAGTACTGAATGGCATCAATACAAAGGCATTCATAAGAACTAAATGTCATCAATACATAGGCATTCATAAGTACTGAATGGCATCAATACATAGGCATCCATAAGTACTGAATGGCATCAATACATAGGGATTCATAGGTACTGCGTGTCATCAATACATAGGGAGCTGATTCTGGCGATGCATCAATGTCTGAAACAAAACATCGATGTTTTTAAAAAAAAATTAATTTGCTAAAAATCACCCTTTCTTATCTTATTTTGACGCAAATCGCTTACCTTTCTCATGTCTTATTTCATTTTCCAATGTTTTCTGATATTCTTTCGCTTTAAAACTGTTTTAGCTAGTTGAAATGAACCATTAATCTAAAAAAATTACTTTACTTTCATTTCACCCTTACTAGAAGTCCCCGGATGTTCGGTATTTTAGTGCATTAGCGTTCAGTATTTCAGTGCACTTTTCTCGGACTTTTTCTCGATGTACATCGCGATGTGCATCGATGTTTACTACTGAAAATTGCTGATGCATCGATGTACGATTATGGCACATCGCGACAACACTAATCAATACATAGGGATTCATGAGTCCTGAATGTCATCAATATATAGGCATTCATAAGTACTGAATGTCATCAATACATAGGCATTCATAAGTTCTGAATGTCCTGACATCAAAGTCATAACTCAAAAGCTGGAAACACTGCCTGGTCGGTATGAAGCACATCAATGAGAAGATGTATGGTACCTGCCATTCCTGGAAATATAGAACAGTCAGTAACATTTAATGGTTGTGCTACCCCTATCCATTTCCCTTCTGTATCTCATATATGACAGAATATATGAATATTAAAAAACGTATGAATGAAATATACAGAGTGACCCTCAAAAAACAGAACCCTCCAAAAATGAAATATTTTTTAATACGTATATAATCTGCTTCATTTTTCATGTACAGAAACTACAATCTATTAATGACAATGTGAGACCAAATTCTTTAAATAACATTCAATATTCTACTTCATGATTAATTAAAAAATGTGCCCCCTTTTGAAAGAAAAGAAAATGTAAGATTTTTTGAAGGGTTGCACATCATTTGTTAAACACATCACATTCTTTTAGCTTCTTGTTAAGCTGCATTTTGTGAGTATAAAGGTTGAGATCATTAATGAGGAAGTGTCCCGGCAACCTTTTTAAGCATCTTAAGGTATGGCTACACTGAGGGCTGCACCTTCTAAGTGATAATTTGGAACTATGTTCAATGCAATTACAGTGCTTTCAGGTGTTCTCATGCCCCCACTCTAAGAAACCTCCTGAGATAGGTATTCTGATCATTTTTTGTTTAACAGTTCTCCTTTCTTCCTCTTCCTATTCATTATTAAATATTTGACTTTGATATCATATGTCATGCAATGTTCTCGACTGATTATTCTGCTGATTTCTTGAGAATTCATCAATGGAATTTCGTAAAGCGTTTTAAGTATTCTTGCTCAGAGGCCAGGAGTTACTGTTATCTGATGTTTTACTCGGTGTAATATCATTGCCAATTCTTCATTTTCAATTAGAATATTAAATGAGACTTGATTTCACCTCTTCTTTGGAATTACCTTCTGACTTTCTCATAAAATCTCAAGATATGATTTTGTCTCAATAGTGATTTTCAGAAAATTGGACACATTCTTAGATAATCCATGATATCACAAATAAACAATTTTGTGTCATAACCTTGATATCATATCATCATCCATAGATTCTAATTTGTGCACATAAAAAATTGGGTTGGTACTGGATAAGTATTAGGATAGGACAGGCTATTTGTTATACCAGGCACATTTTATGACACTTGAAATGAATGTACCATACCTTCAAAGAGTGAGTAAGGTCTATCAGGTGTATTACATCCATGTTTACCATAATCACAACACCATTCTGCAAACTGAAAAATGACAAAATGAACTCCAAATAAGCACATTGATTTATTATTAATTAATCTATGTGTTTGAACTCATTCAGACTGCAGCTCAGTGTGGCAATTTTATAATTTTAAATATACATGTTTATCATGAATTATTGATTAAACCAGTATGGCATAAAAAATATAGTTATCATGATGTATCATGTACAGCTGGTAAATGTCTATATCTATAGTAATAAATATGCTTTGTTGTTTTAATGTGCAGTACATGTGTTTTAGATTAATCTAATTCCAGTCATACATGAAGCATCCAGAAAGCAACCAAGTAATTCATACATGTAATGTATCATCTTTCTAGAACTAATACTACCTCTTCTTATTTAGAAATTGAGACTTAAAGAACATGGACAAGAAAAATACTAAATACTATATGTAAACAGGCCCGTAGCCAGGATTTGCCAAGGGGGGTTCAATTTCCAAAAATTTCCAGGGGGGTTCACATTTGACAATTTTGGCCCAAATTAGGCTAAAATCACTAGAGAAGTGCTCAAAATGGTCAAAAACTGCATGATTTTGAAAGAATTTTTGGCAAGGGGGGGTTCGCCCGAACCCTGCGAACCCCCCCTGGCTACGGGCCTGTGTAAAATATACCAAAATTCAGAATAGCTTAATAATTTAACTTTGTTACAAACTGTCTTTTCTGCTGGACATATTAGAGTTTGAAATTTTTTTCAGGTATTGCTTTTTTCAGGAAAAAATGACGATGTTAATGATGCCAATCCACATCTGTTATGAAATTTAAACATGAGGGTTCCTCGAAAACAGAGCCCACATTATACTTGTATATAAAATTCACCTTTAATGCTCTGTATAGATGTCTCTCTTCTCCAGTGAGATTATACAAGGCTAGGAAGACATAAGCATTTCCCGCTGTACCATGACATATCCCATAACCTTTCCGTAACAGACCTCGCTCCCATGTGACATCAACACACGTTAAAGCGGCCGTCTTGTATTTGTCAGAACGAAAAACCTGAAAGTATATATGACACACTGAACAAATATTTCACTCTATTGAGGTGAATACCTGTACATCTTTCACAAGTGATATTCCACGAAGCCCGAAGGGCAAGTGGAATATCACCTTGTGAAAGTGCTACAGGTATTCACCGAAAATAGAGTGAAATATTTGTTTTATTATATCACTGTCTAGCTAAACATCCCTAATATTATTAAGTCATAGGTTAACATTGAAATACATATTTTTTACGAATCTACTCGGTTCGTCTGCCATTTTGACTTACACTGAACTACCACTGAACGAAAACAAATTCTTTGAAAATTCCCGGGAGCGTGGGATATCGCTAGATATCTCACGGTTGTCTTATCTGATTAGCATTGCCATTGAATATCGCCAGATATCCCACGACATGTGACCCGGTTTTGACCAATCATACTGTCGCTAGCTAGATAGTGATATAATAATGTTAGATATTCATATGAAATATTAACTGGGATATTCAAATAAAAGTAGATATCAAAATAACCTTACAGTATATACGTATAATCATCATACATTACATTCAGATTAAATATACATCATCGAAGTATCAATCACACATCTTATCCTCAACTTACTCTAACTAAAAAGTGTTTCGGACATTGATCAAAGAAAGTCCTTGATCTATGCCCCATTGACATGATGGATCACAGACACTTTCTCAGAAAAACTATTTTGATTTGGAGGTGGAGCTATACGTAAGAGTGAGAAATGTGATTTTACTAAAATAAAAGAATTATACATGTGCATGTGCATGTATTAGTTATTGTTGAGAGGCATTTGCCTTGGTCTGCCTTTTCATTCAAGGTCAGCATTCAGTACAATGCAGTCCTACATAAAAACAGATCATCAAATTAAATTCTCCATGTAAAGCTATAAACTTTAATTCAATATAATATTAAATGAAGGAATACATATGAGTACAATGTATAAAATTCACTGAATTAGCATAATTTGATCTATGTTCAATTCAAAATGCTAGCCTGTAATGCATATTGCGTTAGGCAGCGACCTAGTAACTACTTTACTGCATCATAATTGATATAAATGTATAATGAATGAATGAATGGGTGAATTAAACTCTTCTTTACTTGCTCGCTTGTTCATTGTTTGTCAAGGAGACAAAATTCGACAATTTTCCTCATGGTCTCCTGAATGAGAACTCTCAGACAGATCACAATCTACATTAGTTCAATAATAGAAAACAAACATACTTTGATTCTTACTGATTTTATGTTTAGTTTGTGGTAAACAGATTGTAAGCATGTATACATTAACTGTTGACTTTCTGACTCAATTTCATGACTGCTTTATACTCATTGAGCTATGACAATATTGTTATAAAAACAACTGGCAATTTAGATTAAACTTAATTGTCAAATATTTGTCTGTATTATAAAGTCTGTTTAAAGTAAGGATAAACATCATTTCAAGTTTTGTGAGAATTTTTTCACATGACCTTATTCATCTGGGATTCTTTCCTTCCCCTACCTGAATTAACCTTCATAAACTTTTGTCAGATATGTTCTCCCTTTTTCTGCTTTTGCAATATTTTAATTTCTTGTTTTATTGTTTTATTTTTAAATGAGGAAGAAAGTCTTAAGACTTAAGAGGTGGAATAAATTAATTCTTCAAATTCATATTGGTAAAATTATGATATTCTGAAGGAAATACATTAAATTCATCTACATGTATAGTACTGTATTTCCCTGAAACATAGATATTAGATTCTGATTCTTTGACAATATAGTGACAATGATCGATAGACTGACAAAGATTGATATGGTTCCCATATTTTTTCATTCAAGCACAGTGTCTCTGACCCTCCCACCATTTTTTATTTTCTCAGTCACTCAAATGATTGCAGAGGGTAATCAAAATGCTTTTTGATTCTCCATGTTTGTATTTTGTTATCTTGTGAGATTGAAGGACTCATACAAAGAGCTATCTGAATCATTGACAACACAAAAGTGCTTCAATTTATTTAAACAGTGAATATCAAGTACTTTATCAATCCATGTTCCTGTATATCTGAATAAAAATCATACATGTACACTGTTTTATGTAGTCTGGTCGATGATTCATCAGACAAATGCATTTTAAAGTAACTGTATTTTATCTTGACTGCTACATTAAATAAAGTTACTTAATGTATATTAATACATATATTAATGTTATTTACAGGGATGTATAAAACATGAAAAATGAAATTATCCCCTCCTGTAAAGTTTGGACATGATTAACTGTCCTCGTAATGGATGAAAAAACAGTTATCTTCTCTTTAAATAAACATGCTGTTAAATGAATGAAACACTATCATCCAAAAAGAACAACTTTTCTAAGTGTTAAGATGTTATATGTGATAGTTAACAGGTGTATTGACAGTTGCATGTTAAGGTAGGGTAAGGAGCCTTCATTTGATAAGTTTTTGTGACAGTTACCACTTAAAACATATTACAGTATGGTTCACATGTTATAACTGAATGGACCTCTCAACAGGTATTAACCCACATGCATGTGCTGATGTGAGAAATACGATCAAAATATAATTTACACTGGTGTTTACCAAGGTTAAACAAATGAAGCTCTTGTGGTAGTACAATCATACAACACAGAGAGGACACTTGGAAAGGTGCATAAAACCACAAATTGGACAATACTTTGAAAACCCATCATGTCATCTCCAGTAGATGAAAATACACTGGATAACTTTCTTCGTTGTAAGCTATGTGAGAAATATCTAGATGACCCTAAACTGCTTGTGTGTCTACATTCATTCTGTCTCAAATGTATTGTGGAATACACAGAAAATAACCCTGCCGAAGAAGGAAAAATATGCTGTCCGGAGTGCAAAACCGAGATCGAAACATCCGGGGATTTGAGCAACCTGCCAGTGAACACACTTGCGGTTCATATGCAGGAAAACACCCATGTGAAGCGTTTGAACGAGACTCTATGTACGAACTGTAAACTGGATAACTATGAGGTTCATGCAAGTGCGCGTTGTATGGACTGTAATGAATATGTGTGCCATGAATGCCTCAAGGCACATCAACGTGTACGGCTCACCCGAGAGCACAACGTCGTAAGCATTGCTGACCTACAGAGTGGGAAATATGACACAACCCAGCTGCAAAGCACGCCACTAACCTTGTGTTCCACACATAACGAGCCTATTAAAATGTTCTGCGGCAAATGCAACCAAGCATTATGTGTTGTATGTTATGCTACAGAACACAATACACATCCATGCAAGAACATTGCTGATGTAATGACTAACTACATGGATGCTGTCGCTAAAACCCTCGACCAAGTACAGGGCAAGATTGCTGGTATAACAGAGTCTGTTTTGGTTGTGGACAAATATGAGCATGACTTTGAGAAAAAAGTCGCCCAAGCGCAAAAGGGAATTGATGACCGCAAAGCACAGATGACACAACTCATCAACAAATTTTCTGAGATGCAATTCCAAAAATTACAAGATGTCTATGAGAAAGAACAAAAGTTTATTCAACAGAAAAGAAATAAACTGAACCAGCATGTTATGTCACTTGAAAACACATGCAAGTTTGCCGAGAATCTGATCTACTATGGCAAGGGTGCAGATAACATGATCGTTGGGAAAATGGTCCAAAATCGTCTGGAAGGCCTCCATGGGAAACATCTAGGAGAGAAGTTAGATCGCACCGTCAGTGTCTCATTCCAGGTCACAGAGGTAAACAACTTCGATCAGCTCTTCGGAAGCATAAAGCATGCCATTGTCAACAAGAAAGCTCCTAAAATGCCACCATCTACACCCTCCATGCAACGACGTAACCGCTCTGGCTCAGATCCTCAGGAGGGTAAGCCAGATAAAAATGCAAGTTTTTCGCGTGTGGGCTCAATGAGAGCAAGACCAGTTAAAGCAGAACATGATGTGAAAACAACCAATGGGCACGCAGAGTGAGACACTCAATGAAGGATAATATCACTTTGCAGTGAGGGATAATGAATTTTAATATATCACTGTCATATTCCACACTCTCTGATTGGTTCATGTCCTACACGTGATTAAAAAATAATAAGCAAATATTTCATTCTATCGAGGGCAATCAATACCTGTTCATCTTTCAATGATTTTTGCAGTATGTATTTCAATTTTCAATTTATTAAACATATATGCATACAACAATACAAAATTGATGAAGGGAGCGAGACACCACTGAAAGGTGTATGGTGCCCCCTGTAACAATAAAAAATTCATATGAATTAGCAATAGAAGATGACAAATAGGTATATGAATGGAAAAAATCCTTGAACAATTATATTAAGTAAAAAAGGTTTTGTTCCTGCGATTTCAGCTATGATACAAAGCTGTTTTGGCCTCCTCCCAATGTCCCCGTTTCCTGATATAGTTGGTGTTCATGCTAAAGATAAAAAACAAAGATAAGAATTCTTGAGATCAAAAGTGCCAGAAAATGCCCAAATGGAATGGTGTTGTTAATTAGACATCAATAGTTTGTTATTCCATTAATGTGAGTGAGGGATACAACAGTGAATGATAAAATCAAATATTTAATAAGATTTTGGTTGAATAAATGTGACACTTTTCACAAGATGATTTCCACTAGCCACGTTGGCTTCATGGAATCTCACTTGTGAGAGATGCACGGGTATTCTCCTCAATAGAATTAGCAATATTTGGATAATATTATACCAGGACATGTGACCCTTTGGCCCTTTATAATCTGCACATATAGCAATTCTGTATTCAAGCTTAGCTTTGACATTAGCATGCAAACCTAGTATAAATTAGGTAGGGAAAGGGATGGTGTCCAAATGTTACAGAATTTGTGAATTGGTTTTTTGCATGTCAAATCAAATATTGTTCTTTAGAGGAGATTAACCAATAACCATTAATAAAATTACATTTGTCTTTGTCAAAATTTGGACACAATCCCTGAATAAAACTTTTTTAAATGTTGCCATCTTTGTATATTTTGCAATCTATATAAAGGTATATGTACAGTCGGCATGTTATTTCAATATTGTATAATTAATAATGTTTACCTTAACTTAGTTTGTGATAGCACTTAAAACATCTTAGTTTTTCTAAAACAGAACACTGATATGTCTGATATGGAACTTTAGGGAGAACATATTTCCCATTAATATATTTCTATCAAACACCAGAATATTTTCCCCTTCATTAAATATTATGAAGGCATGAACAACCAGAACGAGAATTTTTTTCAGAATAAATTCTACTGAAAATTGCATGATCAAAACATTCTTCAAAGTACATTTGGCTGACTTTGATGAAAAAGCTTTTTGTAAATAATAAGGCCCTCTGAATCAAACAAGAACTTTGCTTTGTTAGATTATTTTAAGTTTATGAAATTCAACACAAATTGTGCCAAAGAAGGAATTGTATAAGAACAAACCATCATACAAACATATTCGTACATATTTACCATGTGTACATGAAGTTAAGAATGACCTCTGACTGCATGGGCTCCAAGATCTAAAATAATTTATTGAGGAAGAAGTACATACAAGATGTGGATGTTCATCAGATAATGAAGTAAAAAACAAAAGACATACAAATGCATTTTGCTCAAAAACACATTACATTTTACAAGTTTACAGGTCAGAGTTTTTAGCCCATGGGAACCATCTCTAATTTATGACCACATAAAAAAAGTTATTTTTAAAATCATACTAAATAAACTGCCAGAGACATCCTCAAACCATATGTATATTCTTTTGAAAAGTTTAGGGACCTGCAACAGCATACATGTTTGCATTAATGAGTACTTGTAAATGTAGTGTAGATATGACATGCACATGTAGATAAGCCTACACTTCAACTCTATAAACATTATGATTGATGTTTAACATGCAAATCTATTTGAAACTAGAAAAGCTAGAAAATAATAATTATATTACCAGGTTCATTCAAGATCGTTCACTTTAATATATTTGAATTATGATAAAAATTAGTTGTACTTTTTATCAGATAAGTTATTAAGTTAAAATATAAATTCCTGAGTTAATCATAGACAAGGCATCAACATGACTCATTATGTCACAATAAAGTAAGTTATTGCAAAACGTTACAGAAGTGTAACAATTTGTTACAAAACCGACAAGAACCACTGATTGCTGTTCATAAACATAGTGGCTATAACAATATGTTTTGGTGCTCATATGAAAAGTACAGGGTGTTCAAAAAAAAACAAAGAAATCACGATATGGAGAAAACTAATTCAATTATATTCATTTTTCAGGAAAGAAAGAAGAGACTGTGTATGTATAGCTCCTGAAGTTGGTAGATTGTAAAACATGATGCCTTGGACACCTGCTCAAAAGACATTTGTACTAGAAAAATACGAAAAACACAGTCAGGAGTGACTGCAATCGCAACAAGACACACAGTGATAAATATCGCACTTTGAAGAGCAAACTGGCCATCATGCAATTTACCCAGCATGGCCAAAACCTAATCAGACCTTGGCACTAGTCTGCTCTTGCATCTAAAATCCAAAATATCAATTTAGAAAATCAACTTTTTTGACCTTTTCAAGGTCACTGAAGGTGGAGGAAAGGTCAAATCTGAAATCTAAGGTCAGATTTGAACTTCTGAGAACTTATAGATGTTTTTAAAAAAAAATTGGTCAATTTGGAGCAAGTTGAAAAATTCAAAATGGCCGCCAAATTGAAAAATTCAAAATGGCCACCATGTAATTCAGCCAGCATACCCAAAACCTAATCAGATCTTGGCAATAGTCTGCTCTTGCATCTGTAAAAATTTCAAGTTGAACGGATAAGTGGTTTTCCTGGAATTTTGATGACAAGATTTGTTGAAAAATTCAAAATGGCCACCACGTAGTTTACCCAGCATGCCCTAAACTTAATCAGATCTTGGCACTAGTCTGCTATTGCATGTGTAAAAATTTCAAGTTGAACAGGTTAGCGGTTTTCTTGGAATTTTGATGACAAGAATTGATTTGTAGTCTCAAACTTTGAGAAACTTGGATAACATCATTTGTGACCTAGTTTAATGACCTTGACCTTCGACCTTGAAAGTTTCACTTTTTCAGACCTCAGTAGGTGTTTTGTAATTAAGCTGACCTAAATTTAAATCCAAAATATCAATTTAGAAAATCAACTTTTTTGACCTTTTCAAGGTCACTGAAGGTGAATGAAAGGTCAAATCTGAAATCTAAGGTCAGATTTGAACTTCTGAGAACTTGTAGTTTACCCAGCATGCCCTTAACCTAATCAGATCTTGGTACTAGTCTGCTCTTGCATCTGTAACAATTTCAAGTTGAACAGGTAAGCAGTTATCCTGAAAATTTGATGACAAGATTTGGTTTATGTCCCGCCCGCCCGCCCGCCCGCCCAACAGCACAAGACGAGGACAATATAGCACTTTTTCAAAGTGCGATAAAAAACGAATAACCTAGCCGTTGAGTGTTTTGGCTCTTCAAATTTGGCACAAATCATCTTCATTCAATGTATGGTAAATCTGTAGACTGAAATCAAAATCACTCTGGGGAGTTAACGGTTATGGTCGAAATTCTTTCAAAACGCAGCCAAATGCCCTGGTTCAGGCAGACTTAAGAAGGCATTTTGACCATGACTGTAAAGTCCCTGGAGTGATTTTGATGAAACTCCACAAATTCACCAAACATTGAATGAGAATAATTTGTGGCAAATCTGAAGTGCCAAAACACTATGGTTAGAAAGTTATTTGGTTTTATTGTTGTGACAGTCAACACTGACTGCGTTTTTCGTATCTTTCTAATACTAATATCTTTTGAGCAGGTGTCCAAAACATCGTGTTTTACAACTAACTAACAACAAGAGCTATACATACACAGTCTCTTGCATTTTTTGAACACCCTGTAGCTATTAAAAGGCATTATAGAGGTTAAAATGCACTATGAGGTTCAAAGGCACTATAGAGGTTCAAGAGTGTTACACCTCTAAGTGAAAAGAGCTTCCGTAAAATGAGATTTACCTGTAAAATTATATAAATTATAAAACAGTTTAAATAAGTTAGTTTAGGGTGTTTAATTGACATATGTCCTTAGCTCATATTGGGCCCTATACTGAAATAAATCTCTCAAGTCTAAGGTGAAGTCATCTAAAAAATTGTAATTTTTTATCAATAGCAATTGGTTGTTAAGTTGTAAACATCAGACAGTACATTCTTTGTGTGTTAAATCAACTATAATGATCATCAGAAGGTGAGCAACAAAAAAGTAAATACTTGGATGAATATTTCTACTTTGTATTCATACTAATGTATAAGTGTATTAAAGTGCCAGTGGGTGTCCTACATTGACCAAGCTATTCCAATATATTAGAGCCAACTAAAGTAAATGAATATCTGATATATCCATTCAATGATTTCAACATGTAATTGGTCTTTTATAGCATCCTTCAAGATCAGTCAGTCCTTCACTGCTTTCATAGCATATAATGAATGTAATGCAATGCATTACTCTTGGGCCAAGGATGCTTTTATAGAGCATGTTCTGACTTTGGTCACCAGCTCCTACCCACTGACTGGTCAATGGCAATGAGATGGCCTTCGACCTTGAGCCTTCACCTTTTTGTTTGAACTTGACCCCCTGCTGTGATCTACCCCATTATACAGGTAGACTGTAAATCTAGTAAATCTAGTAAATCTCGTAAATCTAGTAAACCTAGTAAATCTAGTAAAATCTTGTAAAATCTCGTAAACTGTTTAGGGACCATTCATTTGATATCAATGTCAGTCTCTATGTAAGAGTATTGGTGATTATGATTCCTTTTACAACATTAGAAAAATACCTTCTCTGCATTAAAATTCAGAGTCATTCCTTTCATCAAATAATCAATATACAAATTTTTTAACAAAATTGTGAAATATTATAATAAAAAAGAATGTTTAAGGGGCTGATATGATATGGCTTTAAACTATTAATTACAAGGAATACAAGGAACATATCATCATCAAAACGTAAATGGAAAGCATTGTAGAAATGCCATACTATACTTTATGTATAGGTAAAGCAAATAGATTAATCAGTAAATTGTCTCACTAGATTCCCCTTACTACAGCATTTGATTGTTTTTTTATTATTTTTTGGGGGTTGTCAAAAATCAATTTTGAAATTGCCATTTATCCATTCCTCTCACATTGGAACTTCTACAAATATTGTCAATTGAACAGCATCTCCAAAAAATAAGCAATAAATAAATTATCTGATAGGCTAAGCATTATAACATTTTGTGAGGGAAAAACAAGCCTGTGTCATTTAGATGGTACGCATTGTCCCCTCAGTCCTTAAATATGTAACTTAATTTGTTAATAGAGCATGCTTCTTGGGTGGGTTGTGTATGATGATAAAATGGGTGTACCATTTGATAACCATTTTGTTATCTAGTACTAACATATAGTTGTTTTGTAACTAAATATAATGAAATAAAAGGTAGAATTTTTTCTACATGTTCATTTCATTCATACAAAGGCATTTTCAGTGCTTTTTCGACATTTGCACTTTATATCTTAAACATTGAATAATCAAGTTTTTACAAGATTTTACAAGATTTTACTAGATTTACTAGTTTTACTAGATTTACTAGATTTACTAGATTTACAGTCTACCCATTATACATACATACTCACTGATTATCTCATATCTCTTCAAATCCCTTTATAATAGTGTATGGTAAAAATAGTGCTGTTTTAATTTTCAAATCAAAAAGTATAAACCGCAGCACAACAATGTTTGAATGAAAGTCTATTATATTATTGAATAAGGAAAATTATCATTGAATTGACACCTGGGGAGAAGATGATATCAAAGAGTCTATTTGTGCAGCTTCTTCATGGGCTATATGACCTCATAAATAGTGTTGATTTTATTCCTACATGGCAAGTTATGCCTACTGACTACTCGTATAATATCTTCATAAAAAATAAAATGTTGAAAAACTTATAAGTTGTCTTATTCAGCATATCTTATTACAAGCTAAATATATTTGTAAATGTTTGATAGAATCTAAGGTGAATAATAAACATGATAATGCATCGCAGCATGATTACATGGTATGCTTGCACATGCACATGCATTATATGTTGAGCAGCCTGTTCAAATAGATATGTTTATTTGGCATTAATGAGCTTTTTTCAAAACAGATCTACTGTACACTACTTGTTTTTCAGAGAAAATGGGCCTTTTTGAGGATGAGCCTTAATTTTTTTAAATATGGGCATACTTTCCAAAAGTGGACCATAATTTTCAAAAGGAGAGGGGTCTTTAGAATACCCTTTTTAATTTGGAGATCTATCCCTGTTTTACATTTGCAAATTTATGGGAAAACAAAATTAACTCCCTAAAACAGGTACACTACCCTCTTTATGAAATTAACCATCATTCTGAAAAGTATAAACAATATGTATTTAATTTATCATTGATCAATAAAAAAAGAAAAACATGTAGGCCATAATATACAGTAGTTCATTATGGCTTCTGTAGGAGCTGTTCTCATTTGTCCTTTACTTAGAAACATGACATTACACAGGCCTATTGGCAATGCTCTAGATTTTAATGATAATATACCTGTTTAGAGATAAACTATAACCCTCCACTATTTTAACAAAACTCTAAGCTCAAAACCTATCACAACTCTACTTTAACCCTTTCTTGAATAACTTGGCCTTGTAATTTATAACACTCTCAGACACAACTAAATTAGATGTCTAACTTAAAGAGGTGCAATGTGCAAGCTAATCAATGAATGAAGGAAATGAAATGTAAGGTACAATATAAAATAATCTCATGTGAATTCTTTTCAGTATTTTAGATAATTTTTAGAATACATTAGCTTTATGTTCTCAGGGATTGTGCCAGGCTTCTGCATGCCACTTTGCATGTTTGGTATACAATATGAAATGCATTGACTTGTATGTTGTAAATCTGTGTGCTTTTACATAAGACTGTTTTAAGTATTACGGTGTTACATAATGTCATTAAAGAACATGGATGATTCATCTTAATACTCATTAAAACTTAAATTTAAAGATAGGTCCGTAATACACTGGTGTATGGGAGTTCAGCATTTTTTAAGCATTCTGCCCTTTTTAAGAATTTATCAACCGTCTATGGTGGCTCAAACCGACTAAGTGGCTCAAATTGAACTAATACTTATTACCCCGGGACTTATTACTTAGTGCATTTACATAACTAACTTTTGCACATATTTCAATCATGCGGCAATATAATATCATATAAGTGTTCTATTGCAAAATGACATTCCATGGTTTAACTGTATAAAAAGTGAAGAAACTAATTTGACAAGCTTTTAAAAATTATATAGAATTATGAAATAGGCTAATAGCTGTCAAATCATATTTAATGGACAATTTTACAATTATCATACAAAAAATCTTTTAGTGTACTTCATACTTCGATCATACTAAAGCCCATTGAACTGGTTATAGATTACATTTGTTTTCATCTACCAATGTTAGCTTGTATTCGCGAATGCAACTAATAACGCCTGTCTGCTACCAGATTTACCTGCTATTTTATGGGCAACTCATTTAAATGTGAATAGTACCTGCCACTATTCCATTCATATTTAAATGAGTTGGTCATAAAATTGTATGTTAATCCGGTAGCCAACAGGCAATAGTTGAATTCGCAAATTCAAGCTTAGTCTAACTAACTTTAACTGTAAAGCTATAATGTGCAATTGTACACATGTGCCATCTTTTGATATTGAAGCATTTTTATTTTCACAGATATTGACCCAATCCTTGAATTTCGCTGTAATATCTTAATTAGAGACCATGACAAAACAAAGTTAATAACAAAGGATAAGACTTCTTCCCCCTCTTCTATACAATCTATTGTCAACTCCAAAAACATGGATCTTGACCCAGCCTTTAAACTATTAAGTTGATCGTTTGCTCGAATATGCAGATGATATTTTCAATGGAATAAAGCTACAACAGTTACTTACCTGATATGCTTTGATAAACATATGCACCCATCCAGGGGCCCCATGACACCATTGTACAAGGCGGTCTTTGTCTCCACTCTCAACACTAGAGGGCCAGTTACCTAAATATTACATATACAGTACAGACAAAATCAGGTCAATGGCTACATAATGTGTGACCGGCATCCATTTGGATAACAAAGTTCACAAAGGACGTAAGATGTATTGTACAATTAACAGAAAGATGTCTTTTCTGAGTACAAGAATGTAGCAGATTAAGCTATTTTATTTTCTACGAATTTTTTTTTAAATTGGTAATTCTGTAAAATAAGGATGGATTTCATCTAATTAAGTGTTGAAGGATTGTTTTGGAAATCAATCCATTTTATTCCATGCATGTTTTGAAAGACCCAAAGTAATAAATACATGTTAATAGATAAATAACAATATTAGAAAAATAATCACAGTGTTCACATTTAAGTATTATTTTGTATCAAATGAGTACAATTGACAAAATAATAAATCATGCTAATTATCCTTTGAAAATATCTAGCACAGAGCTTTTTCATGAAGCTTCTTCCAAATCTTGCTTTGATGTCTTTAAAGGGTGACGCATATCGTTTAGCAAATCGAACGCTCGTTTCTGGTGTTGCTCACCGTTTAGTATAAAAGGCCCGATCCCGGAATAATACTCAAGGGTTCACAGGTTCGATGTCGTTGTGTCAACACCTCTAACTGTTATATAGCATAAGTATATTATAGATCGTCACACATTTATAAAAGGGTGATTTTTATTTTGACAAATCAATTCCAAATTTATGGGTGAAGTTTCAGGATCTTCTATTTGTGTATAATGAGGAAAAATTGGCATCTACATTTCCCCATAACGTAATAGCACACAGCTTGGCATATGAAATATCCTACAAATGAAACAAAGCAGTTCTAATACAAGGATTTGTATTGGCTGTTGTACATGTACTGTTTGAACGCAATCACTCTATGGATAACGTTTTCAAAATCATTATAAACGGATTACTTTATCTCAAAGACAATTTCAATAAACTGGATTTTACAGAACTCCCCTTATTTCTTAAAAATGGACTGATCCAGTTGATTCGCCTGGAGCCGCCATATTGTTTTTATACGGGATGCTTATCGTCACCCTTTAAGACATTATAGAAAACATAAAAACATGTATAAGTGGAACACCTTTGTAAAGTCAGTTTGTCTTGGGACTCTGAAAAGTGTTCCACTAACAGAGGTGTTTCACTTAACTTTCACTGTATATACATTATATTCTAGTAGTACAAATGATTAATCAACAATTAAATACCTGATGGCAACTTTAATGTCATCAGATGATCAATGGTTGGTTGTACAAGCTTCTCTAGTGTTGCCTTGTGCTCTTCACCAGAAAACTGTTCAAACAAATTAATTTGTCTGAGCTCACTTTATCATTATGTTTCATCTCTTTATTCAGGGACTTAACTTTATGAATTCACAGCATCATAAAATTTTTGTTTTCATCCTGTTTGGACAAATACTTTTTTGTTGTTTGTTGTTTTTATGTTGGTCATTTAATAGATATCAAACTCATTTGTAAGATGAAGAATAACATTGACAGATTTTGATTTGTAACAATAGATTGAAATTGACCATTGGCAGTAGTTTGAGGAAAGAGGGCTCAAATAAATCAACTTTTACATAAGATAAGGGGCCCTATATACATTTTGAGTTATTACATAAATTTCATTTTATAGATTAGATCTTTAAAAGCTTTCACCACTAGGCTATATTGATTAGTCATCAAGAGGCGCTATTCTAAATCTAATATATCCGCCCCAAATTTCAAACAGATTGTTGCTCCTAGTTCCAGGTGATAAAATAATAAGTTTGTTTATGAATGAACAAAGAACAAATCTCAAATTTACCTGCATAAGAATGTATAGTATACCAGCCAGACCATGTGCTGCTCCCAAATATGTCTTATCATGCCATCTATACATCAATGGGGCATCACTCCGTTCCCTTTCAGCAAGATCTTGCCCTGATCGCACAGTGTAGTGTAAAACCTGCAAGAGGCCCCATTTTTGCCATTTTATCAATATTACAGCATCATGCCAAGCCCTGATAAATGGCTCAGGTTACTCATTTAGCACAATACTGCTTTAAGTTTATTGTACATTTTGCAAGGTGGTTTGAAAAAACACACATATATGCAAGACCTGTATCCTTTCCACACCTAGATGTAAAAGGGTGTAGGAACAAGTTCTAACTTGGATATATTAAGGTAGCAGGCAGAAGTGGAATTAATTTTACTTTCAATTCTCAAACAGTATTCCCTATACAAAAGTGACTCTTATAGCACATATAATATTCTAATCTTAGCTCTCACCTTATTTATGATAGCTTGATCAGCTGCCTGGGTACCTAGATGTTTCTGGATGAAAAGTAGACTATAAATGTAGCCCACTCTGCCATACAACATCTCATCTGGTATAGCAGGATCCAATACATCAACATGAAGACCATGAAGCCTGAAAATAGAGGGAGCAGAGAGTCATTTCTGTATGACCTGTACATACTACATAAGTAATATTTCATGAATACAAAAAGTGAATATTTGTGATGTACTTGTACAATCCTACAATAAAATATTTACTATGTTTGTGTGAGGATAAGGCTATAATAATCTGTTGTAGTTTATTTTAAATTATATGTGATTTGAAAAGATCTCTCATTTCACATTTGGGAGAATATGGAGGTCAACCTTGATTATGATATCAAATATTATCAAATATTGATTTGGACCCAAAAATGAGAAATTGCTGGTGACATTTTGAACCTATCTCGTACATGTACTACTACTTCTTCTATATCAACCTAAAACTCATGATTTGGTGAACATAATTGTTATTTTTATTCTTTATTAATAGTGATATTCAACCGATAGTGATCTGGGCTGTGACCCTGAATGATGGACCTTTACCTCTTCAAAAAGTCTTTGCTTCTCTTCTTTTCACCTAAGACATCATAAATGACCGCAGCCAGAGCCAGGGGACCTGCATCTCCACAAAGGAATGACTGTCTTCTTCCCTTCAGAGAATTCAGTGATCTATCAACCTGCAGAGATAATTTTTTGAGAATTAAGGCATTTTTGGGAATGAATCCTGAATATCCCCTTTATTGTATTGTCATTCCAGCTGGATAGCAATATTCAAGCATCATATTTTTATAATAGGACACATGTGATCTGATAGAGGAACTTTAAAACCATGTAAATCTTACAATTGTTTTTGCTGCCAATAGATGTCTCTGTTGGCTGGTAGGGCCATCTACTGTCTTAGAAAGGTGGTAAAGTAGCAATGCTATTCCTGGAAATAGAAACTACCAAACTCAACATATTTAAAGCAAGAACAAAAAAACATGATCAGAAGTTAATAGAGTTTTTATAATTTATTTGTTGTAGAAGCAAAAATAAGCTCATCATATCTGTTAAGCTTCCAGACAATGCTCATTTTCACCAGTTATGTACATAAAGCATGAGAAAATTGTCAGGAGCAATAAAATTGGAGCAATAAAATTCACTAGATTTATTTTTCAATGAAATGGTATATCACAAAACAATTATTTCATTCTCTAAGGTGACTAAATGTTGCACTATCCCAAGGAGTTCATGGTTGCATGCTATACAAGATGCACAGGTTATCACAAGTATAGAATGGATTATTTGTATGAAAGGTAAATGTTATTTTGTACCAGTAGTCCCTGTATAGATGGAGTAGTCATGGTGATCTAGAGTTGGCTCTACATCTTCAAGTCTCCCTAGCAATTCATCTATTTTAGTTTGTATCTTGGCTGTCAATTCTCTTGTCTAAAAACACACATTCATTTGTTAATTTATTCATTTCATGCAGGCCCAGTGATTGGAGAAATGATTTGAACCCACTCCCCCCTCTATTACTTTTGTCCGGGCATAGACATGGTTTCAAAAAACAAATGAAAACCCTGTGAAACACTGATTTTAACTGTTTAAAGCAGATATGAAATGGTATTTTTGACCTAAAGGATTCAATATAATTTTTTGATAAATGTATTTGGACATGTTTTCTCATCAGTATTGTGAAAATTATTTCACTCTAATGATCGTTGTAGCTGCTTAATAATAAGCAATATTCAAATAGGTTGTGACGTTATTGGCCCCCACGTGATCTCTCACTGATCCCCACGTGGCCCGTTTTGGTCCATTCAATCATGATGTCATATTACCAAGATGTTTTGTTATTTGTTTACAATCATATGGTTGCCGTGACGTCGTGATTACCAAGGAACCAATAAATTAAAACTTTATATTATGTATGACGTTAATAATTATGTGGGGGCCAATCTGATTGATCAGTTAATTTTCTTACGTTATTGTTGACCATTAACAGTTATCTAACATTTCTTTTATAATGGCTATCGCAAGAACTCTACTGCTGCAAGTTGAGAAAACCTATTTCAGTTGTCCTTTAACACAAATACCAATCATATAATAACATTGCATATACTTACTTTGACATTATTTTCTAGTGACTTTTGACTGTCAAAATCAGAATATGGGTTGTCAAAAGATCGTGTTGACATCTTTCTTGGGGGTACAGATAGTTAAACCCAGTCGAGGGGTCTCATTATTTACCTATGTTATCCCAGGTATCGCTGCTAGTCCTAATAAAAAATCAAAATTAGTAAAATAAATGAGTTAGGGAAACACGATAATAATAGGTTAGTAAGAATGCAAGAAACATCATCTATCCCCCGCTCATTGAAAAGACAAATACCTAGCAGGGGTTTCACTAAAATTTCTCACAAAAGGCTAAATAAATGAAAAAAACAGGCAAAATTAATGGAAATCATGAATTTACCATTTAACAGGCGATTTTGTGAAAACAACCTAGTCCAGTGAAAATCGCATGTTGCCTGCTGCTAATGAAACTCCTGCATTGTTGTCTTGCCTCCTAGGACAGTTTGTTGAAAAGACAAATACCTGTGTACCCCCCTCTCCCTGTGTACTTTTTTTGATGTTTTGGCATTTGTTTTTGATTTGATTTGATTTGAAAACTATATTTATTCTGGGTAGCTCTATCAGTACAAAACTGGTCTTCCTAGAGGCCCAGTAATAATTTACAATTATTTACAATATGTACAATAAATATAGAAACATACAAATAGATATAGGACATATAGAACAATTTGATATATATGCATCTTCAAAGTATGCATTTACATGAAACATAGAGAACAACTTAAAATAGAATGTCATGAATATAAGGAACAATATCTTTAAATAATGCATTTACATAATTTTCATTTTCTGATCTGATACACTTGTTTATATGCTTTCTTAAAAGAGTTTACAGAATCAGACTCTTTGACAGCCTTATCAAGCCTGTTCCAAAGATGTGAACCACTGTATGATATGCTTTTCTTAAATAGAGTCAGTACGTCTATTTCCAAACACCCCCATCAAAAAATGTAGTTAGCTTGGCTGTACTGCACATCTATGCTATGATTCTATATATATAATGTGTATTATCCACTGTAGAATGCATTTGCAGAAAAAATTACGAAAAATTGTAAAAAATATCTGGGTTATTCCATTTTTACTACAAGGTATTTTAGGGGGGTAATTCCGAACAGGAGTTTTTTTGGGGGGTAAATCCGAACACTTGCATGGGGGTAATTCCAAACACTTAACTTAAACTTAATTGTTTTAATTATTAGATTGATGGTATATCATTATATGATACCCTTAACTTATGATACTGGATCCTGTCACCCCTGCATATCAAGAAACCCAAATTTAAATCATTTATTACTGACATCTATTTATTTAAACGCACTGAGTTTGTGGGGGTAATTCCAAACACTAGCATGGGGGTAATTCCGAACACCTAAATCATCATAATTGATTATTTTATTGTAAGATTGTTGGTATACATCATTATATTGTATCTTTCAGGCTATAAATATTATGTAGAGGTAGTAGAGGTACTATTATTCAATTCAATGATCTGCTTGCCATTATTTGGAACCCGTTCGTGTTTACCCCCCTGTTTGGATTTGGACGTATTGACTCTATTTCAAGTTTGGGTTTTGGTACATAAAGTGAATTTTCCACAACTGCTCTACTAGCATAATTATGTACAGACTTTGTCTCTTTGAAACAGTTTTGAACGTATGGGGGAGAGATGCCTGAACACTCATCCTAGTATTCCGTGATTCCGCGTCGCCGCAGAAAAACCGCAGAAATTTGCATTTTCATTTTTTTTGCAGAATTTTTGTTTTGGCACGGAATTTCGCGGAAAACATGATTTTTCCAGTCAACCATCTCATCTCATATTTGTCACTCACCTAAACACCCAAAGCCTCCGCTCGTTTGTTGTCAGATACTTGTGTTTTGTCAGATTTTCAAGAGGAAATCTGAAATCTGTTTTAAATTCTCGAACTTCCGCCTTTGCACTTAGAGGTAAGACTGCGTCTAACATAATCACGAAATTTGAAACCGATGACTGTCCCTCGTAATTGTTTTGCAATAATATGTCTAATATTGTATTCTTTTGTATTCTAACGCAATAAATCATGCTTCTTCTTCCGTTTTACTTCGTCATATATAAATAAACGACATCTGAATTCCCTGCATATTCATCATCATCATCATCATCATAAGGACGTAGTGGACTAAGCCAGTGATGTCGTCCTCTCATTACTTAAGCCACCTGGCTTCTCATTTCATTGAACAAGACCAAAACAAAAGAAACCTATAGCATATAGTGCTCCCTCTTCCAGTGATCATCCATCCTCGTCTTAAAGGTTTCCAGGGTTGGCGCACATACTGCTTTCTCAGGCAGGCTGTTCCAGTCTGCTATCACTCTTTGGGAGAAGAAGTGCTTTCTAAGATTGAGCCTAGATCTTTCCTGGTATAGTTTAAAGTCATGCCCTCTTGTATATCTCACTGTTGACTGATTAAAGAATATCTCTGCATTTACTCTGTCAATACCATGAACAATTTTAAATACCTGGATCATGTCTGCTCTTTTCCGTCTGTATGTCATAGAGTATAGTTTTAACTGTTTAAGTCTTTCTGGGTAGGGTTTATCGTTCAGTCCAGTGACAAGTTTTGTGGCTCTGCGCTGAACTCTTTCAATTTTGTCGATGTCTCCTTTAAATCTCGGGTTCCAGACTGTATTGTTATATTCTAGGTGGGGTCTAACTAAGGTCTTGTAGAGCTTTATGAATATGTCACTATCTCTGTATGTGAGTGTGTGCTTCATTGCTCCTAGGATCTGATTTGCTTTATTAACACACATGGATACTTGTTTATGGAAGTTCAGTTCTTTGTCTATTATGACTCCAAGATCTTTCTCCTCGTTAACATTTTCTATTTTAGTGTCATTCATGTAGTAATCTTTATTAATATTCTTGTTTCCCAGATGCATGGTTTTGCATTTATTTTCGTTGAATTTGAGCAGCCAACCATTTCATGAGACTGTCAACATCCTCCTGTAACTTCTTGGCATCTTCGTTGCAGTTAACGGTGGCATACACTTTGGTGTCGTCCGCAAACATCTTGATAGTGTTATGTACTGTCTCTGGGAGGTCGTTTATGTATAGTATGAATATCATCGGCCCGAGCACGGAGCCTTCGGGTATACCACTGGATACTGGCTTCCAATCGGACAGTTTATTATTGATCCGAACTCTTTGCCTCCTGCCTAGTACAAACGCCTTTAACCAGGCCAGTAGATTCCCATCAATTTTAGATTTCATGCAGAATTTGGTGCAGAATTTGGCTTTTTCATGCAGAATTTCTGCGCAGAATTTGCATTTTTCTCATGCAGAAAACTAGGATGTGTGCCTGAAATGGCCTGGTACATTAAAATTGATTTCCTGTATCTAATCATTTCCTGAATGGGAGTCCAATTTAGGGACTCAAATAAAGTGACGCTAATGAAACATCAAAATTAGCTCTCAGTATAATTCGTGCTGCCATCTTTTGAAGTTTCTCTAGTCTAGTCAGATAGATTTTATTAGAACATTCTCCCCAGACAATTGAGCAGTAATTAGATTCTGGTAATATGATTGTATTATAAATTGTGATGAGTGCTTCCTTTGAAACAAATGGTTTAAGCCTTCTTAAAATACCTATCTTACAAGAAATCTTTGAACAAAGCTTTTCAATATGTACTTTGAATGCTAATTTGTCGTCCACAATAACACCTAAATATTTATAAGTTTCAACATTTTCAATTACATTATTTGATATTGTTATGGTATCTTCATTATTTCTATACTTTGAGGTATTTCCTATTTTCATTAATTTTGTTTTACTATAGTTTTCATCCATTCATCAATACAGTTAATATCATTTTGGAGTAGTGTTTTTTCATGTTATTCTCTGGAAATATTTTTGCTTGACATTAATCAGAAAAATTTGCGCGGCATAATCTACAACGTCACGCAAAAAACTGGCACGACTTCAATTTCTTCCAAATGCATGACAAATACACAAATTGTGGAACAGTTGACAGGGGTGCATTTGTGCTCTGAGGCATCCCCCCCCGTAAACTATATCCTTCGTCTGCACAAATTCAGACCCCCCTTCTCCCCCCGTACAAAAAGTAGATACCTACCCCTCTAGATATTGATTGTCGTATCTGATCAAGTTCAGACACAAGACTTGAGTACGTAACTATAACTACAGGCCATCCAACTGTCCCGCAATTTGTGTATTTGTCACGCATTTTGCTGGAAAATTTGAAGTCACGCCATTTTTTTTGCGTGACAGAATATGTCATGCAAATACGAATTTTACCTGATTATTGTCAAGCAAAAATATTTCAAAAAAAATTCAAAAAGGTGATCGCCGATACAGCAAAAAAACATGACAAAAATGAACATATTTCGTTCAGACTTTTCACACGGACATAGTAGACTAGTCTGTCACGCATTTTCCTCGAATTATTTCTTATCAAAAATTGGTTATATCATGGGCTTTCAATAGATTGAGTGCCCATGGTTATATGCAATAAAATTTGAATCAAGTTGTTCAAACTGTGGGCCAAGGTGTTCAGATTTGGACCAAGGTGTCCACAATTTGAAGAAAGGTGTTCAACATTTGTACATTGTAAGTTGACAGGCCTGTACCCTTTGCATTCGTTAAAAGAGAGCTTCGTCTTCACTCTTTCAAACTAAAATAAACCTGTGAACTCACCGCGCCAATCAGCATTCGTCGGCCGAATCTGACCGACGTTCTATAAATGCTCATTCCTTCTGACGTCATTGTTGAGCCCGGAATTGACCAATGACATGCGCAGATTTAATTAGAACGCATTTGGCGTATGTTTCTTCAAGCTCTCTGATTGGTGGAAGAAAGGTCAGCGCGTAGGTCAGAAGTGATTTATTACCCAAACTGTCACCGGTAACCGTCGTGGGGGCGGGGCTACTAAACTGTAATATGGTCTCTAGACTACTAGGCAGAGTGTAGTTTAACTAGACTCTGCATGCAGGGTAACAGGCCTGTAACTACTTGTAGCGCTATTGATTACTATAGATAGAACATACCTAATATTATCCAGATTATCCAGTAATCCGTCACTGAAATATCGAAAGCGGGATCGAAAGTAAAAAAGTAAAACCAGGTTGCTTTATTTTTCTTACCTTCCAAACAGCTTTGTAAGATCGTCTGTAATAGGTTAAAGTTGTTGGCTTACATTCCAACCAATCAAAAAGCAGCACTCATAATGTCAAATCCAAGATGTCAGCCCCCTTGAATCGAGAAAAACATCATGAAAAATGCAAACTCTGTACGACTAGACCCCCATATCGCGAAGGAAACGAACGTAAAGCTGTCAAGGTAACACAGAATTTATTTCTTCAAATTCGATTTGCTATTATCTGACTAAAGTCTCGTGAAATGAGCTAAAAGTTGTCATTGTAAGCTTAGGCTAAGAATCAGGCTTCAAGACGTCCTGGATTTCTTCAATTTACATGTATTGTGTACAGTAAAGCTGTGTCAAAAGGCATTTTATCAGATCTATCCTAGTGAGAGAATAACCAGAGTCTGGTCTAATAGGTCTGTTTTTGCAATAACGCAGAGACCCTATCTGTTGCAAGACTTATGCCTGGCACAACCGTCGCCATGTTATTAAGTGTTTTAAATTTCGCAATGATCCTGCCATGACAGTGGTAGTGTTATCGTGATAGCCTGGTATAACCTAGTTCAACGTTGTTAAACTTATACTTGACAACAATATAAAAACACATAACATCAAGCGATTAACACAATATTATTGTGTTAAATGTTCATTTATACTCGTAAAATGAGGCTACACTTACCGATATCTAAAATGACATTTCCGCATGTCCGCCATTGTGTCTGTTCGTCCGAGGGTCCCGGATCGTGAAATTAAACTACTAGCGAAACGAAATTGTTGTCAAATAGATTGATAATTATTATCGCGATTACTCGCATTAAAAGATAAATTTTGAGGATAACAGGTATCTTTAATTGATTTATATAGCGCGTGTATACACGCAACATAGTTATTAATTGCAAACCTACTGTTTGTAAATGCAGTGCCGCGATGATGGTTAATTTCAGATACGATTTGCAATTTCGATGTTAATGAAACTGACCGACATTTTCGTTATATTCCAAATCCGTCTCCAATATTTTCATAATTATGCATCAATAGGGTCTAAGGGGGATACGAGATGGTGTGTATGTATTCATAAGGTATGTATCCATGCTTGAATCACATTCTTTGTGTAATATTACCATGGTTTCAGGGTTTAATTAGTTCCGCTTGTCGAAACCTGCGGAACGATTAAATTAACGCATCAAGGGCAAAATGATCATGGAGGTTAGACCTAGCCGGGGCCATAAGACATGTCAGATAAGAAACGAGGCCCAGGCTAGGTCTAATGTTGTTGGACTAGGTATAACCGTGACTATGCTTTATTATATTGCATGGTCTGTCATGACCATGGTAATGTGAAAGCCTGATATGACCGTGACAATGCTATACTATATTGCAAGGCCTGACATGACCGTGGTAGTGTTAAATCCTGATATGACCGTGACAATGGTTGCAAGGCCTGTCATGACCGTGGTAATGTTAAAGCCTGATATGACCGTGACAATGGTTGCAAGGCCTGTCATGACCGTGGTAATGTTAAAGCACAATATGACCCTGACAATGGTTATATTAAGTGACATTTAGTAGCATGAGAATACTGTAATGAAAAATTTCATCGTTTATCTGGGTCAACCTAGTTGTCCGAAACCCAGTTGTCCGAAACCCAATTCTCCGCTGTAGTGTAACGAGCCAGAAACTTGACATGAGGGAGTGTGCTAAATTCAATGACCTGCGGGAATCAAACCCAGGATCCTCCATTCCAAAGTCTGACACTCTACCACTCAAAAGTGTCATTACACCTCAATCAGATCTCAAGAAGTGCTTTTGTTGTAGATGTTTGATTTATTGACCTATTTTTTCACTCTTGACAAAATCCTGTGTTTTGAATCTAATCTCTGTCCCTGGTCATCTCAATTTTAACAGCAGTCATCCCAGTCTTCTCCTGTCCTGACAAGGTTCCTGTAAGCTCAGAAAATTGAAGGGATATCATATTTGAAATCTATATGTAAAATTGTGTCTAAAAATGTCGTTTAAATAGTATTTACCAACATTGAACATTTAATCTTTGAATATGTAATTCCCCATGCTACAAAATCACAAAAAGTGAAATATCTTTTCTTGTGTTGGGCAGATAATGTTTTCTTTTACTGGACCTACATGTATTTTTGCAATATTTTGTCACTTGTATCTCCCAGATTCCCTTTTTAAAAATGTATGAAAATCCAGAATTTTTTTACCTTCTACATGTATTTAGAAGTCCTAAATATAGGTCACCAATTTTATGTCACCTACACAAGTTTTAAAAAGCGCTATATTTTCATCTTCTTAATCTGCTAGATGTGCAACTCAGCAGATGGGCTGTTGACCCATATTAGTTTTTATGAATTAAACATGAGATAGAAAAATGTTAAATTTCCATTCTTATACTTTGTATTATAATTTATAGTGCTGAAATCTGATATCATTGATGGTATCTTACAGTAAAGTATTCTTTCAAATGAGCTAGGACTGGCACAGAACAGAATAATTGTCTATAGATCTAGGCCTACTCTTTTTAATTAAAATTGGGAAGCAGAGCTTTGAAACTGACTCATGACTTCAAACACCATGTCACCATCTGACAAGCAAAAAGCTTTAAGTTATTCTATCGTTCCAAGCATAATATGTGCGTAATCAAAAGACTGTAATATCTATTTTTAGGTTTATACCATTCACCATGAATCAAAGTATCTCTTGGTTCAAGGTGTGCCATCTATTGGCACCGGTGATGACCTTGCAAAGACATTTGCAACTCTTGGCACTGTAGAGGAGTTCAGGCAGATGGAAAGCTACCCATGTGAGGAGTTCACAGAGGCATACCTTATTAAATACAAACTCATTCAATCTGCTAGGTTCGTAAGTTTGATTTTCTTTTGTATTGTATTGTATCCTTTATTACCACATTACTTTTATGTGAGTACATTACAATTTTCAATATTTTTTTTAACACATATTTACATCAACAGGTTGCGTTTTTTATACATAAAATAAATTGCCTTGACCTTTCAAATCATATTCCTCTATCATATTCCTCTTTAAAAATCTGGAGTACATGATTTACTCCCATTTTAAAAAGGTCTATTAGAGCTACCCTTTCAGCATCTAGAGAGCTACAAAATATAGTAAAATGTTCTAATGTCCCAATCTTGCCGGAATTACATATAAGGGATTTTTTATTGCCCCATTTATTCATGCCTAACCATCGACAAGGTACAGTGACAAAATATACCGTAGTACACTTTATATGTACGATGTCACTATTTAACCAATTTGAAGCAAAGACAATGATGCAGGTGTTATGTAGGTTTTACAAAATAAATCTGGGGAATACTTGAAAGATTTCATGTTTAATTTCATGTGCATTCGTTTTGGAAGACATTTAACTTTCTAATAACGTTCAAAGATTTTCGAACAGTGCTCAATTTTTTTCATAGTCAATTAACCCATGAAGATTGATCGGTTGGAAAATGTTGGGTTTTTCACATATTCCTTAAACTTTGATCATTTTTTCCCCTGTTGCCTAAGATTGTCGATTATTTTTATGAGAATATGTTTCTCTATACTACGCAATTTAGGACGGGTGGAGATTAATAAATATTCAAGAATTTATTGTTATTTAAAAAAATCAGAAATGTGAGTTGTCAACTCGAATGTACGTTGTCCCTGTAATTGAAATGTATGAGATATAGGTAATATTAAACAATGTAATGATTTCATTTCAAAATTCATTAAGGTTTTTATGAGTAACAAGTGATCTTCAATGAACATGTTCAAGTATCCCTTTTGCTTTTTCATTTGATGAAAGTATATTGTTGTGGTGGTGGTTAATTTGTGCCCATTTGGTGTTATCTTCCAGCCCAAACTCCCATCCAGTGTCTCGGAATAGAATATGTTGAAGACTAGCACTGCCATGGAGTCTCCTTCCAGCCTGTTTGATTATTTGGGGTCTGTAGCTTACGTTTTGCAAGTTACATTGATAGATAGATTTCTGTTAGTGTTATAAAAATACGTTGTCTACATTAGGGTTAACTGTGAATTGAGTAAGTTCAATGGGACAATGTACATTCGAGTTGACAACATACACTCGTAATTTTTTAAATTATAGCCAAAATGTTAATAAATGTACTTATTAAATCTCCAACAGACCTTAAATGTGCTGTTTAAAGAAACGTATTTTCATAAAAATCTTCGACACTCTTAGACGACAGGGGAGGAAATGATCAAAGGAAATGTGTAAAAGCACAACATTTTCCAACCGATTAATTATATGGGTAGATTGACTACGAAAAAAATTGAGCACTGTTCGAAAATCTTTTAACCTTATTAGAAAGTTAAAAGTCTACCCAAATGAATACACAAAAAATCAAACATTAAATCCTTAATGCATTCCTCAGATTTTTTTTTTATAACCTACATCAAACCTACATCATTGTCTTTGCTTCAAATCGGTTAAATAGTGACATCGTACATCTAAAGTGTACTACGGTATATTTTGTCACTGTACCTTGTCGATGGTTAGGTGTGTTATTGTTTCCATTCAATGTTTGGTTTGTTAATAGCTTAACCATAAGTTTAAAATACATGCATTTATCAGAATATCTGTTGTACAGTACCCACCAGATAAGTGGTTTAAATGAACATCTTATTCGAATATACAAATGGGTAAAATATTGTTAAGTACAGTTTATCATTAAAGGGGCTCTAGGACATAAAATGGTTAAAAAATACCTTTTTGCCGTTTCCTGGATCATTTTGGGCCTATTACCTTCCCCAACAAACCTATTTTGCTTTGATACATGGATATGGCCTGAACAATGATCATAAAATTCACAAACATCTTTTTACTTTTCGAAAAATAAAAGTTACAAGGAACTTTTAAAAAATTTTTTTAAAATAGACCGGAAGTGAATTTTCGAGTAGAGTAAATGATCTGATAATGTTCTTTTTATGAAGCATGGAAGTCAAAGCATTACTAA